GTATACCCCGCGCAACCTATGATACCCCTCCACACCAGCCACACCCATCAACTTCGACTTTCCTCGTTCCCCACGACTTCATGACCTAGAGATACCAACTTTGAGAGCTTGCGCACATCTTCAATTTACATAACCCCTTCGTTCAACGTCCCCCTCACCGTAATCATGGGGCTCATGACCACCAGCGACCATGGCCACAAGAAGGAGGAGAGCGGCAGCGGTGGCGGCTTCATGGATAAGCTGAAGAAGCCATTCCGCGAGCTAGAGGACAAGCTTGAGGGCACCCATCTCCATGACGCAAAAGTTCACTTGGTGCACAAGAAGCACCAGATTGGCAAGCTGGCCAACCTAGTAAGACGACATGCTCCCCTCCCCCTTCTTATTGAAGCTCATCGCGCATGGGAAAACTACTCGTAGCGACCAGCACAACTGACATGCGCCCCAGTTCAACGCCAACCATCGCCACGACGAGGAGCACGAAAAGGCCACCGACGACAAGCGGACAAAGATCGGAGAGGAGCACCGCTTCAAGTCCTTCTTCCCAGAGCGCGATGGCAACCTGATCAAGTGGTATGTCGACGGCCGCGACTACTTTTGGGCCGTCTCCGAGGCTCTCGAGGCTGCCAAGGAAACCATCTATATTTGCGACTGGTGGTTGTCCCCCGAGCTGTTCCTGCGTCGCCCCCCTCACCACAACAAAGAATGGAGACTGGACCAGGTTCTGAAGCGCCGCGCCGAGGCCGGTGTCCAGATTCACATCATTGTCTACCGCGAAGTCGAGGCTGCCTTGACGTGCAACTCCGCCCACACAAAGCACGCGCTGCAGGCTCTGTGTCCCGAGGGCTCACCCGGCTACGGCAACATCAAGATCATGCGCCACCCCGATCACAATGTCCTGTCCAACGGCGCCGACATGACCTTTTACTGGGCCCATCATGAAAAGTTCATCGTCATTGACTATGCCATGGCCTTCATCGGAGGTTTGGATCTGTGCTTCGGTCGGTGGGACAGCCACACCCACCCTCTCGCCGACGCGCATCCCGAGGGCGTCCAGAACGAGGTCTGGCCCGGACAGGATTTCAACAACAACAGAATCATGGATTTCCAAAACGTTCAGGACTGGAAGCAGAACGAGCTGAGCAAGGCCGAGTACGGTCGCATGCCTTGGCACGACGTATCCATGGGCGTCGTCGGTCCCGCCGTCTATGACATTGCCGAGCACTTTGTCCTGCGCTGGAACTTTGTCAAGCGCGACAAGTACAAGCGCGACGAGCGCTTCGACTGGATCCAGCTGCGCGGCCGCCTGGCCGAAGACGAGGACCTCGTGGGAGTCCAACGGCCCAAGCATCCCGTCGGAGAGTACCTCACCCACCCTCTGGACGAGCGAAGCCTGTCAAACCTGGAGAACAAGGGCACCATGCACGCCCAGATCGTGCGGTCCAGCGCCGACTGGTCCAGCGGTATCCTGACCGACCACTCGATCCAGAACGCCTACTGTGAGATTATCGGCAAAGCCGAGCACTTTGTCTACATTGAGAATCAGTTCTTCATCACCGCTACCGGCGACCAGCAGGCACCGATCCACAACAGGATCGGCCGTGCCATTGTCGACGCCGTCGTGAGGGCTGGCAAGGAGGGCCGCAAGTTCCGCGTCATCGTCCTCATCCCTGCCATCCCCGGTTTCGCCGGTGACCTCCGAGATGATGCGGCCACGGGTACCCGTGCCATCATGGATTACCAGTACAAGTCAATCTGCCGCGGCGAGCACTCCATCTTCGAGCAGGTCAAGAAGGAGGGCATCGACCCCAGAAACCACATCTTCTTCTTCAACCTGCGATCCTACGACCGTCTCAACCGCACATCCGCCGTTGAGAAGAGAGAAAAGGACACGGGCGTCAAATACGCCGAAGTACAGCGCGCGCAAGCCGAAGAAGTCATGGGCACAGGCATCCACGGCATCAACGACCCCACCGAGAAGGAACGCGACGAACACATGGGCGGCAAAGCCGAGCAAGTCGGCGGCGGCAAGACCGACGAGGCCCAAAACGCAATCGACGCCAAGAAGCGCTTCGAAGCCAGCCTCGGCGACACGCAACTCAACAACAAGACCTCGGTCGCGCAGCACGCCATGGCTAATTCTGGATCCATCGAAGACGAGCCGTGGGAGGACGAGGACCCGGAGACGGAGATCCGCAACTGGATCCAGGAGGAGTTGTATATCCACTCCAAGCTGTTGATCGTCGACGACCGCATCGTCGTCTGCGGCTCCAGCAACCTCAACGACCGCAGCCAGCTGGGATACCACGACAGCGAGCTGAGTATCGTCATGGAGGATACGAAACGCGTGCCGAGCACCATGGACGGGCAGCCGTACGAGGCCGGGTGGCATGCCACCTCGCTGCGCCGGTACCTGTGGCGCGAGCACCTTGGCCTCCTGCCCGCGCAGGAGCTGGATGGTTCCGACGACCCCAACGCGCGTCCGCCGGGCGTCGCGGAGAACGACCCGTGGGACCGCGACGATACGTGGAAGTTTGTTGAGGATCCCATGAACGACGAACTTTGGGAGATGTGGACGGGTAATGCTACGCGGAACACGGATTTGTACCGTCACCTGTTCCACGCTGATCCCGATGACCACAGTAAGTTTTCTCTGTTCTCTTTCTTTTGGAGTGTGTTCAAGCTGACGTTATCCTTCTAGTCAAAACCTTTGATGACTACGACAGATACCTGCCGCCAAAGGGCGTCAGGGCAGGCCACATTTTCGACCAGTTCATGCCCGCGGCGGACGCGCGGCAAAAGATTGACCAGATCAAGGGCCACCTTGTCTGGTTCCCGCTCGACTTTTTGCGGGACGCCGAGATGGCGGAGAAGGGACTCCAGGTGAACCAGATCACCGAGAGTATCTACACCTAATGAATCGGGGCGGTTGTTGTTTTGGGTTTTTTCCCATCAGGATAAGATGGAGTGACGAAGAAGGGAGGAATGCAGATGGACTTTGGAAAACACCCCTATGAATAACGTGAATTAATGTATTAATACCAAAAACGGCCATTTTGGCTCTCGTGCTTACTGTTTTAATGTGGGCATATGAATGATATCTTTTTTTTTTACTTTTTTTTTGAAGATGACGTTCTTCACTTTGAATCATGCTTCAATCTCTCTTGCTCTCCCGGACACATGGTGCTAGTATGATAGAGGTCAAAGTTGTCATTTGATCTTAATCACGACAATATGGTCTTTATTACTTATTTCATGTTTGTTGCTCCATTATAGCCTTTTTCTCTCTTCGATCAGATACATTTCCCCTATTTTCCCTTGCGCCCTGCCAGCATAACAATAGCAATGACCACTACTTATTTGCCAATACCTCATGATTATTCCCCTTCTTTAAAAGGTAGTCTGCAGCTTTGGGTAATCCTTGACCCGCGCCTGTAAATCAGCAAAGATGGAAGCCGAGTCGTCGCCAGAGAGGTGCTTCATGCGCTTTTCGTCCTCGTCTCCAATCTCCTGGAGGACGTCCTCTGGGTTCTCCTTGCCCGCCTTGACGTCCTTTGACTTTGGCTCGACGGCATTCTCGATGCCAGACTGGCCGATGAAGAGGAACTGGGCATAGGGGTAGTCGAGGTGCTCGGGCTTGGTATTTGTCCACCGCAGGTCGCGGAAGTCGTCCTTAATGCTAGAGGTCATACTGTTAGCACTCTGAACCAACCGAAAAAAAGGGGATCATGATGATGTCGCATACCTCTCTGGGAAATCGGGCGTCTGGTCGAGACTAGCGTTCGCAGGGCCCTTTTTATAAGGGTTCTTCGTGCTCAAGATGAAGCTGCCCTTCTCCTTGAGCCCAAGCTCCTTCTGCACCTCGCCCAGGTCAGACGGCAGGGTAAGCATATACGCAAGATGGCTGTCGCTTCCAGTATTAGTAATCACATAAACGCCCTCCCCAGCCGGCGTGGCAGCAGGCGCATGCGATACCCCGGATTTAGTCTGATTATCAGCACCAGACAAGAACTGCTCCTTGAGCTCGGCAAACGAAGCGCCCGCCTGTTCGACAAAGACCATGAATTTGTCGCGGTCCGTCTCAGGGAAGACCTTTTTGGGGAGGGCGAGCAGGCGCGTGTTGCCCGCGTCGCCGATGGGGCCGTCGCCCAGCTTGGAGTCTGTGGCGAGGGGGCGGAGGATCATGTAGCTGCGGGCGATGTCGTCTACTTCTTCGGCGCCGTCGGTGTTGACGCGGGCGCGGAAGAAGAAGTAGATGATGCCCTTTTCGAGAATGGTGGAGGGGATTTTGTCCTTTTCGCCTGTCTTCTCTGCAGTTTCTCCGTCTGCTGCGCTTGTATCTGGTTTATCCTCCTTGGGAGCTTCTTTCTTCTTTTGCTCTTCGTCTACCTTTTCCGCCTGCTCTACCTCTTCCACCTTTTCTGCCATTGCAGCCTCTTCTTCCTTGGTTGGCTCCTCTGGCTTCGTCGAGCCGTTAGTGGGGGCTTCATCTTCGCCGTCCTTCATCTCCGTGTCGGTGGACTCTTCCTTTGCTTCGGCTTTGCCTTCAGCCTTCTTAGACTCTGAGTCATCCTTCTTCTCAAAAGCTTCGTCAATGGTGGTCTGGCGGGTGGCATCATCATCATCCGACTTCTTCGCACGCTTGGCATCGGGAGATCCATTGGCAGCATCCTTTTCGATGCCGCGCTTCTCGCCTGCCGCGGCGGAAGAGTCTGCGTGGCCATTGGCGTCGGCAGCACTGTTGGCACGCGATCTTGTTCTCGTAGTGACCATGGTGTAGGTTGGTGGTGGAGGCAAGATGTGGAGTGAGATGGTTTGTATGGATTTCTTTCCTTGAAGGAGAACAAGATTCAGAAGAGGTCAATTGAAAGTGTATAGTGTGTCGGTTGGAGTGGGAAAAGGAGGGAGAGTTGGGAGAAGAAGAAGGCTTTGGAAAGCACTGGTTGCCGCGGTGAGCAAACAGCTTCGAGGCGGAATGCGCGACTGAAGCAGTTTGCCAGAGTCCTGATGTCATCGGCTTGCGGTCGCACGCGTCGCGTTTCTTCTTAGCAAAGGCGGGTAGCCGCCATTATGTAACCTGGCGCTCTTCCTGTGACGTGCCACGGTTCCATCTCGCGAGTTCGTCACTTCTATGTCTTTTCTTTTGCCATCAGGGGCTCTGATGATTGTCGTTTGATGTAAGTGGCAGGATGCCACCTGTGAAACTTTTGTGCAAGTCAACGTCGCCCCCACGAACGCGATCACTGGGCATTGCCCGCCATCATCGGCTGCTCTCATGGTATGGTTATCTCCAGATGGTCAAATACACGCCTGAGTTCCAATTCTGAACCAGAATAAACTGAACAATGGATACAGAGAACGACGAGAGAAATGGAACAACGGCATACCAAACAGGGCGTTTTGGTGAATGCAGTCTCACCGAAAAGACGCTCTCATATAGGTCGGGCAAGGCAGAGACGCCGGAGAATGCATCAGAATCAACCGAAAGTCAAATCGCGAACGCCTGCTTGCGATCGCGCCTTCGAAAAAAGGCCTGATACGACATCGCGGCCGTCCTGGTCGCGATTGGCCCTCGCTCAGTCGCGGGCGCCTTTTGCAGAGGGGCCCAAACCCCTGCCCCCTACTTAGTCATGAAACCGGCCAAACCGCTCATAAGCAAGCATCTCATCCCCGATGGCACAATTGGCTAGCGCGTCAGACTGTTAATCTGGAGGTTGGTGGTTCGAGCCCACCTCGGGGAGTTTCAGTGGTTAGACTCCACACCACAGAGTGCACCCCAATTTCTTTTGCATCTTCTACAGCGCACTGGAAACTTTTTGCTCCCTGGAATAATCCCCCCCATCTTCCTTCCCACCTCGTTTCTCTTCCACTGCTCTCGTCCTCTTCTCACAGGTCCGTCATCGCACTGTAGTGCAATACATTGATTCATGATTATCGCGTGTGCAACTGTTGGCCTTTTCTTTTGACCATTTGCAAGCCTGCGAGACATGCCTAGCGCATGCCTTACTGCGTGCTGCGCTGAGTAGACGCCTCATATGTTTTTTAGGTAGTGAGGCTTGAACTTTTTGTTTGCTCGATCCGCCCCGCGCATCAGGAATTGGTCACCAAGAACCTCGAAAACGAATCGCCGCGGGGAGCCTTGTGGGTTTGACTCTGTATCCGGCTCCTTGACGGGTATTTCAAATTTGAACCATGTTCCCTCTTTTGGTACAATCTTGACATAGTTCATTGGCGTGATGATCTCGAATGCGAATTTGCCGTCTTTAATAACGATGCCCTTGATGCCAACCCTGCTTGGGCAGGAGCTGCGCGATACTTCAACCGCAGCACCGTGAAACTCGGCCGCACTTAGTTTTGCCGACGCAGAGGCGCCGCCTGTGTATAGCTCCGAGCCTAGTATTTCCTCAATATAGCCCAGCCAAAGGCGGTGGAGGGGTTCGAAGATGGAGTATTTTTGGCCCTCGCGGGGTACTTCGTAGAGGCCCCGCCTGTGTCTTTCGCGGGCCGAGAGAGGTTTCGGCTTGAGCTTCTGTTTCCTTTTTGATTCTTCGCGGGCCTTGCGACGGGCCTCTCGAGCATTTGATGGCGGCGGTGGCGAGCTTGGTCTGAGGTAGAGCGGTCGGTACTGGATTTTCTCGGAAAAGAGACGGTTGGCGCTGTCGGGAGAGTGTGCCCGGGCGAGGAGAACCTGTGTGATGGGCTGATTTGAGGGAGCCATGCTGTGGAGCCAAGTCTGATAGAATGCAAAATCCTGCGGCGATGGTGTGATAGTGTTGAGTCGCCGTGTAGCTGTGCTGGCGCAGAGTGTCCTCGCGATATTGCTACTTGCTGGTCGCAATGAAAGAGTCAAGGTTGACGCAGGAAAGATGGAAAATTAAATGTTAGTGCCTCCAGATTGTTGGTGGGTACGTACCCATCTCCAATTGGTGGCAGGCAGGAACAAGCAGGGTGGCTCCTGCAGCAGCAAACATGGATAGTTAGTGTTTGTTCACATGCCGAAGCCGCTAAATGCCACTGGAGAAGGAGCTCGGCTTAACAGAAGCGTGCAGGTGGCACTTGACCTCAACGGTCCACCCAGAATTCCCCCAGAAACCCGGCGGGCAATGACAATGCGACTTGGAGGCTCTCCGGCGCATCTTCCACACCACACAACTCACAACACACCCAAGTGAGCCAATCCCCTTTTCTCCAAGTCTCAACAGTCCGTCACTTCTCCAACGCCATCTTGCGACTTTGATCGGGGGACCCAAGACACAAGTACGGCAGTTTACATCCTCCGCCGTGTTCTTCTACTGTCGGCGATGGCAAGGGACCTTTGACGGACTGTTTCGGAGCAACCCAGAACGACCTAGCACAGTTATCAAGAACCACGGACGGACGGGCCGAGGTTCAAAGATCTACAATTTCCACGCGTGCTCTTCCTACTCCTACTTTGCTTCACTCGATACCCCACGAACACCTCGAAGACGTCACGAACTGACCAGACTCACACCACATTCCCGGACCCTCGCCCAACAATGGCGAAGAACGACGATTCTGCGCCGGATCTGAAGATCCTCGGCGACCAAATCACTCTTCAACCTAGCGGCTACATCAAGCCCTCCCAACCACGCGATGACGAAAAGGAGGAGGCTCTGATGAAGCACATGGCACGCTTCCGCCAGGAACCGCTACAGTATGTACCACCTGCGCGCCGAGCCGCCTACCCACCGGTCTCAGCCTCAATGCCGATCCAGGAACAAGACTAATTCGCTTTCCCTTCATTAGGTTCCTCCGCGAAGTCTCTCTTTACGTCTCCGGTACCGGCTGGCGCGCCTACGATAATGCCATCGGCCAGCCCATCTTCTACTCCGGCTTCAGCGATAAGATGAAGGAAGCTGTACTGTCGGCGCCCCTGTTGCAGTCGCGCATTGCAGATCTTGCTGAGAAGCGTGTTGCTGTCGAAGAAAAGGAAGGGCTGTTGAACCAGCAAGACAAGGACTTTGTTATGAAGCGCGCGCGTAGACGAGCAGTCATCGAGTCGGGTATCCAAGAGGTGGCAGACAAGATGACGGACGACATGATCTGCAAGTTTGAGAGCAAGACCTTTATCCGAAGCGCATACTATCTCGTCACACAGTTGACGTTGCGAGCCTATAACCAAGGCATCCACGTCTCTAGTGAGGAGGTTCTGAGGCTGAGGAAGGTCGCTGAAGAGGCCGAGAAGAAGAAGCAGAGCATCATATTCCTCCCCTGCCATCGATCACACGTCGACTATGTCTCCCTGCAGCTCATCTGCTACCGCCTTGGACTCGGCTTGCCCGTCGTCGTAGCTGGCGACAACTTGAACTTCCCTCTTGTAGGAAGCTTCTTGCAGCACGCTGGTGCCATGTGGATTCGGAGAGCATTCGGCGACGACATTTTGTACACAACTCTGGTGCAAACCTATATCGACACCCTGCTACAAGGTGGTTACAACTTTGAGTGTTTCATTGAGGGTGGTCGGTCAAGGACAGGAAAGCTGTTGCCTCCCAAGTTTGGTATTCTCAGTTTCATCTTGGACAGTATCCTGTCTGGTCGTGTGGAGGACGCCATCATCTGCCCAGTGAGCACGCAATATGACAAGGTCATCGAGACTGAGGGCTACGTCACAGAGCTACTGGGTGTGCCTAAGAAGAAGGAAAACTTGGCAGACTTCCTTTCCGGGGGTTCTTCAGTCTTGTCCCTGAGACTTGGCAGAGTCGATGTCAGATTCCATGAGCCATGGAGCTTACGCGGTTTCATAAATGAGCAGCTCACCAGACTGGAAAGATTACCTACCGGCCTCAACATGGACACAAAGAACCCCGAAAACACCGCTATCCGACAGAAGCTTCTGCGCATTCTGGGCTACAAGGTCTTGTCAGACATTAATGATGTCTCCGTCGTCATGCCTACAGCCTTGATCGGAACAGTCTTACTCACTCTGAGAGGCAGAGGCGTAGGCAAGACGGAACTCGAGCGCCGCGTTCTGTGGCTCACCGATCGTGTTCGTGCAAAGGGCGGCAGAGTCGCCCACTTTGGAGCTGCACCGCTCTCTGACATTATCGAGCGCGGTCTTGATGTTCTGGGCAAGGAGCTGGTCGGCGTCGTAAAGGACCTTCCAGAGCCTACATATTATGCCGTTGATCGCTTCCAGTTGTCGTTCTACCGCAACATGACGATTCATCTGTTCATTTCGGAGGCTATTGTTAGCGCCGCCATGTACATGAAGGTGAAGCAGGGCGGTGGCCCGGCCATGCAGGATATCTCCTTCCAAGAGCTGCAAGACCAGATCCAATTCCTCTCGTCACTGTTCCGTGGGGAATTCATCTTCCCCAGCGAAGGCCTAGCTGCCAACTTGGAAAAGACGCTGCGAGACCTGGAGGCAGACAAGGTGCTGAAACTGCACCGCGACGACCAGGGTAAGGTCATTGTGGTCGGTCTTTCAGATCACGAACGAGTCGTTGGTCGGGAGAATTACGACTTTTATTGTTTCCTCATCTGGCCGTTCATCGAGGCCAGCTGGCTTGCAGCTGTCTCGCTCATGGGCTTGTCGCCACCTCTGGGCCAGAAGGATGATATCTGGATCGAGGTTGCAAAAGCCCAGGGCAGTGCACAAGTAGTAAGTGGACTAAGATGGATATTCATTATGGCATATGTGACTGACACTCCCCAGCTCGGCAAAACACTGTACCACCAGGGCGACCTGAGCTACTTCGAGGCCGTCAACAAGGAGACATTGAAGAATGCCTACCAGCGATTTGAAGAGGAAGGTATACTTCAGGTTGTGAAATCAAAGGACCCCAAGGTTCCTCCACGCCTGCGTCTCGACCCAGAATGGCGCCCCTCCCGCGATCCGGAGACCGGCAGCCTCAACGCCTCTGGCCGGCTCTGGGACTTTACCGAGAAGATTGCGTCCAGTCGTCGTGAGGGCAAGAACCGTCGTGATGGTGCGACTGTAAGCACACGGGTACTTCGTCTGACAGACTTGCTGGGAAGCAAACTGTTTGACGCTGCTAGAAACATTGACGGCAAGGGGGTATCGCCTCTGCTGAGTATCGAAGACGCGCGCCAGCTGAAGAAAAGCGTGAAGGAGCAAAGGAGGCGCAGGTCCCTGGAAAACCGCGCGCACCTGTAGATGATGTATTACTTGTAAACGTGTGAAGCGTGATGATCTTACGATGTATTTGTTAATTGCAAAGCATGGCATTCTTGGAAATTATAAGAATTCTATATAGCATTATGCGGCAAGATAGTGATATCACTCGTCTTTAATTCCTGACCAAAATCCAACTCCCCGAGTCGCTCCTTACTGGGTGCTAGGCTTCAGAATGATGTTGTCAATAAGGCGCACTGCAGGACCGTCGTTATGACCAAGGTCCTCGCCGGGCTGCGGCTCTTCCACCGGCAGCATCTTTACAGCACCGCTCAAAATTCCGCCCTTTGTCGGCACAACAGTGTTAATCTCCTGCATGGTGTCAGGGTCGGCCAGCGAGATGTAGTCCACCTCAAACATGACCCTATCCTTGGGCGCCAGCTTCGACTGCTCCGCCAGAACATCAGCCGTAACTTGGTTCGCGGCCCCGAGGATCGTCTCCCGATCCAGCGCGCCGCCCTGCTGGTGCTTTTCCTCCGCTGCTTTCAGCGCACGGTTCAGCACCGTCGCGACCTTGCGTCTACGCTCGCCGAGGTAGACGTTACGCGAGCTCAGAGCCAGGCCGTCGTCCGCGCGTGTCGTCTCGCCGATGACGACGTCCATGGGGAGCATGAAATCTTCCACCATGCGACGGATGACGACTGTCTGCTGAACATCCTTTTGTCCAAAGTATACGCGCTCCGGCTGGACAATGTTGAACAGCTTCATGCACACCGTCGCGACGCCCCTGAAGAAGGTAGGTCTGCTCGCGCCCTCGAGGACCTCGCCCACAGGCGTGATCGTCACGAAGCTTCCCTTGCTTCCGACTTCTTGCCCCGGAAAGCCGGAGGGATACATCTCCCCCGTCGTCGGCGCGAACACGGCGCTGACGCGGCCGAGCATATCCCCGTCGCCGGCTAGCTCGCGGTCGAGGTTCCGCAGGATCTCCGAGTCGCGCGCCCAGGTTACTGGGTAGGACGCCAGGTCTTCTGCGATGCCGAATTGTGCTGGGTTGACGTAGATTGATACGACAACGTGGTGGTTTTCGCGGGCGGCGGCGCGGATGAGGGAGAGGTGGCCCTCGTGGAGGGCGCCCATTGTCGGGACGAGGCCAACGGAGCGGTAGTTTAGGACGTGGGGGCGGCGCCAGTGGCGGAGGGCGGAGACGGTACGGAAGACGCGGATTGGACTTGAGGGGAGGGTTTCGGGGCCGCGGGACGGGGAGGAGGACGAGGAGGAGCATGCTGTCCGGAGCTGTTGTAGAGCGCCGGAACGGGTTGTGCTTGCGCCCGCGGCGCGGAGGGTGCGGGCGAGCATTTTGGACGATTTGAGATTGTGTGGATTGATGAGAAATAGAAGATGAACTGTCTTAGGGAGGAAGAAAGGAGATTGCGGCCATTGTGGAGGCGCAATGGCTTTGTAGAGTCATCCAAAGCTGTGATGGTTTCTGCAGCGGATTTTTGGGGACGACGGAGGTCTGGTGGAGATGGAGGCGGCGGTCTCGGTGTTATCGGTGAGTTCGGTGAGACAGGCAAGGTAAAGAGCTCTGGGAGCTTGTGTGGGGCTTCCGCACGTGATAGAATGACATAAGCGGCCTTGGAGGCTGTATCCACCGCGAACCTTGATGGTTTCCGTGTGGGAGTTTCCGGAACCCGCAGACCGAGGCCTTACCGATGCGGGAGCCGATCTAATCAAGGTGAAGCTTCGGTGTGCACCCGCGTCGGGGATTTCGCAGCGGATATCCACTGAATAACCTCTCCAAACTTCCCGCTGTCACGGCCCTCCTCCCTGGTCTCCCATGCTCTCACACTCCCCCTTTCCCCATCATCTCTGGCACATCTTCTTTCCCATCTCTACCTCTTATCAGCTGGCGATGGAGTTACACGTGCTATTCTCAGGCAAAAACAAGAGAGCCAATCTTGAATGCTACACAAAGACAAATGGCCAGGTCAGTGCCTCGTACAATATGACACCAGAGAACTCTTGTACAACACGAGCATGCCAGATTGTCGTCGAACTTTTCCCATCTTCCTTTGGGCACGATTGACTCGGTCCCGCGATCTGATGCCCGATTAAATCGACGATACTTTCTCTAGGTCGTGCCGACTTTCCTCCTTTCTCCTTCACTCCCGTTCTTGCACCTATCTACTCTTGCTCCAATTTCAATTAGACTCTCTGTCCTTTCTTCCTCTTTCTCCGGATTCTTTCAAAGTGAACAGAATGCCTCGGCTCCATCACTTCCTTATTGATTTCTCCAGGTCTTGATACCGATTTGTCAAATCTCCTGTTTCACGCCTGGAGACACTTTCTTGGCATCTCGGCTCAGATGTAGCAGATTTCTCTTTCGCCTTGCACCTTTGTTTTTCCTCCCCCTCCCCCTCTTCCCCGATTCTTCCATTCTGCAGAGCACTGCTGTGCGCTAGTACCGGGTAACTTCAGACGAAAAAAAGAGACGCAGGAGATCGAGGCTCGGCTTGCTGCAGGTTGGGCCTGCGGTGGGTGGAAGGAGGGAGGGTAGGGAGGGGAGCCCAATCTCCCGGCCGATTAAACACCTGGCTGTGACACAGCTTCCCAAGGACTCGATGCCAACGGCGCAAAGCAAATGCAAATGCTTGGTGACTTGCCAAGTCTCACGACGTTGCCGTAGAAAGAGTTACAGCAGCAGCCAAGGTGCCACAAAAGTGACAAGACGACTCGAGATGCAGCATCTGGGCTCATCTTCCACCCCTTCCACCCCTTCCGCCAAGGTGTCCCGATCAGCCTGGGCGTCGGCTGCAGATGACGAATACAAAAGACAGGAGTTGCAAATCTGAATATCACCAAGAGACTTGGCGGGCTCTTCTTTGCCACAGCGGTAAGTATTCATTGTATCAAGTAGTCGCAAAGGCCCCACGAACCCCCCCCCGCCCGGAGCCGGGACGTCCGTCACAGCCAACCAGCCCTTGACCGTTACGGTGAAGGAGTCAGGAGCCTTCCCCAGGAATGCCTACCCGCGAAAGGACAAGGCAAAAACTTCCCGAGAAGCTTATCCCTTCCCGCTTGAGAAAGATGAGCCTCGCTGTCTTGTTCCGGAAGAGAGGGCCCCTACTCTTGGCCCTTGGGGTTTGGTAGTGTAGCCTCCTTGGAGGTTGTGGGGGACCGGCGGCGACGGGAAGCAAGGCATGACGACGGGGGAGTACGGATATACCGTGATTGTATCGCAACCAGGTCCCGTTCAAGCTGGAAGAGAACAATTGTCACGGGTGGATGGGAGAGTGGCATAACGCTAGCTGCTGATGCTAATGTTGCTGCTGCTTGTTCCTCCACATACTTGCTTTCCACGGCCGGGAAAATCAACAACTACGCAACCTTGTATTCCCGAGCCGCTGAGTGAGTTCAAGATAATGTGGTGGCTTGTATCGAGCTTTCGACAACGCGCACCCGCATTCGCTTTCGAATTCTGTCATGAATTCTGATCCGGATCATCGGACGAAGACTCGCTTCTGGCTGCTACTCTTACTGTTGCTGCGAGGTTCGCTCAGGAACCAGAAAAAACCTAGAATATGCTGCATTTCTGACACTCTTCTGTACCTTGTCCCATCTCGTTGGTGTTAAGCGCTCGGCTTACATGACGGACGGAAAAAAGAAGCCTATCCTATCCATCACCTGATTGGGACAGGCCTTCTCTGGTACTTTTGTTTCACTTTGGTTCGTCTGGTGGGCAAGTTTCGTAATCCGCCGCACGGGGGTGCGCTTGGCAGAATACAGCAACATTGAGTCTCTTGGCATTTTATGTGCAGGGCAGCAAGTTGGCTCTTGGACCGGTACGCAGTGCTCGGCAAACTGCGCAGCCGGCGGGAGAAAAAGGCAGGAGGGAGACTATGAACGTGACAAACGTCCCATGCCCGGTGGTTACTCTGACAGAAGAGTCCCAGAAGAAAGAGAACGGACGAAAGTTCTTATGTGAGGGAAGGGTCAAGACGCTTCGATGCTTTTAAGTCGACACACCTTAATTCTATGATCTTGGAGGCTACCGGAAACTCAGAAGGGGCAACGAGACCCGGTGGCAAAGGCAACCTAACTCTGAACTGTGTTTATTCTGGGAGAGAAGGATGGCAAGCCTGTGGTTGGGACATTTTGGACGTGGTGTAAAAGGCCAAACGAAACATGGGCAAAAGCTTCCCCGAATCAACCCCCTCTCAAGGAACGAACCTTGCTTGCTCGAGCCTATATTCGCAACTACTGACACTGTTAAGGTGAGATGGGCGAATACGGTTGGAGGGTTTCCATGCTATTGAAATCATGACTGGGAGGGTCGCGAGACAGTCTTCCCTCTTCGGCTCTACTCGCCCTACTACCGTGACGTGCCCGACTCGCTTCCTTCGGCTGATGTTTTCGACTTCGCTCGGTCTTGCTAATTCTGTTCGACAACCTTGTTGAGGTTCTGGCTATAGTTGCCAGTACGATAAGTCCGGTATAGAAGGTATACGGCTCTTCCAGCCAATTGCGCAGCAAAGGTACGGATAGGCTGCGGTTGTCATCTTTCGCGCGGCCGGCACCGCCTATGGGATCGACGTACCCGGGGCAAGGGAGAATGAGGTTGCGCCGGGGCATGGCGATCAAACCGTCCCGAGCGGCCTGGAGCAAAACAACTCGGCCGGTGGCGGGGATGATGTTGGGGGTGGTCCACTGAGGCACTGGGCTGGGCAGGCAGGCAATCCTGGAGGGCAGAAAGAAGCGAACATGAGATAATCGAGAGCATCTGGCATGATGGTGGACGTCAAAACAACCAGACACAGAATACGACGTTCCGCGACCAACATACGCCAGCTGCTGGCGAGTCCCCCTTTGCCGAGTCCCCACACTCACTACGCAGCGTGGAAACAGAAATCGCAACATGAGGCGGTGCTGGGCGCTGCTGAGAATCAGGCGGAAGCATCATCAAGCGGATGCAACTGCAACTCGTCCCGTAACGATTGCCAATCATGCCAGGGGTTTGGGGGACGGGGTTATAGTTGCTGTTGCGTGGCCCTTGATGGAGAGACTGGCTCATGATGGGTCAATAATTCCAAAAGAATCCACGGCCAAGCCTTTTCTTTGCCTTGGTAACGCCGTGACGGTTGGCCTCGAGGGACGATGATACAAAGACGCCATACCACGCACTGACGATGGCTGACGTTGGAAATTCTGGGCAGGCTGCCAATGGATGGTCTCGGCATTCTGGGAAGCAAGAGAAGCCGAAGCAATCCTCTGGCAGTGACAGAGAAGCTCGAGAGAATCACGGATGAGGGGGGGGGGGGCGCCCGTCCTGGCTCAGGAGTATCCCTGAGCGCGCGCGAGAGAGAGGATCATCTGCTCTTCGCACTTCGGAAGCTCGTCATCCTATTTCCCGTTGGAGATGTCGAATATTCTCCGACGGCGAAAATAAGAATGATTTGAGAACCAGAATGGAACAAGAGAAACAAAAAAGGAAGCAACTGGGACGGAACAAATTGTGGACGACAGGGTCCAAGTCACTCACTCACTCACTTCACCAACGGGATTCAGGTTAAGGCACTGGAATGGTGTGGGAAGCTGGCTGCCCATGTGCTGTTTGGCTGCACTCTTCCAGCCCTTCGACCATCATTCTAATCATTCTAGCGGCACCTGGAACCCCGGAAAGGCGGATCTGCAACACCAGTCCCGCGCAAGGTACGGGCATGTGGGAGGGGGAAGTGCATGAGGGAGATGAGGGAGGATGATTGGGTGAAGGAGCCGTGTGCTGTGGCTGTGTGTGTGCGTGTGTGTGTGCTTCTGCTGCATGGTCCGAGAGACGCGGGTCTCGGAACAAGGATCGCGAGTTGATCTGGGTGATGACCCCCGTCATTCTTCAGTGGCATCTAGGTACGGACAACTCAGCTGGATGGTCGTCGCTTTGAGTGTGCAACATTGGCAGGTCTTGGAGAAACTGCATGGCGTATGAGATGGAAGAGGACAGGGAGAGGGAGCTGATCTCGAGCTGTTGGGTATCTGTCTTGCCTCTCTTGTTCATCAGCCCGGCAGAGTCTCTTTCAGCTGTTTAGCAACGTGTCGAGCAGCAAAACACTTGATCGGAACGGCTAAACGGCGCCGAAAGGCGGATATCCCGAGCTCAGGCCAGGTTGGACGATGGAGCACGTCGGACCACGGCCGTGTTGCGAAAGAGAGTTGATCTATCTTCTCTTTCTGTACAGATGTTTCTTCTTTGGCAATCACTCGCACCACGACACACGCACACATGCACACACACACACGACGTCAACACCTATTCGATCCCGACTTTCTAATGCCATCGTGATCGTCGCTATCAAAACAGGTACGGACCTATGACCACAGACTTTCTGTGACTGTCACCATCGGCAAACGCTTCTTCCATCTTAAAAAGTGGAACCAAGGGACCGCTCCGGTTTTAGAAGATCCCACACAAAAAGTGCTAAATCAAGCGAGAGGAGGGAACGCTTGGTTGTGGTTGTGGTTGGTGTGGTGGGATCAAGACACGCCCGTGTGGTGCGTCCATCACACACGTCCTACGCGGCCATGTCTCTCTTCCTCAACTGTCTGCTGGTCTGCCCAGTTCACTTTTCTCCTTTCTTCGTCCGGGGACACACCCACCAGTCACCCCATCTGCCCTCGCTCGCACCGCCCTCCTTCGCCTCAAGTTGTCACTGTGTCACTGAATCTCGCACTCTTCCGCTGTATCTGCTCCCCTTCCCTCAGTCTCTCATCCCGCCCCCTCGGAAATCTTCAGTCTCAGCCTCCCTGCCTTTGCGCCCACACTCTCAGGTACCTCTCAGTCAAGGGTAGGTGACTTGTTTTCTTGCTGCTCTAATCACCTTATCCACGCCCCCGTTCCTGCAAGAGAGGGACCCAAGCTCGACCTGTTGCGAGAGAGTACTCCGTGATTACCGTACCTGATGTGAAAGGGGGAAGAGACAGAGAGAAGAGTTCTGGGCTCACTCAATTCCAACGTCCATCCATCATCCATCGGTCACTGACCGACTCCCTTCTCTGCTATTGTGCCTCTATCTGGCTGCCGGCCTGCCCACTCGCCCGAGAACCGGCGTCACTCAATCTCTCTTCGGCTTCGATTACCCACTCTGCCCTACTTACTACCTACCTAAACATAGCATAGCCGGCCTGTCAACGCTCTTCTCCCGCAGCACCTCTCTATTCATTTTTTTCTTCTGAACCAAGACTCGACTCTTCCCATCCGTCGACTTGACACTAGACGGAACGAATCTCAACACACAGCCAAGAGCCAGTTGAGAGATGCTTTGAAGCCAAGAAGCATCATATATGCAGTCTTTGCTTGACCAAGCCTTTTCTTCTACGACCAAGTTTGCGCCATCTGCGACAAATCAACGTACTCGCGGCTTTTCGCGACTTTTCTCCATCCCAAGACTTGATTGTCTTGGCTAGAACACTCTCTCACAACCATAACCCAGGGAGGGAGCAAGACCCCAAGGGCCACACCCCCCTGTCTCATGGCTCCTGGAGTCCTGGCACCCCCGATCCCGACCTGAGGTCCCTCTCACTTGGGAAACCCATCCCGCTTGATCCCGCTCCTTTGCCGAGAGATTTCAACTCTTCGACGCTACCTACCTTTTCTCCATCTTCCGCCGCCCGGGTTCTCATGTCGTTGTCGTTCTCGTCCTCCTCCCCTCTGCCTCGTTGTCCTGCCCTCTGATAGGAATCATCAGCGACATTGCATCACGATACAAGCCTCCCCTACACTCTCGACTCCCCACAATCCTTCAAGAAATAGATCCAAGGCCGGACAGGACCGGGTAGATCGCAGCATCGGATACAAGACGACACCACACCGGCAAAGAGAAACGAGAACTCTGTTGCGCCCACTCCAAGACTCCAAGTCCCTCCAACACCCACGCACTGCCTACTCGGTACAGCGCCTCGCCCCAGACTGTCCACAGTCCGCCCACCCATCGCCCGGGATTCCTGCATATGTAAACGACCTAGCGGCACGAGAACAGACTAAGTCTCACCCTTCCCTCCACCTGTGCCGTCCACACACACACACACACACACACACACACCATACCTTACCACACACCGTAAGGTATTACCCAACGTAACGGCCTGGCCTGAAAGAGAAAGAGAAAGAGAAAGAGCACAGAGCACACAGCACACACACACACACATAGGGGAGAGAGTGAGAGACAGAGGGAAAGGGGACCACTCTTCACACTTCACCATCTTTTACGCTAGTCAAGTCAATCCCGTTCCATCCCAGGAGGCGACTAGCAGCTTGTGACTTTTACATCTCGACTTTTCACTCTCACAAATCGCACTCCATTCTCCGCTTTCTCTCACACTCTCAACTCAACTCGACTCAAATCGACTCATTCACCCACACAGTCTCACCTCACATCTTACCCGACTCTCTCTCTCAACGTTGCTGTATCGCGCGCGCGCCGCATAGCCGACATCCCGTTCGACCTCGATCGCTGTCAATCTCACCACCATCACGACCGACAGCGCAGTACTCCGTCCCGAGATAGCAAACTCGATAACCGGCGACTCCTCTCCCTTCCCCGCGATAGGCTGCCTCTTCCTAGCAGCCCCCATTTCGGCTCCGTACACTTGAGAGACGCATAGAGAGAGAGAGAGAGAGAGAGAGAGAGAGAAGAGCTCCTGCAGCGCTCTCACTCACTTTCCCCCGCCTACGCGCCTCTTTTCACTCTCATCGTGAGAGGCCGAATAATCTCATCCAACAACGCTCATCAGCGCATTCTCTCACAACACACGTCGATAGCAACATCGCCAACAGCCTCAACCTCAAACCTCCACCAAAGGTTTATTGCCCACGAGAACCTACCAGTCGCAACCCAATTTCACCACAACCAGGTGTCCCGAGCAATCACTGAACCGGCCCGCGCATCGCAAAACCCCCATCCGTCTCTACTCGCCAGAGACGGATCTTTCGAGTAGCCCTGGAGGCATACGACGCCTCTGCAGGCGTCCTCGTGCCAGGCTTTGGCCTCGGTTCGGCGGTGCTGAATCCCTTTGAGCATCCGCCCCTCGACTTCGTCCACGATCCTTACCATTTGGGAGGCGACAACGACGTCGACGAGGACCAGGTCTCCTCCCTCTCTTTCGGCTTCTCCTCCGACTTTACACCAGACTTTACCCTCGGCCCCGACGCCGACGCCGCCTCCAATTCGGAATCGGCATCTTCGTATCTCGGTAATCATCATCAACATCACCACCAGTCAAACTATCTTAACCAGCAGCATCACCACCACCAGCAAAGCTATCACCACCACAACGCAACCATGAATTTGCCCAGTTCCCACATTCCGCCCCGCCGCAGCGCGAGCATCCACTCTCTCACCCCGTCGCGCGACCTCCTCGTCAAGTCCAAATCCCCAGAGAAATCCGCCGCCGCCGCCGCCGCGACCGCCACCAAATCAAAACGAGTACGGACGGGCTGTCTAACGTGTAGGGAACGGCATCTAAAATGCGACGAAGGGTTACCAGACTGTCTAAATTGTCGAAAAAGTAGTCGAGAATGCAAACGCGGCGTGAGGCTTAATTTTATAGACGTGCAGGTCAAGCAACCGCCGTACATGCCACCCACTGTTGAGTGGTCAGGTGAGTTGTGAATGCCCTCATTTTCATCAGCTTCTCATTTCTTCCCATCTGCACTGCTCATTTTGCTTGGGGAGAACGCGGGAAGATGATCATCAGGCTTAAAGTATTGCGACACTAAATGCTAACGAGTTCACAGTTCAATTCCAAGACGAGTCGAGACTCATCGCCTCAGAGTACGTCGGAGGCCTTGGCCGGTACGCTCATCTTGATAAGAAGGCCGCCGTCGCACCTCCGCCACGGCATCTAGGTCATCTAGAGCCGACCCTCCGGCATCAATCTCACCTCCTCCCACACGCAAGAGCAAGCGGCCCAGACGCCTCCGTCTCACCGAGGACTCACCTCCTTCACCACCCACCTCCCCCACCGCCGCCGCCCCCAACATACAGCCACCACCCGTACTATCGCGAACCTCCTCACCGAGGACCCATCGAGACATCAGCCTACCCGCGCCGCGAGAGCGAGTCCGCCTACCTCACACCCCAGAACTCGGCTCACCCGGCACCTCACCACCCCTACAGCCTCCACGAGCACTTCGCCTCCTACCGCGACGCACCCGGCCCCAACAGCCGCGCCCACGGCCACCACCGCGACAGCGACGCCTCGAGCGCGGCCTCCATCGTCCCGCAACCCACCGCCCCGCCGCCCAGCTACCGCAGCAGCGCCGCCGCCGCGAACCCCCTCGCCCCAGACGGCATGATGACCCCCCCACCGAGCGAAAAGGCATCCGCCGGCGAGAGGGAGTACCTCAACTCCCCCGAGGAGATCCTCTACATGCAAGTCTTTGTCGAAGAGGTCGGCGTCTGGATGGACTCGCTCGACAAGGAGAAGCACTTTTCCCGTCTGATCCCCTACCACGCTCTCAAGTCGCCCATGCTCCTCAACGCCTTCCTCGCCTGCGGCGTCAAGCACCTCACCCTCGTCAACCCGGCCTACGAGGACGACAAGGCGCTATTCTACTACGACACCGCGACCACCCAGCTCCTCCGCAGCCTGCAGAACCCGGACCGCAACACGGGCGAGTGCGCAACCACGGCCGTCGTCCTCAACGTCTGCGAAATCATGTCCGAGAAGCCCGCCCAGCGCATGAATCACATCGCCGGCGCCCGCGCCCTGATCCGCGAGTGTAAATGGGACGCCCGGTCCTCCGGCATCGGCGCCGCGTGCTTCTGGCTCAACATCGGCATGGAGGTTCTCTCGTGCTTGGCCTTCAACTGGCAGACGTCGTGGGATCCGGACCAGTGGGGGCTCGATATGAGCTTTACGAGCGAGGCTAGTGCCGCAGCGGCGACAGCAGCATCGAGATCCGGGGACGGGTTTGGACAGGAGGAGGTCTGGGTCCATCGGATCCTGTACATTGTGGCCAAGATTGCAAACTTCCGCGCCACGATCCCGCGGTTCCAGGAGCCGAGCCCGCACGACGAGCAGATCCGCCTGGGGAACCGGCTGCAGCAGTGGCAGGATCTTAAGAAGCTCTGCGACAAGTGGAATAACACCTGCCCGAGGACGATGCACCCGTTCGGATACCTCTACCCCTCGCAGACAAACTCCAAATCCGCCTTTCCCAACGTCTGGTAAGTCTCTCTCTCTCTCCCGCTTTCTAGCTCCTCAAGCCATGTCCTCGTATCTAATAACCCAAATAGGCTCATCAAACGCGCCGCCATCATCGGCCGCCTCTTCTACCACACAGCTCAATGCCTCCTCGCCCAAACAAACCCAATGGAACCAGGCCGCGCCTCAGAAGAAATGCGCGCCCTCCAGCTCCACCACGCCCACCAAGTCTGCGGCATCGTAGCCCACACAAAAGACCGCGGCGTCGCCTCCGTCGCGATCCGCTCCCTCGCCATCGCCTCCGCCGTCCTCACCGACCCGCGCGAGCAGGAAGAGGTCCTCGAGATACTCGACAAGATCCACGCCGAGAGCGGCTGGCGCCTGGGAAGCATCCATGGCGAGCTTAAGAAGGCGTGGGGCTGGCCTTCGCCTGCGCCGTCGCACGCTTCTCTCGGCCCGGCGGAGCATAGAGGTTCTGTTGGGAGTTATGGTGGTGGCGGTGGTGGTGGGAGACCCGGTCCGCCGGGTAACCCGCCGGCCATGGCGACGTCGAGCGCGCCGTTGGCTTCGAGCGCTGCTGCTTCGGCGCCGATGAAGGCTCTTGTTAACCCGCTCTCGTATGCGGACTTTAGTTTGCCGAATGCTCCCTACAAAGATTGGTGGAAGCCGCCTAACCGGAACGACTCGTACGGTTACCAGAGTTTCCCATGATGACCTTTCTTTCGCTTCTTTCAACTCGTTTCCAAGTTTGCCTGTCTTTTTTTTTTCATTCTATCACTTCGTTCCAACCCTGATCCTTTCCAAGACATCGTGAAAGGGGCAGGATTTATATATATAATATTCTTCAAGAAAACTGGAGGCGGATATTTGCTCTTCAGACATTCAACATCGTGGATTGCCGAAACCAAAAAGAGGGCTGGCACTGGTTTGCCTACCTACCTACCTACCTACCTATCTTATGATTATGACTCCCTTTATCATCTTTTTCACTTTCTGGTATTTTCTTCTCTTCTTTTACTGCATCATCTTTTTATACAAAGGCTATAACCGGGAGAGGAGGAAACCACGGCTTTACAGGACGGCCGGCAAAGCATTGCGTTGGAGAAGGGGGTCCATTGGACCGCGGACCCGTTGAAAGGAATTGTAAATGGACAAGGGGACATGTGGCGTTCCGGCACTTCACAGAGACAAGGGGGGATATATGGTTTTGCTGAGATTCGCTCCAGCATTTTGAGAGGCTCCAATGGTTGAGAGACCCCAGATTGCTCTGCAAAGGGCACCGATACCATGAGATATTCACTATTATTCTATCTTGGGCACATGTTTTGCTTCCTTGTTCACCTTTCTTTCGGTTCGTCACACAAAGTACTTTGGAGGCAAGGAACCGTCTTTGATCGTTATCTGCATTAACTGGTATCTGTTTTGTTCGGATGAGAAAGGGGGGATGTCCGTGTCCTGTCTAAACGCGGGAGGGAATCTATCGCAATGCCAATGCTCAAAAAGCAAATGTCAAGCGCTCTGTGTCTTGACACCAAGAACTTTCTATGAAAAAAGTCATTTTCTCTCTCCTTCCCATTCTTTCCAGACTCATCTTCTACTGACGTGCCCAAAATCTGTTGACCCATTCGTCCAATCGTCGTGAAATCCATTTGTCCCATCTATCGCCGTTCCTTCGTGTAAAATTGCTCAACAAAAAGAAAAGAACTCAAAGTCTGCGGTGTTCAGCTATGAATTATGCCAAACTACATTCCAAAAGTCTCTCGGTTGCTGAAAGTAGTGTACTAAGCGGAGCCGTTAGTGTTGGCGACGACGCTGCCGCTGACGTTCTCCTTCATGAAGGGCTCGTTGTCGACCTCGACGGGAGGGATGGTCATGCCGAACTTCTCGTAGGGGAAGTTCTCGAGGGTGGGCAGGTACTCAGCCCAGCCATCGTCAATTTCGCCGACCTGGTGCATGTCTACCTGGCCAGCCTCGCCGGTGCGGCCAGCGAGGACCTCCTTCTCGCGGCCGGCGTACTCCTTGAGGAGCATCTTGTGGGGGCACCAGATGACGCGCATGCCGGCGCGGCGGCCAGCCTCGACACCGGGAACGGAGTCCTCGAAGACGAGGCACTCCTCGGGGGTAATGGGCTTCTCACCCTCGGGAAGAGACTCGTTGATGGTCTTGAGGGCCAGAAGGAAGATGTCGGGGTTGGGCTTGCCGCGGCCAGCACCAATGCGGGTGTCATCGCCCAAGACACGACGTTGGGAGGGGAAGACGGAGAAGAGCTCAGTCAGGTGGTCAGACTTGAGCTTGAAGTTGGCCTCGTGGGAAGAGGTGGCTAGGGCAATGTGGACGCGCTGGGCGGTCTTGCCGTCAGCAGCCTCGGGCTTGTGGTCGAAGTAGCGGGTGCGACCAAGGTTTTGGAGGAGCTGGGGGATGCCGGGGAGAGGCTTGGTCGAGGGGAAGATCTGGCGCTGGAGAGCAGAGAGCTTCTGGTGGTACTCCTCGTGGGCAATGGGGAGCTGAGCCCACTCGTGGAAGATGCGAGTGGCATCGGGACCGGGGCGGCCCTGGAGCTTCGCCTTGATGTTCCAGGGAAGGAGAGGGCGGCCGTACTGCTCGAGGATGATGTTGATGCAGGCGGTGTAGAGGTCTTCGGTGTCGAGGAGGAGGCCGTCCATGTCGAACAGGCAAGCCCGGACGGGAGGGAACCTGCAGCAAGGTCACTCAATTAGCTTACCGGCGGTGGTGAGACGAGAAAGAACTTACTCGGTGCGAGGGGCCATTGTGATGGTGAGGGAGATATAGAGGTAGTGTGACGGTTGTGATAAGTAGAGGTAAGAGGGGAGGGAGAGGTAGCGATTCTATATCTTCGTGGTGAGTATCGAAGGAGGAGTGGTAGAGGGTGGAGGAGGAAGAAGTGGAAGAGCTCTGAAGAAAATAAATCCTCAGTTGGGGTATCGCGAAGAAAGTTTGTGGAGGGGAGGTCACGGTAAAGAAGTTTTTAGCAAAAGGGAAAGGGCCTTTTGTCCTTTCTCGGAAAGACCTGAGTCAACAAAGTGAATTGAGGGACGGAAGGAACAATGGGCAGGAAGCCAACGTCAAACGGCAGGGGCGCTCAGGAACAACGGCGGGGTGAAAACGGAAGCGGAAGGCACCGATGGAGGGGTCGCTCAGCTCTTTCCCGAATGAAATGGCGACCAGATGGGGAAGTGGGGTCGCCAAGTATCCTTGTACACCGTGCCTTTCTTTCCAATATTTCTAGTAAAACTGTACTCAGTACCGAGAAGTCAGGCTGAAAACCACGAAAGTCGCCGTAGCGAATACAAAGGGAAAGTCAGCTATTAACGAGATGCTCTATGAAAGAATGGAAGATCAAAATAATTCTCCCTCTCCAGGTATTCTTTCTTCTATTTACCGATTTACACATTGGAACAAAAATAGCTTCTCCCACAGGCCACAGTTCAAGCGATGGCGCATACGGTGCCAACTCCCTCATGGTGAATCGATTGGATCCCAGTGAGGCCAGCCGCTGGAAGACCCCTAAAGCGCTGTATCCGTAGCGAGGTGGGCTAAGAGGTGTGGCTTCCACCACCCAAAAAACATGTGAACAGCCTCAACGTCCCACTCCACCAATCCACGTGGGGACGAGACAGTGACGACATTCTTGGGCGCCTTGCTTGCACACCTTGACCCAACTTGAGATTTGCGTCCAACGATTACACACGAGTCTATCCACCCATTACTGCCTTCATCATGGCCTCGAAGGAGACAGAAAAGAACCCTCAGGGTAAGGGCAAGGACAAGTCGGTCAACGATGAGCCAGAGGAGGTTCAGGAGAAGTTCTCTCCTGAAGAGGAGGCGGTAAGCTGCAAAACGTTCCTTTGGCCTCGCTCGTTTTATTATGACTTTCCAAAATGACTGCTCGTTTCAATAATCGATCGAACACATCATTAGACAATATTGGCAAGTGCCAGGGTTCTCAGACTCATAGCCTCGCAACCATGAGTCAAGTATTCTTCTCAATCATCCTGAATGGCCCCTTCGAAAGTCATACGAGAAAGAGTATCTAACATATCCACAGTCCCTCCTGGCTGAGGCCAACACTCACAAAACCGAAGCAAACGCCCTCTTCACCTCCTCAAAATACGATGAAGCCATCGCCAAGTACGACGAAGCCGTCTCCGTCTGCCCAAACTACCTGGATTACGACCTCGCCGTCCTACGCTCAAACATCTCAGCCTGTCACCTGAAGCTAGAGCAATGGAAAGACGCAATCTCATCCGCTTCATCTGCTCTCGACGGCCTAGACCGCATCGAAAAGGAAGCCGCGCTAGAGCAGGAACGCCGCGAGAAGGCAAAAGCAGAGGAGGAGGAGGGCGTGGAAGAGGAGATTGTCAGCACTGGCGCTAGCACCGCTGCACCCGCGCCAGTAACGAACACGGATGACGCAGAGGAGGTCGCGCGTCGGAAGAGGAAGGACGATGTCGTGCGTATTAGAGCCAAGGCATTGATGCGCAGAGCGAGGGCGCGGAGTGAGGAGGGCGGATGGCAGAATCTTGCGGGTGCTGAGGAGGATTACAAGACGCTCTCCAAGATGAGCAACCTCGCGCCGGCGGATCGCAAGATTGTGCAAACGCAGTTGCGTATGTTGCCGCCTAGGACCAAGGCTGCGCAGGAGGCGGAGACGGCGGAGATGTGGGGGAAGCTCAAAGATGTGAGTCTCGCCAACCCCTAAGATGATTCCTTGAGCTCTTTCGATGGCTGACCATTTAACGATAGCTGGGTAACGGCATTCTTAAGCCATTTGGCCTAAGTACAAACAACTTCCAGATGGTCAAGGATGAGAAGACTGGTGGCTATTCGATGAACTTCAATCAGGGTCAATGAGCCTGTAATGATCCATCACCGCCTCTCTTCTGTAACCATGCTCAAGTTGACCTGGGCCACCTACCATGGTCAGTTTGCTTAGGTACAGATAGCATCCTGTGATACACAGCATAGGCAATCAGCGATGTTGCCATGGTCATCAGCACCATGTCGCATGTTCAGCTCCCTCGGGCTAAGATAGTAATACATCTTATGTCCTGCAGAGTACGTCTCTCGACAGGACCAGAAAAAAATAGTTGAAAGACATTTCAGGCCCTCGCCGTGCTCGCCACATCGTAAACCGGATACTCCAAGACAGCGCAAGCTGTTAGACGAGAAGAATCCTACCAGTCGCAGAAACGCCAACTCTTCCCAATTCCGGCAGACAAGATCAGGATACCATCAGAAAGTTTCCAGGCCACAGGAAAGGCCACAGGAAATGACATGGGAAGGTATGTTAATATGTCACTATAGTCAGCTACCTAGCTGGGCGAGCGCCATCAGTGAGATTTTGTCAGGGGCGGCGATCCTTCTCCTTCTTCGCCGATGGTCTTGCGGCGGGGGAATCATTAGGGCCCGATCGGCGTTAAGCAATGTCGGCTGTGCGGTGCCCCGATCGCCGATATACGACGACCACGGCCCGTGATACCGACTTACACTGCGTGTAAGACGGGACTGCACGTATGAGACAGCCGTCTTCTAAGATTTAGCCGCGAATAAGGTGATCATTGATAAATCTCATGTGAAGCATCGTTGTTCCTCACTCGAAACTGGAAATCCATCTCCTAATCACGGCTTCGTCGACAACGATACACCATAATTTCATCAACACGACAATCAACAATATCCAAAATGACACCACTTAAAGGAAAGACAGCGATCGTCACAGGAGCATCCCGCGGTCTTGGCGCAGGCATGGCCCTAGACCTCGCACGCAAAGGCGCATTCGTAAGCAAATATCCCCTCATCTCTCATCCTGCCCCCTCCAACCGCCTATCAACAAACAGATAATGCTCCTCTACACCTCCGACACAAGCGCTCCTAAAGTCGACTCCCTCATCATAGAAATCACATCCCTCCCACACGAACCCTCCGCCGTAGCCTGCAAAGCAGACCTCTCCTCAGAAACCGCCCCAGCAACAGTCCTCTCCGCCCTAGACGCTTGGCTCGGCCCCGAAGCCCACGTCGACATCCTAATCAATAACGCCGGAACAGAACTCAACGCACCGCTAGGCACCATCTCCCCCGCCGACTTCGCAAAAGTCTACGACCTCAACGTCCGCGCGCCTCTCCTCCTAACCCAAGCCCTTCTCCCGCGCCTTGCCCCTACCGGCGCACGCATCATTAACATCGGCTCCGTGGGCGGGCGACAAGGCTTTCCCGGGTTGGGACTCTACTGCTCTTCAAAGGCGGCGTTGGAGGGGCTGACTCGTGTGTGGGCGCGGGAGTTGGGGAAGAACGGAACGACTGTGAATTGTGTTGCGCCGGGGCCGGTGCAGAGTGATATGTTGGATAAGATCCCCAAGGAGCTGGTGGAGATGCAGAAGAGGCAGACGCCGGTAGAGAATCGGACGGGGACGGTGGAGGAGGTTGCGAGGATTGTGACGTGGCTTGCTAGTCCTGAGAGTTCGTGGGTTAGTGGGCAGATTATTAGTGCGAGTGGTGGTTGGGCGATGTACTGAGGGGGTTACGCATATCTTGTTTATAAGCACGGGACAGTGTAGATGGGAATCAGTATGTTGATATAGTAAATCTTGCCAACTGAGTAGGTGTTGTCAGACGAGAACCTGCCGACCGAATCTTCAACTCCTGCAAAGATCACCCACTGGACCTTATAATAGTACATCCGCATATCAAAGGATTTGAAGCATCTCTCGCAGGCAATAGATCTTGGGTATATTTATTTTCCTACTCACCACTCTTTAGCCTCTAAGCAGCAGCCTTGGCGGCCTCCTTCTCCTTTGCTTTGGCGGCCTTCTTCTCGTCAATTTGGCGCTGCTTCTCCAGCTTCTTGAGCTGGTTCTTCGTCATCTTGCCGTCAGCACCCTCTGTGGGGCCGTCAGTGGTAGCCTCACGGATGGGAATTGACTTGAGGTTCTCGGCGAGGCCCCAGGACAACGGCCGACGAGAGAAGAACAGGTTGACAGTCTCCTCGTCCACCTTGGCTCTCCTCTCCTGGAAGGCCGTGCAGTACTTGGCCAATTCCTCGGAGCACCTCTTCTTGATCTCGCCAGTGAGCATCTTTCCTGTGCGGTAGTCCTCATGGATCTTGGCGAGCTCCTCGTCATCCTCAAGGAAGAAGCGCAGGTATTGGTAGCTGACGTCGACTGGGCATCGATGTTAGCTACTACGCACACAAAAGTACGGCCAGAGTCTGGTCTTACCATCCGGGTCGGCTCCCTCAGCACGCTGCTCCTCGGCGGTAACCTTGCCACCGCTGAAAGCATACTTGTTCATCTTATTCTGGATCTGCTTGGGTGTGTCGTTCAGGAATATGGCACTTGAATCAATTGACGCCGACATCTTGGAGCCAGGGCCCTGAAGAGCATCGAGGAAACGGGAGTGAATGAGAGATGGCTTGGCATAGCGCAGGCCGGCGGCACAGTCTCTTGTCACGCGGAAATAGGGGTCTGTCTTGATGTTAGTCTCTTCTCCTTTCTAGACTTAACGGGGGCAGGGAAAGACGGACCCTGGTCAATGGCACAGGGAATGAGGCAAGGAATCTGAGAAGTCTTCGCCTCGTCTTCGCCAAAGATGTGTGGGAATGAGTTGCCAAATGAGGAACTGGCTTGGATACTGGCAAAGTGAACCTTGCCAATGTTGGAGCTGTCATCGAAGCCGAAGACGGCCTTGGCTGTGTTGAGGGTGATTCTCTTGGCTACACGGGTAACGTTCCTATAAAGAGTAAGCCTTTGATCTCTGCTCCGCCGCATACAACTTGAAACTTACTTGTAGAAATTGCCGCCCATGTAGTCATAGTCGGAGAAAATGAAGGTCCGCTCGGGGTTGAAGCCAATTGCAATGCTGCGGGATATCAGAACGCATACTTGCGGATGATACTAGATGCCTTACATGTCCTTGGCGTTTTCTCTTGTGTAGTGCTGAACCTCCTCGACCGTTCTCTTCTCGGAGAAGAGAAACTTCTCGTCTATGGCTTTTAGTCAGTAAGGAGTTCTAGAAGATTTCTTCAGCAGTTCTTCTTACCATCGGTCATCATGATCTAGGCTAGAGTTAGCGATCGATTTTAGAAAGGGGCTAACCTAAGAACAACGTACCACTAGGGGTGCATCAAGCACGTCTGACAGCCATTTCGTCAACTGGAAAGGGATAGCATGTCCAACGTGCATGCTGTCGGAACTCGGTCCACGGCCTTCACAAAGTCTCGTCAGCCATCATCCTGATCCATCCTGCTTTCCATGTTGTCCTTGAGAATTTGAAACATCTTCGAGGCAACGTACCAGTGTAAATGAAGAAAGGCTGCTTCTTCTCGACACGATCGAGAATGAGGTCAAGGTCGCGGTGGGAGAAGACAATCTGGCGACGGAGGAAGTGATGAGGCCTGTGACCAGTGACGCGCTCGAAGCGCTCGAGAAGGGCATCGTCGATCAGCTTCGTTCCGAACTCGTCGACGATTTTCTGTACAGCAGTTGACGGTCAGCTCGAGCTCCTTTTTCACAGAGGAATATCATTCTTACCTTGTAGTCAATGGCCTTGACCTTGCCATCTGTGCCGACCTATTCCCTCGAGTCAGCCTACGTCCTTCTTACTTATACACCACTATTTGTAAACCCACTTCTCCAGACACGTTCCAGGGGTCGACTTTCTGGCCGCCCGAGGCTGCGGGCGCGTCGCCGACAGCTTCAGCGGGGATGGCGGCGGTCGGGGCTTCGGGTGAGGATGCCATTGTGTCGCGTGGTCTCGATGGGTGTTGTAGAGTGTCGATTGACGAGAGTCAGAAAGAAGTCGAGGTCGTGGCAACTGGTCAGTTGTCTTCTATACGCCTCTTGAGGTGACTAGAATTGTTCGATGACACAGAGCTGTCTGGGCAAAAGTTCCGAAAAGCGTGAGTCAATGGCGGGGGTGAGGGGTGCACCTGCTTTTGCGAGTCAAAGTGCGGCTCGACTTCGGTGTGTACCCCGCTACCCCGCAGTCACCGACACACACCATGCTCACCTGCTCGGCGAGGTACCGGTGAGAGCGAACACTTTTCCCATATCTTGAACGACCATTCCTTGGGTCAACGAGGGATTGCAATTGTTGTCAGACGACGTTTGGAAGTCTTTTGACATTGAAACTCTAGTCATCGATCGAAAATATATGTGGGTAAGACGTAAAGATGCAAATTTCTATCCGCTACTGTATCTTGACTGGAGTTCCGTTCTGCGAAATGCAACTGTCAGGCATATAACCCACTCCCGTACGTTCATATACCATCATTCCAGCAGAATGTTTCATAGCCTTTGGAGTGACGACCAAAACATAACACCTCCGCTCAGAATCTTGTGTCTTACTTCTAGACCTTCCCACAACAATCACTCTCACGTTTGCTAGTTGGCCATCACTTTTGGCCGGATTGTCAAAGATGAGTTTGCTCGCCGAGTGATTGGTGTCGAGCTGAGAGAACTCACGAGCAACAGCGCTGAGGCTGATGCCCAGGCTCTTGTCTGAAGTATGGTAGAACCCATCCGGTGACTTGTTAGCCCATGGCGACTGGATCTCACTTTTTTCCCAGTCCACGCCATCGAAAGGAGGCTCCAGATAGTCTATGCCTCCTTTGTATGCCATCCAAGACCATGTAGGAACTTCGAGGTCTCTTTCGGCTGGGAAGATGATCCTGTAGAGGATCGAATCAGATCCTCTCTGCCAAAGAAGGCTCCGTCGTAGTAATCCACCACCATCGTCGAAAACACCATAGCCACCGTGGGTCTTGAAGCTTTGTATGAGCCTCTTCTCAAGACCAGCTATACCGAACGGCCTGTCTTCATTTCTAGAGAATTGTAGACGCGAGTACTGCTTGTACAAGTCTTGGTAGAGATGGATCTTGGCGCCTCTCGGCGAGTTCATGGCGATTGTAGGGAATCGTGGATCACCGAGGAACGCGGCAACGTTGCTATGAACATGAATTGTTAGAATGAGCCAGGGTCTTGTCATACACGGGCGTGCCTCGTGAATCAACTTACTTATCCAGCTTCGTCATTGTCTCGCAGCGTACTCCTTGGCCGCACTCCCAGTACGTCTGTCTTTCGGTGAAGTAAATCGACCGGTGAGCCAGTGCTCGCTCCTGCAGAACCCATCCTCGTTGGCAGAGTTTTCCCTCAATCACGTCGCCTTCAAAGTCATCAATCTGCCGACAGACATGATATTTGCCACTGTTGCTTCGATTGAAAGTGACGTAGTCTCTGTCGGGTCGAGGTCCGAGAAAACCATCCTCTTGCCCGGTGGCGCGACTTGCTGCAAGGACACAGTATGCGAAGCTGAACACATCCTCCATATGTTTTGATTCTTCCGTGAAGTCTCCGTCGGGCCCCTGTATGATGCAGATCGAGTCTATCCACAGATGCTGAAAGCCAAGCTCTCTCGTTGTGATAACGGCGTCTTTGAAAGTAGCAGGTAAGTCTTCAAAGTTGATCCCGTTCCTGTGCTTCTCAATATTGTTTGTGTAGGTGCAGAAATGTCGATGTTTCGCGGGTTCTCCCCAGGGATGGGACAAAGCCAGGTACTTTCCGCGAGCCCCGTTCGTTTCCCACAGACGAATCTGCGAGCCAGAGACGTCAAGAAGCCTCGTTGGAAGATTGACTTCAAGGGCTTGCAGGCAGTTGCTATGACTCCCACCCAGATCGCAGCTCTGGAGCCAATGTCGTAAAACTTCGAAGTGCAACTCATGGCCGCCCGGGGCAAGTCTCGGGAATCCAAGCTGAAGTCCGATGCTGTCATAGTGGGATGATGTTGAATCTGATATCACTTGTCAATCGGGGATTTAGAAGAGAAACTTAGCAAGAAATGAGAGCTTCCGCGTACCTAGATCATGGAAAATACTCAAAATGGGATCGGTGATACCAGCCATTTTTAAAGTAGAACCTTCACGGTTCAATTGGAAAGAGCCCGACTTTCGCAACGTTTTGCAGACTTCTGAAAGTAAATTGCAGAAATCACATGCGCTCGCTCTTTTTTGCAGATCTGAGACTGTATCAGACAGATAAAATCCAGTTGCGAGGATGTCTAGTCTCTCGCAATGTTGACAGAGCTTCTGAGCTTGGGGTAGGAACAGGTCGTTCGGCATTTTGTCTCGGACTTTCGTCATGTACGTTCTGGCGAAGCCATTGTCTCTGCTAAATCGCCAGTGGTCGCTAAGCTGACGACAGTCAGCCAAGAGCCGAAAGTTCTGAGATAGGTAGAGAACGTCTCACTTACTGCCTTTACTGCTCAGTCAGTTCAGCGATTAGGTAGCATTAGAACAGTCTTGGGGAAAGGGTTGGACATCGGGTTCAGACGTGACTTACGTGCTGCATCGAGTTAAAAGCACATTAGTAAACCAACGTTTGGCATGGAAATGACATTGAACTCTCATTCAACTCACCTCCTTGAAGTCATTCACAACTGTCAGTGAAATGCGTCATGTCATGCATTGCTAAAGGGGAACCAGAGTACTCAACTCACATACTCAACATCCGAAGTCAGCTTCACTGCCATCTCCAGGTATCATCGCCATCAACTACTCACGTCATGCTGCAATGTAAGAGTTAGTATAAGAATCAATGTCGATGAAAGATACATACAGACTGTATTAGAGTTAGTCATTAAGTACATGTTAGTGACTAGGGTACTTACACGTTGCTCTTGTAGAGTGCCGAGAAAAGGGTTGTTCCCTCTGGACGTTTCAGCAGCCACTGGCGATAGTAAGCTATTGGAGTGCGATCTTTGTGGGATCAATGCAGGGCCGTGAAGATTTTGTCGATCCTGTGATCTACAGAGATAGATCTGGTTGGAATCTGCTTTTCGAAGAATCCTTTCCAATCCAGATCGCATAGCTCTGGCATCAGCGCGGTAGGGGCCGATCTCGGGCGTGTTTTGGCTGGCGCTGGTCACGGATATATGTCTGTTCAAGTTTTCCTCAATGGATGGTATTCCCTCAGTTCCGTTGAGGATTCTCGTCGGCGCTTGGATCCGCAAAGGAACAACGAGCAATCGGTTTCTGACGAGGTCGAGTAGATCGCCGAGTGCCGAGTCTTTACCACACTGCCGGTCGGCGGCCATCAAGTCCATCCATTTCACGACAGTGGGATGAACTTCTGCCACTGGCGCTCCGTCGACTTCCTTAATTTTAAAGAAGCTGGAATCGTATCCATCATTCAGACTGTCGTCGAAATTATCCAATGCCTTACAGCCATACATGAGCCAAATCATGCACTCGAGCATGATACAGCCCATGGACCAAATATCGTAAAGTCTGGACCGCGCCTTGTCGAGGCGGTTGGTGACAACTTCAGGCGGCTCATATCGGACCGTACCATACTTTGCACTGGTGGCCTTCTTCCGTACTGCAGTGGCATCGTTGTGGTGCTTCGCAAGACCCATGTCTGCAATTTTGAGGATGCCAACACAAGTCTTGTCTTTAAATCGGAGAATATTCTCCGGCTTCAAATCCCCGTGTCGGTAATTGCCTTGATCCTTGTAGTTATGCAAGGCATGCAGAGCATCGGCGAGCCCCCAAAGCTGAGTGATCGCTTGCTTCACCAGGTCTGATGTGAGAGTTGGCCGGTTTTGTTCTTTCCAAAACTCTCTGAGATTGCCGCCGTCAGCCCATTGAAACATGAAATATCGCTTTTCTCCGCGCTCGATAGCCGCAATCCGTTGAATGATATGGTTGTGTCGAAGATCAGTGATTTCGGAGAGCGCTTTCCGTTCATCTTCGTAGTTCTTCTCGATCTCTTGGCGCAGATCATTGTTGACAAGAATCTCTTTGATGGCGACGTGGGCTGGATGACCATCTATCTGGTGAACGCATGAGTCTTCAGTTGTATCATACATAAACGTCCGAAAGCAAGCTCTTACTGTCATTTCTGGGTGCTCTTGGTGTCGTGGATGGATTTCGACCTCGTACACTTGGCTAAACATGCCCCCTTTGACAATGTTGTTGACCCAAGTGAACGGGAAAATAGAGTCGGGAGAGAGGTAGTGCTGAAACCTGGTTTTAGAAAACACTGGTGCTAGAAACCTCCATTGTTGGGTGTAAAATCCACTGATCTTCCAGCCATTCCAAATTTTGAAGATGGGTTTCTCTCGCATTTGGTCGAATGGGAAGTAAAAAGTCCATGACAGGGAGCCTTGGCCAGGCGTTTCGGGGTTCTTGATCGGTAGGTCATTGTCGGTAAAACTAATACTCTTGAAGAACCTCATAGTCGTCAGGAGCTCAGCTCCGCTAATTCCGCTGCAAACTGTGATTGCGAAGACTTTCTTTGCTTTTTCTTTGACGAAACGTATTAGTGCTTTTTCTGGTGTCTGGGGAACATCGTCTTCGTCGAACAGCTCGGTGGAAATCGCGCTCTCGGTGACGAGGCTCTCAATAGATCCTTCCGGCAAGAAGGGTAAACTACGATCGTCAAATTTGCTGTGGACAAAGCGCTGGCAAAGTTGGTCTCCTAAGGACAACAGAGATCCGTCCATTAATGCGCTGTCGCGAGACATGTTGGGTAGCACGGATAGTCAAAGCCAGAGCAGGAAAGGGGCTCAGAGAGAGAGAGAGAGAGAGAGAGAGAGAGAGAGAGAGCAGGGATAGGGGCCCAAGTTGAGACGGACATGGCGGGGAGGGAAACACAAAGAATATCAAGCGATGCGAACGAAGGTATCTTGGACGTAACGATGAGGATGGTCACATTTGGTGATGATCGCGAGCCAATGAGCCCACAACCCGATCGAATACCTCCAAATATTGATTCAGCCAAGGAATGGCTGCTGTGTGCCTGTCCGAAGTGATAAGGCTCCTGCCAATCAACTGAACAGCCGATGTCATGAAGGTGGCAATGCATGGCGAGCCTGCTGCTTTGAGGGGAAATATTGACGTGCTTTAAAAAGACGCATTACAGCCTGCAGCACGTAGGATAGAATGCAGTCAGCAACTGGGAACCGGATATATTCTATTGGTGGATGAATCCGCGCGATGACTGCAGCACGTGTCTCAATTTGATGTTGGCGGGTTGGAACCGCCGAATACTGCAGTCCTCCCCGAGGGGAGGGCTTTAGCGGCATTATAAAATGATAGATCGTCTCCCAGCCTGCTGGGAATGCTGCTCACACAGATTTTGCCTTGGCAAAATTTCAGTCCGCATCGTGCGCCTTGATGGGTTGGCCACCAGGTCACTGTGAGCACTGAGCAGGAACGAGCCCTGAATTTTCTCAGATTAGACATGGAAAATGCATATTAAACCATCGGATTCCATACTAGGCAAGCCAATCATTTGGCGCACTAGTGTACTCGAAATTATAGCCAAAAGAATACTGACTTGCTCATGACCTAGAGCCTTTTTTCGTGCTTGATCGTTTCTGTAGAGCCTTGAAGCCATGGCCAGCTCGGCTCTGATGACTCGAGAAGCCTTCACTCGAGTTGACCCTAGCAGGAGAGTGACTCCAGCTATGATTGTCCAAAGGTCTACCAGAAGGCTCCGAACAAAACCTGGCAGACGTGACGCACATTGATCGCCATTCAGAGAGTCTTTGCAGGACTTCGATACAGGTAATCCGCCTGTCTCCAGATTTAGGATCCTCCGGTTCTACTACCAGCATCCCGTACATGATAATGTTGAGAAAGTGATGTAGGTATTCGCTACATGCAGGGTGAGAGTGTAGTCGGTGGTCCACAAACTAAGGGGGTGCGACGTTTCGTTAGAAATACAATCACAAGCAGAGAGGAAAAGTACCGATGAAGAAGCTTAGTGGACTCACCTCGATTACAGCTTGCTTCACTGAAGCTGCAGTCGAATCCTTCGCTTCAGGGTTGTCGATTTGAAAAAATGTATCTGACTCAATGCCTGATAAGTACGGGTCAGGCGAGCTTCGTTTTCGGGCAAATTCAAATAATAACTCTCTACCGCCGAGAGACCAAGTAATGAATTCAAGAAACAAGCAACCGAGGGACCAAATATCATAAGACTGTCTAATGATGCGCCGACGTAGATCACATTCTGGTGGTCGATAGGTCGGGGAATTCGGCACTTGGCTTCCGTGTTGATTTGAACGACTGAGTCGGCTGTTTAACTCTGCGAGGCCAAAATCCGAGATCCTCAGAACACCTTGACGTGTGTCACGGAACCAAAGTACGTTTTCGGGCTTAATGTCTCCGTGTCGGCCATACTGTCGTTGAGCGCTCTCATGATCGTCTCGATTGAATGCATCTGGTGGAGACAGAAGTTGACTATTGGGCTGCACAGCCTTGTCTAGAAGATCGGAGGAGTTGTATTGATGGATTCTTACGAGGCCATCAGATATACCCCTACATTGCTCAGCCATCCATGATACTGTTCCTGGACCACTCGAAGGTTTGGGATTCAGCACTTTCCAGTACTTCATCAGATCGGACTCAGCCCAAGGGAATATCAGGTAGAAGCGATTTGACTGTTCATAAGTGGCCAAGAGTGAAATGAGGTGCGGATGCGATTCTCCACTGAACTTCTTCAGCACTCGAACTTCCTTTTGGAACAGTGTCTTATTTGGCGAGTTGAGACATTTCACGGCGAAGGTGTTTTGCCGCAGCTGTAGTTGTCAGGTTCAAACAACCTTAAGTGGGTTAAGAGGAATTTGAGAGACCCACCCTTGGTTTTAAAGCTGGATCGCTGAAGTCATGATGGTCTGGATGAATTTCGGCTTTGAAAACTTGACTAAAACCGCCTCGACGCATCTCGGTCGACCCCATCTCATCAGTATGGGTGGTAGAGGTGAATGGAAGGACAATATGTGGTTCAAGGACATAATGCTTTACGTTCTTTCTCTCGCCCTTGGTGAAGAATGGTGGGAGAATTGTCCATTGATACTCTTCGAAGTTTCTGATGTTTACTCGGGTCCAGGACTTGAACGCTTTCAATTGACAGTCGCGTCTTGTTTCAACTCGCAGATCGAATATCCCACCTTTCTCAGCGGCCTTCACGAGAGGCAAATCTGCGTCGCAAATCCCTTCCTCCAGGAATCCTGCGATGGCGGGCACCATGTTGATTAACACCAATATTGCGAAAATCTTTTGGTAAGACCTGCCAGACGCTGGCTCGGGAAGTCCCCTGGCCGGATTGGAATTTTCACAGATCAAGCTTGCGTATCTGTCCATATTGTACTTCTTTATCCGGGGTATCTTTTTCCTTAGCTCTCGTATTACAGATGCTTTGTTGATAAGGCTATTCAGTTGTCCATTTGGCAGGAACTGTCTTTGATTTTGAGGGTTTGTTGCGAAAGACATGAACAGACGGTCTTCGAATGATTCGGTCATGAACTCCTCTTGTGTTGGCGATGGAGGAAGTAACCCTTGACTCATAGCTTTTGTATACATCTGATCTCCACGGTCCATGACTTCGCTAGGTTCTAAGGGCAAGCTGGGAGTAGACAGTGCCGACCTTGAGGGCAGACCATTTCCGGTGATTGAGGCAAGAGCAGCGTTAGGAATGGGGATAGACCCTCTTGTGTCGACAGAGGACGGATTATCCTATTCAACACCTTACTTAGTTGTTGATCTAAAAGTGCTGAAGTAATCAAATTGACTCACCACCAATTCTGAAATACTCTCTTCCATAATGGTAGGAACTGAGCGAAGCTCTTGGGTGCCATTGCCTAATCCAAGCCCCCTTATTTGCTCGGCCATAATTTCAGATGGATATCCGTCGTTGATCAGAGACCCATCAAAATCTTTGTTATCTCTTGTTGACTTTTCTGGCCATGAGCAATTTTGCAATTGGTGCTGCGATAGGTTAATTTCGGCAGAGTCGTTGTACATCGCTGCGCTCCTGTTGATGGCCATCGATTCGCTACTGAAAACCTTCCGCAGTTGAGAATGTGGAGTTGTTAAGTCATTTGAACTTTTTGACCGTTGAGCCTGGGTTGTGTCTTGGGCACAGCCATCACGGCTCGTCGTATCCAGGCCCGGAGCCGATGACGGTGATCCGAAGTTATTCGTTATGTCCATGATAACAGGCTGCAAGAAACCAAACAGAGTCGTTTCGGTGTGAAAAACATAGCTGAATGAGAACAAAAGGCCTTGAAAGGAGGGCGCCCTATCTTAAGCCCCTGAATGCCATAGCGATTATGTCGGTTGGCTGCCAAGCCTGCTGTCTAGTCCACCCTACCTCCAGAACGCCTCGTTCTGAAAATAGATATTCCCAACCTGGCACCCTGTGTACCTGTCAGCTTGGCCACCAATCCTAGAGCCTTACCAACCGCTGAGGAAAAGTGGAAAAAGCGACACAAGTGTTTCTTTGATCTGGCTTGTTTAGGCGCCATCGTAGCGCTCCTGCGCATTTGGCTTCCACCAATGATGCACAGCAGGGCCATCCAACGGGCCCGGCATTCGTTTCAAGGGTGTCCAAGGCAGATCGAGTCTGGCAAAGGGATTTCTCAAGTTCGCATATTTTTACACTTGCCTGAATATGTATGGCCCCGGGCATGGGGGCGGACAGCTGCGGCGGATGACGGAGACGAACCTGCACATGGCCTACGGATTACTCTGGGCAGGTACCTCCAAGTTATATCTCACGGTCCAGCCCTTCGAAGACTGGCTCGTTCAAAGCCATGGAAAATTCCAGCCGCATTTTCAAATAATTTGCTTTCCTGAGAAGTTCTTACATCGCGTCGAAAAGCTTGTCATGTCCCAACACACGAGATCACCCCACCTCACTACGTTAAATGGTGATGATGGAACACTTGATGGGGTCCCTCAATCCCAGGATATCTCTGCCAGAGATATCAATCCCGCAAAGCTGACATCCTTCTTGCGCGACAAGTTTGGAAGTGGCTCGTATAATGTGCACGTAAGACACGATGGCATGTGGTATCGATAGGCCACTCACTAACAGAGATCATCGGGTCTAGATGATGCACAATATGTACATGATAAAGGCTCCGAGACGTCTGTCCGTCGTAAGTAGCTCATTAGTCCTGATGTTGAGATAGAAATCTAAATTATGTAGACGGAATTAGCTCAGTGTTCTTGAATTTCTCATGAAAACTGTAGATTCGGAGACCACGACGACACAGCTTTCCAAAAACCCCAACACCATCTCTCTTCTTCCAAGAAAAGGATTATTTCTTTTAAAAACAACTGTCATCGCCGAGAAATCTCAAAGAGGATACATGTATTGATAGCCGTGCTTCTTGATCGTATGTTAGAATTCCCGAACATACATCTGTCAGTTTCGCATAGTACTAAGCTATGTCGTGAGAAACATTTCTACTGACGATGGCCTGGAATAATATAAGCCCGTCTCAGCTGTCATGGGTATGGAGATTAACAAGAAAAGAAAAGCCATGTTAACAAGGTGAAGTCTGTTGCACCTGATAAAGTGTTTGCCCCCATTGTGAAGGGTCGTGGTTGTATTGTCGCAGTGATAGGCTGTAGAAGGGATTTGGACTGACCATTTCCGAATGGGTTGCGTCATTCCTTCAGATCTTTGACAAAAAGGCCATTTGGGGGAGGACTAGCTTCCATTTCCACCCCTTTCATATTGCCCAGATAGGTCAGCGGTGATACTGAACTTCTTGGTCTCGGACACATCTTTTGAATCTGCCATGTAAGCCGCAATATCTAGAGCCTCATCAAACCGGTGCGAGAGAAGTACAAAACGGATAGCGAATGACACTCATTCTAGCCTGATCTCGTATGACGTGGATGTTGCATTCCTGACCTTCTGGGGACGGCGGCGCAGGAGACCTCTCGCAGGTCGCAGCCTTGGAGAAAAGCCCTAGGCCAAGTCGTCAGAAGCTCATGATAAGTAGTTGCACATGACCGTAGCACCGTCACCTGGTAGTAGGCTATGGCTCAGGCAGTACGCCATGAAGCCTAATGTATCTCGAGCCATCCATGTTCATGTGGAACTCCATTCTGCAGCTGTAGTTGGACGGATGGAAGAGGTGCGTGTGTGCTATTGAGGGGGCTACCAATGCCGCCGCATAATATGGCGCATGGCGCGGTCCGGACTTTGACGTATCATAAGGTTTATGGTCTAGACCGCATGACAATCTGCTTGCCTTGTTTCCAATTGCACAATAGTCTTGTCGTAGGTTTTGGAGCCTGCTGCTCATATTGTCATCAATTCCAAGACTTCGATCAGCCAGCATCGTCTTACCTTTCCTTATGGAATCGGAGGTAGAAAATACCTCACTCGGATGCAGGTGTGGTAACACACTGCACGTCGTCGATCTACACCTTTACGCTGTCACCATCACCTTAGTTAAGGTGAGTCATGCGGACAATTGCAGCTTACTCTGAACATGCCCCAGTATTTCGGTCAAAGTTAGGTTAGCAGAGTTAATCTTGCCAGGTAGAGTGCCTGACCGGAAGAATAAATACCAGACGGCCAGCACCCTCAGAGCTCATAGCCACGCTGTCAGCCTCACGAAAGAATTGAACTAAACTCTGAAAATTAATCCCCTTGCTTTATACATAGCAAAACTTTTAGCGGCACCTACTTCGATGAAGGCATTCGCACGCAAACCGGCAAATAATCGATAGTAGCTATGTCGGATCCGCAACACCCCCCCGAACAGCGCGGACCGAACCGAAGGCGAACACTCGACTCCAATCAAACAAACAAAACACACAGGGGTCAGCTTCTGAGGAGGCCCGAGACCTTCACTTACCACGCTACCAGAGCCTCAAATCCCGGCGAACTCCAACAAGAATTCTACCCATGTTACGAGGGACTCACCTGGAATGTGCTGAGATCTTTTTTGGAATCCAAGTGGCCCGGGTACGTTTTCACGGAGCTAAAGGTCCCATTTAATCAAGCGGGTTGTGTATTTACAAGCTGACGCTTCATGACAACTCGCAGGTCCGAGATAAATGGGTTTTTTTCGCGCCAGAAAAGCTCACCCCCGTGAGTACATGGACCTATAGGCCTTTATATTCATTCACTCTGTCAGTTGTCTTTACTGATTCTCAGTCTGATGATATTTTCGTTATGATAGGAAGATAAATCACAAATCGCCTCCTTGAGAGATGCAAATCAGGGAGCAACCAAAAAACGCCGGGATTCAGTCTCGAGCGAGGAAGGGCTTTCTTAAACCTAGATACATTCACCTTACTGCAATGTGATACGATGAGCTCAGAAATAGCTGCCTGTAGGAGTTGATACACTGCGGTAGGAAGAAAAGGGGGATGTCACATGCAGGCTGAAAGCTGCCTTGGTATCTTTCTGAGGCTTGGCAGATAGTAAACCCGACGGATGTGATATTATGTGGTCGAGTGTGATTGCGTGATTTCGCCCCAAGCACAGATTGCTAGAAGCGAGATAGTGAGGCTCGTGGCGAATCTTGGTCTTTGATTCTGCTGACAGCTTTCAAAGGGGCTGAATGCAAGCGAGGTAGCACAGTTACCTTCCCAAAGATGATGGTGGCCACTCATTGTACTAAGAGCGAGTCCCTTATCCGACGGCTGGGCTGTCGGGAGCACCGCGTGCTCCATGGGCGCCTCGCCAGCCGGGCGCAAGGAAGGGAAAAGCCTGACCAGCTTAGATATGTGAGGCAAAGGGATACTTGGTCAATTTCAAGCAGAAGTGGAAACCTTTCTTAGCAACAGGTACCGAGTACATACATTTCGAAATACAAAGTCGGCACCTCCTTCTCAAGGCTGTGTCACGCATCTCCGATCTTTGTCGCAGCAATGGCACTCGTGCAAACATATGCCACAGGACAATAACATACCCGGTCACACAGTTGTCACTTGCAGCTTTCGATAAAACGACCTCCTACTACCATCCCTAGAAAGCAATTTCCTAGCACAGGTAGTCCTTCCTTTTTTGTTCTCAGAGTCTCAACTACCTAAAGTCATCAGAATGAATTCAAGCAACGCCTTGCCTCTGGAATTTCAGAAGTCGTTCATTGATCGAAACGAGTTCCCCCGAAATTCGGTCCGTAAAGGAATCAACACCTATCCAAGTGCGTTAGCGGTATTCGCCAAACGATTTGATGCAGCAGCAGAGAACCTTTGCCAGTCAAGAGTGGATAGAGTTGATGTACATTTCAGGGATCTCAAGAATAACAATGGTTCAGGGCAGAGTAAGTCAACATGACGCAAGAATAATTGAATTCCAGTAATAGTGAATAATTTGTAGACTTGGACAAGCGCAACATCCACTCGCCCCAAATCCTGACATCGTGGCTCGGGGTAAACGAAACACGCAGCGATAGTCCTCAAAGCGGAGGCATTGAGATCAATGCAACGAGGAAAGACCCGAAGTGTCGTTTCATGTATGTCTTTACTCTGACTCGAAACCATATTTCACTAAGCATATTTTCCCACAAAAAATGAGCATCGATGAAATCAGCCATCACCCAATTCTCTTTGCGATCTTGGTCCAGATGGGATGTGGGCACATGATTCTGGATTTTGCAAAGTTTATCAAGGACGACAGCCTTGCGGAAACACTGAATTACGACCGCATCATCGACAGACTCAAGGAGGTCTTCATAGGCCCGCCTGAAAAGTACAAGAAGGGGGGATTCGAAGCTGTGACGAGAGACTTCGATAATCGAAGGTGGGCTTTTTGTCCCGCCATGAATATCCTTCAGATGACGGAGGCACACATCGAAGAGAACCACATCCTTCCTGTGTTTTCTTCAAAAGCAATCAACGAGAAAGGTGGAACAGCGAATGTGCGGCACTTCAAGACCCAAGACGATCTCGTAGGCGACTTTGGGTTCAAGGCGGCATTGAAACGGTCAGAAACTCCCGACCCAGACTTTGGAAATGTTTGTGCACCTTCTACATCGGAATATCCATATGTGATGGCATCTAATGAGAGTTTAGTACTACGAATTCGCTGTCAAAACCTTTGACCCAGAGTACAATGACATATACAAGATAGAGGGCGAAGCTTCCAGAGGGTTTAACAGCACGCTGGACCCAGAAGCACTTGGAGTTGTCAAATACCTTGGAGAATACACGTGTTATTCGAAGAGACTAACCGTCAGACTCACAGCATCATGCTTGAGTTCGGAGAGTTTGATCTGGACGAGTATTTGGCAGCGAAATACCCACCCGTGCTGAATGGAGAGTTCATTGCATTTTGGAAGAGCATCTTTCAGGTGGCTGAGACCTTGCAGCGGATACACGAGCTCAAGTCTGAAGGAGCCGACGGCAATATGCAAATCTTCTCAGGGTAGGTCATTTTCATACACAAAACAAGAGGAGACCTCACTAGGGGCTCTTCCAATCTAACAAAGTCACCTCATTAACGCCATCCGCATACAGATGGCATGGCGACATCAAGCTTGACAATATTCTGCGGGTTGGAAATGTTTTCAAGCTTGCTGACTTCGGTTTTACGAAGTTCAAGAAGAATGAAAACTCAGGGCCTGATGCTGCACACATGCTAGGTGGAACACTGGCTTATGGTGAGACGATGCACCATGATATTTATGACGCATGCTTAATCATCGCTGATTCCGTACCACAGGTTCTCCAGAGCGAGACAAAGCGTATAGAGAAAAGAAACCCACTCTTCATCTACAAACGATTGACACGTAGTCTTTCGAATGTGTTTTTTCAGCTATAGCTACCTAGGTTATTCTCGGTTCACAATCCTACGAAAACTACAATACCCTACAAAAATACGCAATCCAAGAGCTACATCGTAGGCAAAGTCTAGAATATCGGGCCCCAGCCTACAATAACGCCTTTCAAAATGGCTTCAAAGTGCTTCCTAAAGTCCTAGAGTGGCATACCTACTTACGGAACTCATCAAGCAGAGCCGACACTGTTTCCTGCGCAGTACTCGACCTAGTCGAAAAGCACATACTTATCGAAGACCCGAAAGAGAGGCTTCGGTCCAAAGAGCTTTGCAGTAAGCTAAAAAAGATCGTATTCGAGGCCGAAGACATGTATCAGAAAGAAATTCAATGCGGAGCCTTAAAAGAAAAGTCAGAGGAAATACTTAAAGCCTTATTAAAGTTCGACAAAGACGCCCCATCGAGCGCAGAATCCCTATCACAATTATCTCTCGACGACAAGAAAGCTATAGATGCCAGCTCATACCGACATTGCCCAAAGGAATATCTCCTATAGCTCCAAGTCATCGTGTTCGGAAATCTAAGCGGGTTAACAAGATTCTCCGTGGAAAAACCACTAACTTGGAGGAAGTAATTAAGACGGGTCTCAGTTTCCCTAAATTAGTAGAATTAGAAAGTTCGGGGAGCTCATCCGGGAGAGCGAATGCCATGGAACCATTAGGATTGCAAAACTTAAAGCCTGGATCTATCCGACCAGGAGAACAACCAGGCCAGCCAGATGCTAGAAGTATTGTACTACCAATTGGTACACTTTATATGCGGTGAAATAGTAATAATATTGAGATATCCTCTTTAAGATTTCACTATGCCTTCGCGGTAAAATCTCTAAGAAATACTTTGAGATTTCATAGGGAAACCTCGGTGAAATCTCCGTAATATCTAGTAGCCTTTTACTAAGAATTCCTAATGAATTCTTACGGGATTTATTTTAAGGTCTTTTACTATAGTACCGGAGAAATCGCGGTAAAATCTCCTTAATATTCATAAGAAATTATAATGATTGTCCCTTGTTAAGGAAAAACATTTTGTCTATAAAATTTATAATATAGTAGAGGAAATCGAAATATATTAAATATACTTCATAAATTAGTTGCTTATAATATATGAAACTGTAAGGAAGTTATATATATAAGTAGGAAATTAAACGGAATAAATAATTATTTAGTCGAATAAAAACCTTGATTCTTTAATCTGCCTGCTACTTGGTATGATTGGAAATGACATTAGCTATACTTCTATGCTTCCTCTACTTGTTCTCAGCCGAGGCACAGGTTGAGGGTCGCCACCGCCTGTCCAGCGTCATCGATCATGTCAATGTCATTAACGTTTTTGTAGACTACCGACGAAGAAGAAGTACGCAAGATCTTCCGACTGAACGCGCAGTCTCCTATCGCCTATCACAACGTGCTGTTCGACGAAGGTTGGCCCTAGTGTCCTACACCGTGGACTCCCGCGCTAATCCCTGGTAACGACTTTTACCACGATATCCCCGCGAACATCGAAGACCCCGTCGACATCTCTGATCGCGACTACTATTAGCGGAAATGCCCCCGACGACCGGAAATATGATGGAATGCAACCTAAGGCAGTGGAATCTGTGGACCCTTCGAGATCAAAATCACTGAGAGACGATCGGGGAGATCGAGAAGATCGCCGCCGCCGTAGCTCGGTCATTTCAGTGAAGGACGGAAGGATGAGTCCAACATTACCAACGATCCCACAAGTAGTGGAGCCAGAAGAAGCCGCCTCACAACAGACAGGAGACCACCTGAGTTCTACGCAGCCTGAACTCATGCCTTTGGGCCGGAAACACGCGACGCAGACTAAAATTTCATCCTCAAGATCGCTGAGTGGTTCGAACTCTTACCTATCCCCTGATTCTCTAACAACATTGCCAACAACCAGGAAAGACTCTTGGGGCAATGGAGATGACTCAAGATTGCCTGCAATCCTCCCACCCAGCTTTAGGCGTGAAGAAATCGCTATGGTTCAGGAGTACGACAAGCGCTATAAATCATGATCTGAGAGTTGGGGTCTCCTGGGGTCGCTTGTCAACCCGCGTCAAGAAGACAAATACATCTCTCAGTACATCTCGAATAGAGATATAGTAAGGCTTAAACACCTATTGTGTCACGTCGAGTACCATTTAATGATTTTTCTACAGGTATTTGTCGTTGATAATGCGGCTAGCATGAAGGATCATTGGAACGATGTCACAACAACAGTCCTAACCTTGGCGATGATGATTGGTACATTGGACAAGGACGGCTTGGATTCGAGATTTACCTTAGAATCCGACAAGAACGTTCTTCGAGCTAAAGGAAAGAAAATGCTTACAAGGTTCGAGCATTCCTTAAGCTTCGTGGGCAAAACCATTGACCACTGCAACAGAACCGACATGGCAATGACACTGTCTCGAATTTTTGACAACTACAAAGACTACAGAAAAAAGCAGACGCTGATAGTTCTGACCGATGGTCTATGGGAGGGTTCAAATTTGAGCAATGACGTCGAAAATAAGATCACTAAATTTGTCGGTGAACTGAGGAAACACTTAGGCAAGCATGAGCCTAGATGGTTTAGCATACAGTTTGTTTCCTTTGGAGACAACAAAAAGGCCTTACAACGCCTAAAGAGACTAGATGACGAGCTAGGAACAGTGTGAGTCATATAAACTTAGGTACTTATCTGACGAATGTCTGCTAAAGCTGTCATTCAGGGAAGACGTCGTGGACACGAAACCTTGGACCACAGACAAAGTCGAGCAACTCATATTGGGCAGCATATCTCAAGCAGAAGATGCGGCCCAAGCTTCATCATCTAGGCTACAGCCGATGAGGCCTTCACCAACGCCATCAAGATCCAGCTCTTTGAACCAGCCCAAGTCTCCATTAAAGGAACGAGCTAAGATTGCGCTTCGCAGTCTCATCTGACGATTCAGAACAAAATCGGTACTCGCGCTGCTCTGACTTCAAATTTCGGTTTGGGCATTAAAGTTCTCTAAGCACACCATTCATCGAGTGTGTTCCATTAAGCTTTCATGTCGCATGTTAGTGCTATTGACTTGGCAGCGTGGTTTCAATGGTTGGGGATACCACTCGCTGCAAAGATCAGAGAAATTGGGAGGGAGTGATGGACGTGTATGATAATCGGGTGAAGCTTATGTAGACTTGATTTTAGAGGTTGTTTTGGGAGATGTGGGTATCATTTTGGTGTGTTTATCCCGCTCAAAGCTATCGGGGGAAGAAGAGGTCACTCCTGATTATACCTTGCATGTACATAGGATTACTGCTATTGTAAGATTGCACCTGACGTCTTAAAGGAGTGGGATGAAACTAAAGTCCTTCCTGACACCGCAGAAAACCAGACAGTGGGAGGGGCTAGGTAAGCCCTTAAGCGTACCTGTCTAGGCCAAAGGTACCATGAAGTTACTCGGTGATCCATCCCACGTATGTATATGCATTCGGGCAGTTTACAGAATACACTACGCAAGTGATTCCACAAAGACCCCTTCAGCGCCATCTATGTCACCACCAACAGCTTTCTTTTATCTTTTCATGAGTTTATTGCACCTGAACCACAGTTGCCAATCTTGACCTATTGTCGCCTATGATTTGAAAGAGAAGGTGGGAACATGGGGTAATGTGGAGCCGGCGCTATTTTAGACGCAGATAAGGCTCTCCGGTCGCACTCCGGTCGCTCTCCGATCGCTGTGCTTTTTGGCTCTTTCTCAATGCTGATAAGTCTCAAGACTTTCCAAAAAGTTTCGTATCTTTATACTAGTAAAGTCAAACTACAGCTTCAAAAGTTTGACCGAATCTGCAATGTCCGCCCGAGAAGACGTAGGCGGCACTGAGCTTGAAGGCCCACCCATCGCGGATTCGGCCGCCGGCCGGGTTTGGCAGGCTTGTCTTGCTTGCCGCCGCAAAAAGGTCTGCTTCGTAATACTGAAACATGAAACGACGTTAAGTATTGAGTGGAGGCTGACAAACAAACTTGAAGATCAAATGCGACGGAAAACAGCCTTGTCACAATTGTAGCTCGCGTGACCAGGCATGCGAGTTCCCCGGGACCAAGGACAATGCCTCTGCCAGCCGTTAGTAAGAGATACCTGCCTTGTCTACTCGAACCTACCTACATACACAGAAGGCTTACAGAGGAGTAGCTATGTGACATCCTTTGAAGCACGATGCCAACAGATGGACACACTCTGCCAACGGCTAGAAGTGCTGACCGGACGGCTATCACAGTCTATCGGCGTTCTCAACCAACAGTCACCTGCTTCAACAAGCCAAAATCAGCCCTCCGAATGTATCAAAGTAGCTGAGATCCTCAAATCTCTTCCAGGATTTGCTACGTTGGTATCTCAAGCCACCACGCTTCCTGCTCGGCAGGACTTAGCGGCGGATACAGACCTTGATATGTACGCGGGCAGTGCTGAATTGGAAGATAACACGAGAGCGATAGATGAGGAGATTGGAACGTCATCATCCAACAGCGAAGACGACGACGATGATGACTCTAGCACTGTTGTCGATACCTTGAGGTTGGCTGAATCAAGTGCCGAGGATCTCGGCCAAGCAGGTGCCTTGGTACGAGATTCCTACGGCCTTCCACGGTATGCTGCACTTGAAGGGCTTCCTTTTCCAAATGTGGAAACTTATTGTTGTAAACCTTAGCTTTGTCGGCGGAGCAGCGAACAATCTCATTGTCGAGGCAGCGAAAAGCCTGCTGCCGAATTTGATCACGAACACTCCTTCTTCTACCGGAACTAGTCACGAAACGCCAAACCTACCAGACCTCGAGATACCTTCATTTGTTCCCGGGAGACTCTGGCCTCCGCTCCCGTATATCCCTGGTCCGGAAAGCCTACCTCGCCCGCCACAGTACGTCTCTGACCTGCTTGTGAGCCTCTACTTTGACAAGCTGCACTATACGTTTCCTATTCTTATCAAACCTCACTTCATGAACCGTTATCAGAAGCTCCTGAGATCTGGCACGGACTCCTCTTCACCTAAGAGAGGCAGGTTTCTTATGGTGTTCTTCGCTGTGTGCGCGTGTGCATCCGGGCTTCTGCCGTCTAACTTGGAAAGTGGATTGCCGGGTATTGAATTTTATCAAAGATCCCTTCTTATATTATCTGCATCAACCGGAGAGTCCTCCATCGAGAAGGTGCAATGTCTTGGACTTTTGTCCATGTGCTCGGCAGGGTGGAACACTCTTTCTCAGAGTTGGAATCTAGCCGGACAAGCCGTGAGGGGGGCTATTGACATGGGGCTGCATGTCAGTGGTCATTCTGTAAGATGCTCTTTCGTTGTCCATTGGAGGCTTGCTAAAGTAATTGGAAAGATGACTATAGGAAATGGCTCGTCACCTGCTGGGCTGAGCTTCAAGGAATTTGCCCTTCAGGAGCATTCTCGGAGAGTGTGGTGGTGTGTATACACACTGGACAGGTACGGTGGCTCTTGTTCCGCCCTAAAGACGTCCGTGACTGACAAGAGATCCACGACTCTTTGCAGAATAACTTCAATTTGCCTTGGCCGCCCTCTAGCTGTTCAAGACGAAGACTGCCACTGTGAGCTACCATCAGACGTAAAAGATGAAGATATTGTGTCCGGAATCAAGATTCCAAGGGCTATCGATGAAGAAGCCACAATGAGCCCCATGAGCGGCTTCTTAGCATTTGCCAGACTCTGCCGGCTCGCAGGCAGGATACAAGGGTTCAGTTCTCCACTGAAACTACGGAAGATTGCCTCTGCAGACGCAGACAAAACTCACAGATTCTTGGCTCGGGTCGATGCTCATGATCAGGCTCTTCGAAAGTGGCTGGAGAGCTTACCGGGCGAGATTCAGTTCTCGGCCAACAGAAAGAACAAGAAACATGGCGACATATCCATGGTTCATTGTGTCATTACCTTTTTCCTCCACGCAGGATCTCTTATAAACCTGTACCGGTAGGTGCAACTAGCTCCCGTTGATTATCAGATTACATTGTTGATGGACTACAGATATTTCTTGAACTATCCGAGAGAGTCTGCAGTACGAAACGAAGTGGACGTCTCAGGGGCCATCGACCAATGCGTTAATGCTGCACAAGGTTGCGTCTATGTCGCTGATATGGTTCGAGACTTGGTGCCATCTTCACACCATCTGGCTATCTGCGTCCACTATCTGACGCTGTCGGGTATCATCCTGTAAGTGACGGCCTACAACAGTCATTCCCGTTACATCAGTCGCAATTGCTTACAAGGCTTGAATTGCAGTCTCCGAGTGCCTCTTGATCGCAGTAATGCAGCCCTTTTGGAGGATGCAAAGAAGTGCGCCCAATCTCTCAAAGACCTAGAGCCTCGGTGGTCTGGGGCCAAAAGAAGTAGAGAAATCATTGAGCAGCTGCTAGTCCGACGCCGCAGCGAGATTGCTGGAGACTCACCCGCCAATCGTGACAATGAAAGCAGACTTTCGCCGGGAGACGCCCGCAAGACCAACAAAAGATCCTTTGCTGATGTCGAAGCTGTATCATCCTCTCTGGTAGATATTGCCAGCGGAACCTGGGATCCTAGCACTGCTGGCTCGGGGACGATTCAGCATGATGGATGTATGGATCCTATGCTATTTGCTTCGTGGGCCGGATGAATCTACGATAGGTCGTTCAAGCATGACGCTAGACGTCTGGCCTGTTTGACTACTGGCGCAAGATTGCGCGACCTCTTGTGTGGATGTCTAACAGGGTGAGCCGGTCACTCATGTGAGGCGGAATAAGCACGACTTTACAAATGTAAGCATTAGTGGGCCGTGCGGCACAGCGCGGCTTCACATGTATTGAGAAGGGCGCTGAGTGGTGACATTACAAAGCCATTCCATCACTATTTCAACATCTCCAATATCATTTTCATCGGTTTGCGCTCTTCAAACACACCGAGCTGTATTTTTCTAGTTGGCCCAGCGTGATCTTTAAAGCTACAACAAGACCGTGAGTCGTCGGGATCATACAAAACACTCAAACGCCACACATCAAGTTTCTAGTAATGGCCTCAACTCTCCCCCCAAACGGCCGCCTCGTCAATATTGGCACCCACTCTCTAGCTCTATACGCCCACGGCCCAGATTCCAGCAGCCCAGCCGATCCCGTCGTACTTTTTGTGTCCGGCGTAGCTAGCGATGCTCTTAATTGGCAAGCCGTCGTCCGGCTCCTCGGCCCCTCCCTGCTGCGGAGCTACACGTACGACCGTTCCGGCAACCGCAACTCGGACCCCTCACCCAACCCGCCAACAGCTGAGAACATCGCTCAAGAACTCGCCCTCCTGATCGAACGCGCACCCATTCCGAACCCTCTCATTCTTGTCGGGCACTCATGGGCTGGCGTAATCACGCACGAGTACTTCGCCCTCAAGGGCATCAGCCAGGTGGCGGGTCTGGTCCTTGTAGACGCGAACCACGAGACGGCACCGCTCGTGCTAGATGTCAACGACCCCATTCTCTGGACAAAGATTGCCGCAGGAGTTAAGACATACGACGGCTGGGGGCTGACGACGTCGCATAAGCTCACGAAGGAGGAGTGGGACGCTTTCATCGCGGAGGAGGCCACTGAGAAGCATAAGCTGATTGCGCGGCGAGAGGATACTGAGGGATATGCACCGAGTTTTGAGATACTGAGGAGTAAGAGCTTGTCTAAGAAGCAGCCACTTCTTAGAGATAAGCCAGTGTATGTGATTGCAGGGACGCGAAGTAGGGACTGGAGCGGGCTGTATGCTGCAGGCGTCGCGAAGGGGAATGGGACGAAGGAGGAGAGAAAACATGTTAGGGATATGATTGAGGGCGTTGATGCGAAGACTGAGAGGCTCATGAGGGAGTTTTTGAAGCTCTCCAGGAAGAGTGAGATTGTGTTTGCAAAAGAGAGTGGGCATTTTGTGCAGATGACACAGCCGGAGATCGTTGTCGATGGAGTAAAATGGGTGTTGGACAACCAAACGGCCTTTTCATAATTGTGATTTATTGACTAGCTATAGCTAATATTAGCCTCAATAGGATGTATATCATCCTCTGATTTTGTGGTACCCATGTCTCCATCAGCCGTTTGTTTGGCGTCGGTCGTGTCCTTTCCCATAATCGACACCAAGCCCTTAAGCTTGGCCATTTCCCTAGACATCCAAGCTGTGATGGCAACGATATCGGCTCCGCAATTAACAAAGTGGAAACCTTGCTCAAATTTCGCCGCCGCAGCTTCAGCACTGAGTGCAAAATGACCGACATATTTGCCAGCGTTAAGTCCAGCTTCAAGCACGCGGGCTGATGCTTCCTGAACTTCGGATATTGAGGCGTGGTCAAATGCCACGTATCCCATCGATGAAGCAAGGTCGTTGGGGCCGATAAACAACATGTCGATACCATCAACGGACGCGATCTCCTCGACATTCTCTACGGCCTTTCGGCTCTCGATTTGTACACACACCATGACGTTCTCATTGGCGGTAAGAAGATACTCTCGGCCTGTTTGGTTGAAAGCTGCGGGAGCAAACATAGCCCCTGCGCCTCGAAGACCTTGTGGCCAGCGCGAGGAGGGATACTTGCAAGCACAAACGATGGCTTCAGCTTGCTCCTGAGTATGCTGTGAGCTTAAAGATGTCTGCTATACGGCTGAAGAAATGTACCTTGGTCTCGCACATTGGGACCATGATCGCATGCGCTCCACAGTCCAAAGCTCTTTTCATCATCCAGTGCTCTGAAGCTGGAATTCGCACAATTGGAGAAACTCCGGAGGATGAGATCGCACCGACTTGGAGATACATCTGACTATCATCGATGTTACCATGCTCTGTATCTATCAGAACCCACTGAATCGCACACTTTAGTCAATACACATGGCGCATGATGTAAGGTAATCATTCACTCACATCCTCACCCAACGGTGCTACTGTTCTCGCCAGGGAGTAGCCTGGAAACTCCAGCCATTGGCCAACACTGGGCCCTTGACCTTTTCTCGCACGCTCCAAAGACTCACGTAGCCTTGTCTTTCCTGATGCATCCACGACGGGGGACTGGATTTGGTTGGCCATCTTGCGGCGAGGTACTTCGTGCGCTGTTGCCAGAACCTTGGGAGAGTTCGTGCGAATGTAGCCCTTCACTGAGGTAGTCTAGCCTTATCGTGTTATTTGATAGAAAGCATAGTTCAATAAAAATTGCATGGTTACATGTAGGTAGGTCCCTACATCATTTGTTTGCACCCCAAGCTAGATCGTTAACATTGAGCACATGTAAGCTCGGCCGGATCCCGGGCCGCCATTTGCTCACAATCACAAGTCAGTTGCCAAGCAGATAACTAGCTCTGTGCAACGTGGCCATCCTTGTCGACGAATGGCTGTTGTGACCAGGAATCTGGTCTGGGCCGTTATCTCCGGTATCGCGGCTACCGCACCCAGTGGGAGTTGTCCGGAAGAGATCCGGCCGAAAGACCTTAGAACGGAACTAGGGGCTCAAAGAACCAGGAGTCACTTTGATAACACCAGCGGAGCATCAGTACCGATTGACCGCTCTTGAAAATAGTAATAGATATAAACAATGCTTTTCTCTCGTAGTTGAGTGGACCCTAATGTTGGTCTCGAAGTGGACATCTGAACGGAATTGTCTACGAACCTTCCTTTCCGGATTTTGTTAGCCGCTCCTTGAACTCACTTCCATCAACTTCCGGATCCAACATGGCTTCCGCAACCGATATCAAGAAGTTGCCCGAAGTTGACGAGACGAGCAAGCCAGACGACGTCCTCGAAGGCACCATTGAAGATGCGACCGAATACTCCGATAGCTACTTCCGAAAGCTTCGTTTCAAGATCGATATATGGCTGCTCCCTCTGATGTGGGTGTGCTACGGCACGCAACAAGCTGACAAGACGTCCCTCAGCGTCCAAGCTGTCTTTGGTCTGCGAGAAGACACTGGCCTTGTGGGCGAACAGTTCAATTGGTTGAGCACAATCTTCTACCTCTCCTACCTCGTCTGCGAGTTCCCAGGAAACTGGTTGATACAGAAGAGCCACACTGGCAAGTTCCTATCGGTTGTGATGGTTTTGTGGGGTGTAGTTGTTCTTTGCATCGCTTTTGCTAAGAACTTCGCGCACCTCATGATTCTTCGCACGCTGCAGGGCGCTCTCGAGTGCACGATCTCGCCGACTTTCATGCTCATCACTGGAGCATGGTACACTTCCCAGGAACATACCCTGAGGTCTCTGATTTGGGGAACATCCAACGCCGGAATGAACATCATCACCGGACTTTGCATGTATGGAATCGGACTGCACGCCCAGAAAGACCCGGGCGGCTTGGCTGCAGTAAGTCAAGCACCGGTCCTGCCTATAAGTGAAATACTAACAGAGTTTCCTTAGTGGAAGGGAATCTCGCTGTTCCTCGGCAGCTTGACCATTGCGTGCGGGATTCTTGCCTGGTTTATCCTCGGTACGCCCCGCGAAGTCCGGTGGCTCAATGAAGACGAGAAGAAAGCCGCCATGGCCCGCGTCATCGTCAATCAGACCGGTTCGGACCGTCAAAAAAGATCTGAGTTCAAGTGGGACCAGGTGTGGTCGACATTCAAGGGTAAGTGTTTCTCGTACCCCAGAGACAAAAGGGCCGGGAACATATCAACGGAAACTAATACTATTACTTTCAGATCCCCAGACATACTTCTTCTTCTTCGTCACCATTATCAACGCCTTGCCGAACGGAGCGAATACGACTTTTTCAAAGCTGATCTGGAAGTCGTTTGGGTTCACACCGTTGGAGACGCTGTTGAAGGGTTCCACGCCTTACTATTGCGTCAGTATCGTCTGGTTCTTGTTAGTGGGGTTTGTAACATTGAAGAAGCCGAACCTTAGATGTAAGCCTACGATAACGAGGTTTTGAGCCTTGACCCAACTGACCTTTGGCTTTGTCTAGTCTTGATGATGATGTTTTCTCTTGTGCCAGCTTTCAGTGGCATGATGGCTCTAGCTTTTCTTCCCTCTGACTCTATGAAATGGACGAGATGGGGAATGTATATCCTTCAGGTCTTTGGTTCTTTACCAGGTCTCAGTAAGTACCTCGCATCTCATCATATTCGTCCTGTCATATGACGCACATGTACTGACGAGATATAGTGATTTGGACATTCTTGCCGTCCAATGTAGCCGGAAGAACCAAAAAGACTGTAACATCCACAGTCCTGTTCGTTGCCTACTGTGTTGGCAACGCGGTAGGTGCCCAAATGTTTGTGGCATCCGATGCTCCCAAGTACATCCGCGGCCTCACTGCGTGTGCTGTTCTCTACTGCGTGGAGTTCTGCAGCATGGCTACATGGCGTTTCTATTGTAAGTGCTGGCCAAAAGCTTTGATAACCAAATGTAGAAGCTGACCTGTGATCCGAGATATTTGGGAGAACAATAGGCGGGATAAGCTTGTACGCGAACAAGGGATTTCGAAAGAGGAGGGTGAGCGTCTTGGAAAGTTGAACGCGGAGGCCGATATGACGGACAGAGAGAATATTCACTTCAGGTACAAGTATTAGTCGGCCCGGAGAACCACAGCTTGTCGGATGTCAAGATATCATCAGGGTAATCCGAGCAACAGCTCGAACAATTTCTAACAGAGTAGTAATATCATTGTTCAGACGGGCTTGAGCCAGTTGTACGATCAATGCAAGACTTAGTCTCTTCGCTCTCTTCTCGACGCAAATTCACACGGACCTTCCTTGCAGTGTCTTCCATCTCGCCCATGGTGGTGCTGCGACTGAGAACACCGCCAACATCACGACCATGCCTGATGGCAGCCAAGGAACTGCTCTTCCATAATGGCACGTTGCCTCGACTGCTAGAGTTGCCGAGCGTCGCAAATAAGAATGCAGTCGCGGAGACCAGCATCACGCCGTGGAGGGCAATCCACGGCCACTCGATGTGGTACAGCACCGTGGACTTGCCCACCTTGCCATACTTACCCAACGAACCATCTTGAAAGCGGTCCGTATCTATTCCGCTGTTCTGACTTTGACCTGGTGCGTAATTCCTCCGCATCTCATTGGTCATACTTGTCGCAAGGGTATAGAATGTGCTAGTGATGTTGTGCCTTGTCCAGGTCCAGAGCCCGTCTAATGCAGGCGGCGTAGCCTTCATTGATAACTTCTCATAAGGACCGAATGATGCACCATTGAAGCCGACCGCTTCGGATCCCAATAGCCTCTCAATCTCCTCTCTCTGGTCCAGAGTGCCTGACACATTGGTGCGAAACAGCTCTTGCATGTGCGCGCTCATCGACTTGACAGAGTCTTCGGAGATTCTGTAGTAGCTCTCGCTTTTGTTGTTGGGGAATTCAAGTCTCAGCTCTGTGTAAGGAACAGCAGACCAATATCTGTCGAACTCGAGCGTGCCGTTTGCTTCTTTCGAAATGACGTTTTCTGGTTGGCCATCCTCGTATTCTGGAGAGCGTATCCACGAGTCTGGATCTCGTCTGGAGTCGAGTGCTTCCGAGACGTTTTCCTTGATTTGGTTGCCTTCGACTGATGAATCGATCCTCTTAACGCAGTAGTAAAGTGCGCACTCTGTGGCTTGCATCGGTATGTCCGGCCAAAGCTTCAGTCCGGCCGTGGAGCCCCTCTTCGACTCGCCGGGAGTGAACGCGGACGACTTGTTGAGTGCCTCCATGTCTGGGTGGATAATGCTCATCGACCACAAGAGCGTATCGATATCCTTCATGGAGTTGGTCTTGTTTGGAATTCCAGTTCCGTAGGACGTGGTGGTGTACTTGTCATCCGAGTAGACGCCTAATGGCTGTTCGTTTTCGCAGTCCGCGTAACGCCCGTTATAGGGAGGGCAGCCATCGATATTGGCAATGAAGTGACCATTAGGAAGGACAAATGCTGTACCTGGGACTGTATAACCAGCCAATGTGGTGTTCGCCAAAGCGATTATGGCTTGTCCGAAACCACCGACTTGCTTCAGGTCCGATGTGAGGTCGTTGCACCTATGGCATATCCCTAGACTAGTAAACTGGTCCCATGTGCAGTTGCTCGTGGGGCACTGGATCAAAGCCTCCTGCTGAATTTCCCAAGGTGATTTGGAGAGGCCGTTCAATATCGCCCCTTGCATGGATAGCGGTGTATCCGTAGAAACCCACCTCTCCTTGATGGTCGAATTTTGCCTCGACGATGATGTGACTTGCGCTGTGCCTATAGAATATGTACTCGTGCCGGAATTAAGTGCCAGCGGACCCTTGTCTGTCTGAGTGCTTCTCGTATAGACGACATCTTCTCGAACTTGGATAATCTGCTGGGCGAGGGGATCAAGACCGACGGCAAGGAGCGTCAGGATCGCACCAAGTTGGACGGCGTAGCTGGTGCCAAAACCCAGTTAGCAGCCCTTTTATCAGATGGTAGAAAATGTTCGGAGTAGACTCACGCGCCTCTCGTTCGGGATAGAATCCGCAAGCTGCCGAGGGGCCCGCGAGTGGCAGCGTCGATGCGATCAAAATCGATGAGGGGTCGGTCTTCGCGGGTGAAGAGAATCCATTTCCACTGGGCTAGGCACTCCGAGAGAACGAATGCGACAGCAGCCTTCATAGTTACCGACAAGATCGAGACTACGGTGTTGAGAGTCACTCCATTCCATGTGAAAATTGGTTTGCCGTCAAAGCGGGCGAGGAGCACCACCATTGCGGCGAAAGAGACGATGCCGCCAACCAAGGCCCAGTATTCTGGACCCCATGCCGACCATCGCAGTGAGTGAAGCATCGCGGGTGATGTTTTGAGATGTTGAACAAGGAAATGACGCTTGAAGGCTTGAATGTGCGACAGCATAAGTACATATTGTTGACCAGACGCACCCTCTAAGACGCCAGACAGCTGGACTGACAAATCTCAGAGTCGAGGCCCCTGACTATCCGTACATGAGGTAATTGGGCGTCTAGAGTGAGATCGGTCTCACTTTGGGTGGTGTCGGGTGTGGATTGAAGTAAGCATAAAAGGATCCGACCCCATGTCCGTCAGCCCTGAGACGACGAGCTAAATTCTTGATTCTACCTCGAAGGCACTATGAGCGCAGAGCGCTATTCTTGGCCTAGCATAAGCATGAGGGGTCAAATAAATCACTGGCCTCCAGGCTCCAGCGAGTCCAGCCACCATTTCTCTGGTGTGACAGCATGCGCCTCAAACATTCAATCCTCTCATGCCTGCAGATGACATTACAATGATCTTCAAATTGAGCGACTGGTACCTTCGGATCCTGGAGCGGCTCACTTGCTAGCAAAGATATTCCCCAACTTCACCAGCTCATTCCACCTCTCATCGGGCCGGACTTCAATCGTGCCCTCCGGGGTCAAGACCTTCATCTCCTCAACGCTCTTTGTCCCGTACTCGTAAGCCTCAGTATCGTTCACAAAGTTGACCAAGATTTGAATCCAGTCTTCCATCAATTGTCTTTCGGTCGGGGTCGGACCATGGGTGATTGAAAAGCTAGATGAACGTGTCAGCAAGCGCGCGTAACTGGTATGTGACTGCTTCGAATAAGAAAAGGGAGAAAATCAGACTCACTTCCAGATTGGCCTGTCCATGGCATGCGCCACCCCGAACGATGCCGGCGCCACCTTCTCATCAATGAAGGACAGTCTGTAGGCGATCTGGTACCGCCACACGTCTCGAATATCGACACCGTTGTCGACTAGCGCTTTCGCAAGTGCCCTAGACGGAGCGCGCACCTGTCCGTCCGAGACAATTGATCCTGTGGCATATGAGTGAGTGACTGGCACTGGAGCAAATTGGTTGCCTTGAATAGGGACGTTCTTACCAAAGGTTGTTTGCCAGTCTTGCAACTTGTCTGATTCTGGCAGCTTGTACTGTGAGATTGCGCGATTTGTGACGTCCGGAGCGTAGTAGTTCGAAACTTGTAAGCGCAGAGCTTCGAGCGTCGCCTCTGTAGGTGCATTGTACGAAGAATAGAGAGTCTCCTCGTTCCAAACCTCACCGATGAGCAACCTATACCCTCTGCGCTTGAACTCATCTGCGAATTCCTTGCCCTGGAGGTACTCAATCATACCCGAGTGTACGAAGACATCGTCCGTAACGGGCCGGAAAGTGTGGTTTTTCAACTTGGGGATGGCCTCTAAAAGCTCTTCCTCACCCTTTCCCCGCAGAATCGAGAGTTTCTCCCCTCCAGAAATGGTGGCGTCGATCTTGAAGTATGCACAAAGCTCGTCGAATTGGTCTTGGACATCGTCAAGAGATTTTGGCTGTGCTGGAATCGCGTTTGAGTCCATGAAAATACGTTTGTATAAAGATGAGTTGCTGCCAGTCTTCCGGAAGTCGTAGAGCATTTGAGCCTCGGCGCTGTATGCTCCAGCGCTCCGGCCAGCAAGCGTGACATTTCCCGGGTCTCCTCCGAAATGGGCAATATTGTCTCGCACCCACTCTGCGGCCACCCGTTGATCCCAAAGACCAAAGTTTCCTCCCGCTTCACCGTTGCTCTCCTGCAAGAGATCATTTCCTGCCAGAAATCCAAAGACGTTGAGGCGGTATCCAATAGCCACAACGATTGCATTGAGGCCACCCGTGGTGATCAGCTCTGTTGCATCCATCCCCGGCTCCTGCGATGGATCGCCCATCTGGAACCACCCGCCGTGAATCCAGAGCTGCACCGGCCATTTCTTATTTTCCTCGCCCTTTTTTGGAACCGGCGTCCAGATGTTGACAAACAAGCAGTCTTCGCCGTAGGTATTTCCTCCGCCGTCGGGCTTGACTACGTGGAAGGCCTTCTGAGGGCATACGGACTTAAAGTTTGTCGCGTCATATGCGCTTCCGTTATAGTCGGTGTAGGAGAATGATGCGGGCAATGGTCGAGGTTTCCGCCATCGGTACTCGCCAGTTGGTGGCAGGGCGTAAGGGACGCCGGTGAAGCGGCGCGACTTGTCGTCGAACTGGAGCCCTCGAATGGTTCCTCGGTCGCCCAGTTTGAGCTCGACTGGCGTTTCTTGGTATGAGATAGTGTTACCCATGATGCGATGGCTCTTCTACGGCTTCAATGTGTGAGTACGGGTGACTTGACCAAGATTCGATGTCACAACTGGTTGATGAATATGCCATCGCCAGCACTCGCGAGGGTTTCGGCGCCAGAACTGGCTTCCGGCGGGGCTCCGAGATCCGTTCCGATGTGGGGCCGATAACGACTGATTTTCTCCCCCGCGGGCACTCGACTGATAACTTATCGCTCTAAGCTTCAGTCGGATCTCCGGCCGAGGAGCCGACTAATATGGTTCATTGTAGTGTAAGATTAGTGACTAGACCAATTGATGTCGGGAGTTCAGAGAAGCTTAGATAAGACAGCGCACTCATCGGCGAAGAGCGCAAAGAAATCATGAATTCTCACACTCTCGTCAATGGCCTGGGTAAGGTAGTATTCCAGTTGGCATTAACGATCGGGTTGTCCTTTTTCCAAGCGCTGTAGAATCATTCATCCTCCGCCATTCTTCTGAAAACGCAGAGAGCCGAAAATATGGGCAGTCTTGGTCATAGTTGCAAGTCACCTATGGTGGATCTGTCCCATCACATCAATACCAAGAGCAAAGCCCGCCATCCCTCACCGTTGAAAGACATCATCAAATTCATGGCGTATGATGGTATGGTGAGCTTCGCAGGAGGTAAGTTATCGAGCCCGAAAACGGATGGAATGGGACAACATCTGACGTTGATACATGTAGGATTACCTCATCCATCTCTCTTTCCGCTTGAACAAGCCAAGTTCGACTGTTTGTCCCCAGCAGCTCCACTTACAGCAGACCGACATTCTGTCGACCAGGAGAAAGTAGATGGACTGAGTTTGAAGTTCGGGCGTGGCTTGTCGACAGGAGATCTGGATTTAACCCAATTCCTTCAATATGGTACGTATTTCTGCTTCGACTGCCTCACCCTCAGTCAATATGCTCGCTCCTAAATCGCGATGTTGACAGTCAGCAGGTTCTGGGGCTGGCAATCGACAGCTGATAGCTCTCGCAAAGGAGCTAACTGAAAGGGTACATTCGCCTCCCTGCGAGTATGAATGCCTCCTTCACCCCGGCAATACCAATGCATGGGCGAAGGTAGTGGGATTACTCTGCGAAGATAACGACTTTGTCATCGTGGAGGAGTTCACGTACCCTTCAGCGCAGGCTCTCTGGATCCCCATGGGCATCAAAGCTGTACCCGTTGCTGCTGATGCGGCGGGAATCATGGCAAAGAATCTCAGAACTCTTCTGTTGAATTGGGATGAGCGGGGAAGAGGGGCACGAAGACCCAGGGTGTAAGTCTTTCGTCAGCCCCGATGCCATGGATCATGCGAGTTGCTAATGAGCGATAGACTCTATCTTGTCTCGGTCGGATCGAATCCGACTGGAATCACCATCTCAACACAAAGACGAAGAGAAATCTACGACATCTGCGTTGAGTTTGGTATGTTTGAGCTGCTCGTGTCCATGCAGGAAAGCTGCTAACAGATAGTAGACATTATTATCGTTGAAGATGATCCTTACTACTTCCTCCAATACCCAGGCTACGGGACTTCTGTTGAAGCATCCTTCACACCAAAACCCATCCCAGAGTTCCTCAACACCCTCGTACCCACGTTTCTCTCCATGGATACCCAAGGCAGAGTCATCCGTCTCGACTCCTTCTCGAAGACCCTCTTCCCCGGCCTGCGTCTAGGGTACTTTGTCGCCAACCCAGTCTTCACGGAGCGTCTTCTGCGCGCAACAGAAGTTGAGACACAGGACCCAGCCGGCCTCAGTCAAGCATTTGTCCTTGGTCTGCTTCAAAAGTGGGGCGTTGACGGCTACCTGACTTGGCTTCAAAATCTGCAATTCCAGTACCGTACCAGACGAGACTGGTTGTTGGACGCATTCACCACCCACTTTGATCTTTTACCTGCAGAGAAGTCGCCCATACCCGAAGCGCAGGGTCTTGTAGTGTGCGTCAAGAGTTCCCATGATGGCAAGGTGAGACCTGTGTTCAGCTTTGTTGATCCTGGGGCTGGCATGTTCGTCTGGTGTAAGTTCTACTTTGATGGCGTCGGCCGCTTCATGGAAATTGAAGGTGCCGCAAAGAGCAAAGATCCAGAGCAGGACTTTGCCAACGAGCTGTGGCAGGCGTGGGCGACAGAACTTGTGCTTCTTACTCCGGGATCGTACTATCACGCGTGGCAAGGGCCTGACCAGATGACTTCCGCGGCCCGGGGTGCTGATCCGCGCACCGCGCACTTCCGGTTTTCTTTTGCAACGCCGACGGTAAGTCTGTTCAACATACTCAGGATATTGGAAATCACTAACATCGGCCATTACAGAAAGAAGAAATCAGCTCCGGGGTAGCACGCCTTGCAAAGGTGGTAGCAAAATATTGGGAATAGGGAGGTTTAGGTGCAGAGTTTAGTCAAGTAATATCTCTTATTGCCCAGAGGCTTCTTGATGCAAGCTTCATTTATCTGTAATCCACCTTCTACACGACTTGCAACAACTGCTGGAGTCTCAACAGCACATTCCCTCTTCCCTACATGTAAATGTAGGTTTGGGTATCAAAGTTTTCAAACAGCGCTCGAGGGCCCAGGCTTGTCCTTAGAGTCGTCATCTTGGAGGCGCACTGATCTTCCTTCGATGGGTCCATCAACTCCCTTGGGTCTCTCGAAAGGCGCCATGCCCTTGCTGATCGCGACGTCGTCCTCGAACGTGCCATAAAGATCAAAATCATCCTGGCAACCCAGCCTCTGTGGCTTGAAGGCAAAGGTCAGGAGAGCATAGAGCGCTCCAGCCTCCAGGAAACCGAAAATGTAGTTGCCAAGGTAGTACTTGTAGAGCCCATCGTTGATCTTGACGTTGGGGTTGACAGCCGCAACCATTCCAGGCATGGCCGGGACGAAGCAGACAACCCAAGCGACAAACGCTCTCCAGTTGAAGCCGTAGGTATACCAGTAGGCACCCTCCTTAGAGCCGGTGTACAGCTGACTGATCTCAATCTTTTGTCGGCGGATGACAAAGTAGTCGGTCATCATGATGCCGGTCAACGGGCCCATGAAGACGGAGAAACTAGCCGCCACAGACACGAATGTGCTAGCAGTGTTGTAGAACTCCCACGGCTGAACGGCCCAAGACAAAGCCGCGGCCAGGAGCGCGCCACGCTTGATAGTGATCCAGGTAGGAAGCAGACCCGCGAGATCCATGCCAGCAGCATATCCGTTACCGAGGATGTTCTCCGCAATCTGACCAAGAACGAAGCCCAGACTGCAGAAGAAGGCGCCGGCACGGGCCTTGGAGCTGTAGTCGTCCATCATCCACTGCGTGATGACAGTCAACGGGTTCCACATAGGCTCCTCGAGCTGCCAGATCTCCATGGAGGCCGAGGCGGTGAGAATGGCGAAAATAGGGACGATCATCCCCGGGATAAAGAGGGAGAAGATGATGCCAGGAACTTGGATGCCTTGCTTGCGGGCGAAACGCGTAAAGTCTGACTGGTTAAGGATGCCGGCCGAGATGTTGCCAACGGAGGCGATGATGCCGTAGACCCAGGCCCATTCCTTTGTGAGGAGGGAGGGCTGCTTTGCGCCGGACTCGAAGAGGGGACCTGTACCACCGGTGGTGCAGGCCCAGATTGTGATGCCCATCATTGTGACGAAGACGATTAGGTTGGCTGTGATGACGGGGATCTTGGCTTTCTCAATTCTGATGAGCTACGAGAATGGTGTTAGTGTTAAGAGGCGTGTGGAGCATGAGCTTGAGCTCGATTTTCTCACCAGGAATGGAACTGAGATCAAGTGGAAGATGACGAATCCAACGAGGTCTCTCGTAACCATGTGCGCACTCTCTGGTAGTGTGTTCTCCATCATCAAGAAGTTGTAGCTCCAACTGCTCAGCATAGCAGACACGCAGAGACCCCCCAACCAGGCTTGAGAGCCGTACCAGACGATCGAGAGCATAATTCGGATCAATTGGCCAATGTAGGCACCGTTCATACCCAGAATAATTCTACAGGCTTTTTGTAAGTTTCGCGTGCCTTACTTCACGGAGGAAAACATGGTGATATTTTTTGGCGCTTACCTCTGAGACACAGTGAAGCCAATGTGCCATTCTGATCCCATCCATCCGTTACCGATAACGAGCAGACAAATCAGGGCTCTAGCTAGAATCATCAGACCGATGGTCTGCGGGATCGTGAGACCCAGCGATAGCAAAGAAGCCGCGCCAGTCCATGCTGAGATGCAAAGACTAAGAAAGCATGGTCAGTAAGCTGTAGATTAAGCTAATGCAGCTTTTACCAGACTTACTTGGAGATGGATCCAAACCCCAAGAATGCCCACATTCCCCACGTTCTTCTGTTGGGAGGCAGTGGTGCGATATCAGGATTGATCCATTTTGTCGTCTCGTATCCGTGCTCGTGGTCGTCTCGGACCCGGAATCTCTCGAGCAGTCTTTTCGCCATTGTGGCTGACGTAGTCGATGACGGGTCTTGGGTCGAAAGCCTATCCCCACCCGTTTTCTGACAAGCGATGGGAGTCTGTTGGATAGATATCCTGAACAAACAACTGTCGTCAATCTCTCAAAAGTTCGTTGAGGAACCGAGAACAGAGTTGAAGCTCGAGAAACGTCCCGGTAGCTGGTGCAAATTTTGCAACTCTGCTGAAGACTTCGGTCTTAAAGGCAAATGTGGCTCTTATGTCGGTATTAAAAACACCGCATCCCCCCCACACGGGATAGTCCACCCTCCATCCCATCGGCTTATCAGATTGATCGAGTGGTGCGAGTCCATCTGCAGCTCGACCTTATCAGATTCATAGATCCCTGAAGACCACCCCCAGGGATCAGCAAGAGACTTTTCACACTTTCCACCAGCTGCCACTAAAGGTGACGCCGATTGTCTCCGAGGTCACATTGGACCCCGCACCTGATCTGTCCATTTTTGTAAGGAGACACTGGAAGAGTCGTAGCTTGAATTTTGAGATGGAAAAAAAGCCACTTGAGGAAAAGACGGCCGGTGGTAGCAACAGGCTGGTCCATCAGATATCCGCTCTTGGCGCTGGCTAAGAAGGCTTGCGAGACATATGCGAGAATGCCAAGTGTGCCAACAGTCGTGCGTAATGATTGGTTCATCCACCATGCCCAAGGCTTCAGAACTGTGACGGACGTCTTGTCGTGCTTTATCAAGATAGCCTGGCATGATAGCAAAGATAGCCAAAACCTGCGCCGCAACGTGGTCAGCCAGGTTCACAGCTTATGAATCCGAGACAACGGGTTAACCGTGAAGGACTAGGCCGCGTGGGACCCGATCCACGAACAACTGGATGCGCTTGCAGTGAAGCCTATTTCAACGTCAACATGTCCCGTCGGGACAATTTCGCAAGCTGACCTAATGCACCCTTTTTGTTTCAAGAAATCATGCTTATGAGGTGGAGAGAGAGAGAGAGAGAAAGGCCCGGCTCATGATGAATGCCGCCCGCCGCCGCCACAACCCGAACCCGAACCCAGGGTGAGCTGTTTAATTACCTCACCCACACGCCGGCCAACCTCTCAGTTGATGGAAATCAAATCAGATCGGCAGACACTCCCCCAGAAACTCTTGCGCTAAAATCATCCAATTCCACTCCCTCCCTTGATCCCTCGCCTTCCAAACCCGTTCCTCGACAAACATTCGCGTCCGCTCGACCGTCACCGTCTTGCGGTGTGTGCCAATCGCGTCAAAGACGTCGAGCACGGCAGCTCGGTCGTCCACATCCAGCATTTCGCACGCGGCCATGAAGACGGGCCACAGGAGCATCTTGGACTCGGAGGGCGGCCCGCTCGTGTACAGCATCACATCGTGGGCCCTGCTCAACGCCTCGCCGTCCGCGTCCGCCGTGGACCCGGGGAGGTAGAAGAGCCGGTGCAGGTAGAGGAGCGCGCCCGCGCGGTAACAGGCGGCTTGGGCGCGGAACTTGCGCGCCGAGCGGAAGGACAGGCTGTCTGAGATTGTGGGCTTCCAGGACTCGAGGCGCAAGCGGAGGGAGTCGGCGCGTAGGGCGGTGTTGGAGTAGCCCGCGTCGAGCCAGCTGTCGATGCAGACTGGCGGAGACGAGGAGCCCCTTTCCTCTGTACTTGTTGGCGATGTTGCGCTGCCACCCCCCAAGAGGCTATCTTGGAAGGCGGACTGAAGGATCTGGTCGCGGACCTCTTCGGCCAGAGTGCAGAGCTCTTCTAGTAACGGCATGAGGGTAACGGTATACCCAAGCAGACGGTCAGGCTTAGCCGGTTCATTTTCTAGCCAGACGTAGCTGGGAACCCTAGGACGGCGAAGCTGGATCAGAGAGACAACGAGATCTTGCCTCGCCAGTGCCCGGAGGTAGTATCTCGCCACGGAAGATACGTCGCCTCCCGTAGAAACGTGGTGGCTGATAAGAGAGGCTACATTTGATAGGACTGTGGGTATGGTTGCATGGTGTCCCGGTTGTGCCAGAGTGACGAGCTAGACCCTGTGAGCAATGCGATCCGGGTCACTGGGGTGCAGTGGCCCATCCATCCATCTAATGCAAGGTCCACGGGTTCAAGTTCCAGTCCCGAGCAAAAGCGATGAAAATTGACCCACGCAGGAGAAAGAGGAGAAAGGGGGACATGAACTCACTTCCATTGCACACAGTCCGAGAAGCAGGAAGAGCGCCTCTTCAAAGTAGTGAGTCGAGGGCTTCATATTCCTCAAGTTGGCGAGGATCTTTGCCCTCCGGTTCAACACCGGTAACAGTGCCGCGGATGAGCTGCCGACGTCATATGAATAGCCAATGGCCGAGATCGTGTCAGCAATCACCACCGGATCCTGCTGCAGCATCATCACGATGTTGGCGTTCATCTCGCACACGAACTCGTGACCTATCAGCAGCTCAAAGGGGTGTCTGTTGAAGTACACTTCAAGATACGGCTGGTCCGCGACAGGCACCGACCCCGGAGGAAGCAGAGAAAAAGTGCGCGTGTCTAGAGCCAGCGTCTGCCGATTTGAAGTTGCTAATGAGCTCTGCGACGCCGGCGTCGTTGGACTGCTGGTTGTAGACCCGGCAGAGACGGCTACGGAGAACTGGTCCGGAGAATTTGATGCAGATCCTGGCACTGGATTTTTTGCTCCCGCAGCGGCGGTATTACTGGCACCAGCACCGGCAGCGAGCAGAGACGAGGGTGAGTGCCGGGCATGTTGGGCAGAGCCAGGCTGCGTCTTGTATCCCTGGCACGCGAGCCTACGCCGCGCGCAAGTTCCGCACGAGGGGCGAATCTCATCGCACTTGACCTTTGCCTTGCGGCAGTCGATGCAGCCGTTGCGCGAGCGTCGCGTAGGGGGGACCAAGGGCGGCATCTGGACTGGATCGGATCGTCGTAGGCTAACTCAACTCCGGTCTGCAGAGAGCAACCGGGGTGTCGGCAGCAGCAGCAAAAAGCAAGACCGTGTGAGAAAGATACGGATAGAGGAGCGATGACTGAGGTGAGACTGTGAGATAGAGAGGGTCCTGGATCGTGCCTTACTTCCGTTGACGGGCGTCCAGCTTCGCTTGGATTCGGGATAGAGTTGTGGCTGGCGGGATACAATGTTCGTTATCACGTTTCCGCCCGCCCCTCCTTCAAGCGAGCGAGCGATTTTCTGCAGTTCTGCAGCAATTTTTTCGCGAGATTTGGGGGGCCCTAGTAGGCTGCTGGCTGCTCGAAAGAGAAGACAAGGGTGTAGTTGTAACACGAATGGATTGGCGGCAGAATGCTGCGTACATGAGTGTGGTGAGCAATAACTTTTTATCTTATCAGATCATCTCCATCTGGACCAGCCAGCCCAACCCCCGCGAGCTGCAGGGATTTCCCGATATTAGTGAGGGGTGATGATGGTGAGAAGGGCCACTTGCGGCGGTACATCGGAGCTTGCGATCAACCTTGATCGAGTGTGGTTCGTCTGGTGTTTGTGTGCGAGTTTTCAGAAGAGGTCCACTAGAACTTGGAAGATCGATCCATCACGGCCTCGGCATATGTACGTCTAGTCACAAGCCATCCTCAAAGCTTGCTCACTTAGAATGGCCGACGGGAACATTCGACGATTCCGCGTCCATGCTTCATGAAGAAAATTCTGATCATTATCAGACTCTTTATGGTGGAATGGAGGCCAAGAATCGAATATGGTCGCCGGCGACTGTCCGCCGTTGGGGGTCACCGTCGTCAATACCCTGGAAATTCTTACGTACAAATCCACCGTCAATCCAGCGAGTCATTTATTTCAAGCACGACAAAAGCATCATTTAAAATCTCGAGAGAGTCTTGAGTGGGCTCTCATTATTTCATCATCGGCAGTGAGCTACGTGAGTTTGAGCTGCTGTTTATCCGTACGATGAGAAGTAACAGTCGTGAAACCAAGCTATAAGACTGTATCTTACTGTGATTTGACCTCTGAGGCCTTTACCTAGGCCGCTCTCAGTGAAGATGATGCATGAGCTCATTTAACTCATTTGATCACTCCATTCGAACGAAATATGCGACTTCACGTGCACCTTGATCTTCATGTTCATACTGTAGGTGGCACATCAAGCAAGGACAATCCAGAGACAAATGCAATCTCTTGAGGCAGCCCAATCGCCAGATCTACTCCGTTCCTGCGAAAAGTTACCGATGCTCAGGGTCCCCGCTGGGCGCTGGCCACTCGAGCGGGGGACAGGTTAGCCGGTCCTCACCGGCGCTGGTGCGGACGGACCTCAAGCATCACCACGACCGCATCCGGTTCCAATCGCGGTCGCAGCACAATGGCCCCATTTTCCTTTTTTCTATGACCTTTGGTCTCCCGTCAACCTTCTCGAACCGCCTTGAAACGGCGTGCGCCCTTCATGCTTGCTCCCCCGCGGAAGACCGATTGACCGAGCGAAAATACAGGTCTATGGTCTGCTGGCGAGAGTCTAGCGTCGCCGTGGCTGATCTCACTACGTCGCCTTGGCAGTAAGACCGATGACATCAACGGCCGATCCCGCCTCTCTGGTGTTGCGCTACTGCGACCGCTACCACTTTACCACCACATACAACCACTTGGAATCAGGCAGCCGGGCACTATTTACTTTTGTCCAGTCGTGACAGCGACGGACAGCCACTCGTATTGCCTAATTGGGATGGGACAGTCGATGCTGTGCCACAGCCGATGTCATTTGGCATCGCGCTGGTTTGGCACGATCTGAGGCGGTGATGTAGGATCACTAGGGCGGTGATCGTCTAGGTATGTTGTCTCTTACCTGTGGCTTTCAGCACTTGGATGGAATGACGTTCTAGAAGTCTAGTGCCTTAAGTTCGAATGATAAAGGCTGAGTGTGTTCCTCCACTCTGATCAACATCCTGTCTATGAGAATATCACAATAATCTGACAGCTATATCAACCGAAACTGCCACTGCCAGAATCAGAAGTCATCGAACCCTCAATTCACATATCTTCACTCACATCCAAAGAGAAAATCCATCAATATGCCCGCCATCCAAGTCGAAGCTACAAACGTCGCTCGTGATGCTGCAAACCTCGTCACCCGTGTGACAACCTCAACCCGCATCGGCAGAACCAGAAGCGGCGTTAGGGTAATCGGAGGCGGCATCATCGCAGCCATTGTCGTCGGTGTAGTCATCTTCATTGCCGTAATAATTATCGGCATCTGTCTCTTCCGCCGCCACAAGAGCCAGAGTAAGAGGCGCCAACAAGAGATGGGCAAGTACTACGGCGGCGACGGACGCTCCAGCATCGGCACTGACGCCCCTGCGCCCATCCCCGGCTACGGAAACAACAACACCAACACTGGATATGGTTATGCTCAAGGTTACGGTCAAGGACAGAACCAGGGCTACGGATACGCGCACATGGCTCAGCCGGGCCAGGCTGGGTATGTGGCGCCGAACAATGGTGGCGTAGCTCCTATGGCGCCTGCTTACACTGCCGACCATGTTACGCACACGAAATGAGTGGCAGAAAGGATGTAAGCCGAGAGGACGTTGAAATGGCAGTAGGAAATATGCTGCACATGCTACGATAATGTTTGTTTCGTATCTAAGAGTGCGATACCCATGACCTTAATGACGATTAATTTTACATTTCACACTGCATTTGTGGAACTTCCCGATGAACCTATATAGCTACGCTGTTGACAGCCTTAATAAGCTTCAAGGCCTGTCCACGATGGTTGAAAAGCCTGAGATGTTGATAAACTAGTAAATATAGAGGCAGTTCTAAGCTGTAATACTTCCAATGAGACCAAACTTTGACAAAACGCCATTACGACTTTGCTTGCAAAATGAATAGACAAGATAAAAAGTCAAAGGCACATGATTATATGAAGTGCTCTTCTCAATGGACTACAATTAACGCCATCCTATGCTGCTGATAAAGATTCATCGTGCCTCAAGCTTCAGGGCATACAGACTATTCGCTGTGATTCTACCCAGCTCCTCACAGGAATTTGTTCTTGAGGAAATCCTAGCCTTGTTGGGTGACCACTTTCGCTGGTGCTACACTTTCTAGCGAAGCATCGACCTTTTCACTCATCGGACGAACTTTCTCTTTACCCTTCTCTCCTTCAGTCCATTCCTGGTACCCAAGCGACATCCACACCCAAATACCAATAGCGCTCGAGAGAACCACAAAAGTCAAGATGCCAGCTCCAGCACGGTCACCTGTAGTAAGAGGATCAAACTCCTTGAACGGATTTGAGTTCATTCCAGCGTTGGGATCGCCCTTTGACGTGCCGCCCGTTGTGTTCGTAGCAGGAGGAGCCACTTCCAGCAGACTCTGGACCGCGGCCAGCACGTTCATCGCCTCGCCAGCACCAGTTGTCTGATCAACGGCCGGATCGACAAATTCGCCTTTGTTCCAGTAGAATCCGCAGACGCGACCCGAAGCACCGCCCGTGCACTGCTTGATGGCTGATAGTGTGGAGTTGCGCAGGACCGGGAGAATGAGATCACGGGTCGAGGGGACGAGTTGAGTTACGACCGTCATCCAGCGGTGGACATAGCCTTTGAAACTCAGCATGTCTTGGGAGCAGCGGCCTGTCTCGAATTCGCAGGGGATCTCGTAAGCGGCACCGTCGGCGAAGAAGTCTTCGATGGCGCGGTTTGCGAGGGCTTCGGTGCGGTCGAACCACTTTTGCTCTCCCGTCTGCGAGGGTCAGCATCTTGAGTGATAGGGGGTCACGGAGGCGACTTACATGATTCGCTAGGAAGGCACAGCCTTGCATCAAAACGGCGATATTGTACGAAAAAGTTGCCTTGAAGACGTCGGTGCAGTTTTTCGGCACATGGGCACCGTCGTAGACTCGCCAGTTCTCGTGGTCGATGTAGTTCACCGCCCACAGCCAGTCCCAAGTCTCTTCAGCGTAACGGACATACGTATCGTTTCCGGTGTAGCGAGCGAGTCGAGCACCGATATTAAAGAAGCACCCGTTCGAGATTGTGTTTTTGTAGTCGTATCCCGTGTTAGTTCTTGGAACCTGCCACCGCATACCGCCGCCGCACGTCTCGTCATGTCTTTCCGGGTTTGCTTGGGTCGTCCACACGGCTTGTGCGAGCGCCAGCCACTGCGGTTTATCCTCTGGTGGATCGGGAAACTTGTTCTCGGCCGCGAGCATCGCCGACATGCCCCAAAATCCTTGGTCATCGTTGCCGAGAGAGGCGGTGTGGTTCCGTGGCATATAATCGCGGCCTTCTCCGACTTGGTGGAGCATTCCCTCGGTGACGACGTGGTTGTAACTCTCGTCGCCAGTGTAGTACCAGTAGTCGACAAATGTTCCCATCATGGCGCCGCCCTGCCACCAATAGTAATCGCCTTCGTTTGCATCTGGTGGTCCTGGCAAGATCCCGGGAATTTCCCCTGTCTTGTTTCCTTCGTAAAATTTCATGAGATCGTATGCGAGTGTGCTGGCCGTCGTGAGAATATCATCTATGCAGTAGGGCTTGGTTAGAATCTCTAGATTGACATATGTTGTGGTGCGTTTTAAGTGTCCTCGTCCGTACCTCGAGTATCTATTGAATAGGCCGCATCGGCAGCCCTGGAGAATGCCAATAGCGCCAGTGGCACTGCGCTAGGATAATGAGATGACAGCATTTTGAGCGAGTGATTAAGCTGGTGTAATCCCTTCTCTGGACTTTGATGGTATAATATAAATAGTAAAACGAGCGACTACTTGAGCGATAGATGTGCGGTCAGTTGTTCGTGGCGGTACAAGTGACGCTGAGGACGATGAGGCACAGATTTTGACACTTGCGGACCAACGGCCGGGGCGCAAGATCGAACAGATGCACAGAAAAGTGTTTATATTGCAACCGCCGGCTTGGTTGGGGTTGAAAAAGGCGCAATACCTGGAGGACTCGCTCAACGGGGGCCAGCTGATCTTTTACCGCCACCGGGGTTCGAGGGTCGGGCGTGATGAATGTTCAACTTAGTCTGCTTTGAGAGTGGGCGGCAGTAAGCTGATGCGCGTGGACGAGAACAACCTCGAGAATCAACAAGAAGGGGATCAACAAAGTCGGAATTCTCTAGGGAGAAGCTCAGAGGTACGATAGCTCAGAGGTAGGACCGGAAGATGCGGAAAGCAGCTAGAGTAAGTTATTCTGGGAGAAAATCTGGGGAAGAGTATGACAGCAGCTTCCATGCTACTGCTGTTCTCCTTTCGTGCATCTTGGCGCAGATGTGGACTCCTTACGAGCATGTTCTTAGGATTCCCGCTGATTCATGGCCCTGATGGACAGCCTTGGCGACATGGGACCAAGTTCCAACGAGAGAACAAGAGGGCACCGGGTTTTCATCCGTCAGGGTGCACACAAGGAGAAGACTAAACCTTGGTACCGGGCCAGCCCAGGCCAGAGAGGTATGCTTCCAAGAAGGACAATGACGCGGTGTAAAAGCCAGAAGACCAACACACCAAGAGGCTACCAACTTACCAAGAGGCACCAAGAGACACAGCTCGCCTGGGCATTGGGGCGGTGCAAGGGCCTACCCATCCTGCCATCCAATCTCGAGTCGTCCCTTTGCCTGGAGGATTGTGAGTCGCCAAGACAAATACGAAAGTAAACGACGGGAATGCGCCCAGGGGGGTTATTGGGCGGCCTGGGCAAAACATCTATATTCTATTGGACTCCGGAGTCTGGCGACCCTGGGCTTGATCCGCAAACCTGTGAGATCATCCACCGGACTCTCGGGCCAGGGGGTCTTGGGGTCTCTTGGGAGCTCCGCCAGCACGCGCAACGGTGACACACCAAGCTCCTTCGCCGTCACTTCTTATTCGGGTGGCCCCAAATCTCACCGGCCCCTTACGTTTCGCGATGCGTGGATACGTAACATTTGGGTTGGCGGAGGCGTAGATTGAGGTCAACATTAACTATGAGTCGGCGTCGAATAGCCAGCCACAGTGTCTGGACGTGTTGAAGGGTCCTGGGGCCATTGGGGGCCACCGCGGGGCTATGGTAACCACAGCTCACTCAGCTCTGCAACGGCCGGGATCATGGATTGGCTAGCTCGGTTCCGTAAACCGAGCTGAAAGTCCCTCGTAAGGCCTTGATCTGGTTTAGCGTGACGTGTTTCCCCTTGCTGCAACGGATGTTTGCGACATTCACCGAATAATACACGGTACACCAGCGCGGGTGCGGAGAGACATCATGAAGCAGTAGCTTTCGTTCGTCCGGGGCTCATCTCATCAAATGAAGAATGAAGGTCTCGGCACTCATTTCAGCGCATTACTTGAAATGAAGGGCAGCAACACAGCCGCGTTTCATCCACTGCCCAAATGATTGACAGCAGCGATAAAACATAACGGCAGATCCGTACTTCGTGAGAAATGCCACCTGGGCTTGGCGACGAGAATTCGACGCTGATGAGACTGTGTAAACCGTTTACTCCCTTTCACTTCAAGAGTCTATGCAACACTCTAATGAAAGCAAAGTACATGTATCGCAATTGTCTAGACGGTGCGTCTGAGGATACGCTCCGAAGTTCTCAAGTTGCCATCAGCCAAGGCTCAGCAGTGAGGATTAATCAAGACCTTTGGCTCAATCACAGATACTCAGCATCCATACCTGAACTGTACTCTTGGATTCAATTCCTTATAGAATAAATTATCAAGCCCTCTGTGGTTCGCCAAGTTATCCAGGAGCTTTAGACACTCGGCTTATGCGACGTGGAAGTGCTACAGATGCTAACATGCAATCACGAGTCCACGACAGGAGGCTTGATTAAACATTCACGATTCGCGACTAATGAGCAACTCATCTCTGTGGTCATTGTTTACATGCAAGTAAAATGCCGTGGAGCACAGCATGATGCATGTGCGATGAAGCTTATGTTAAACAACCTCGGCTTTCCCACTTCGTCTGGCGTTTCAAAAATGCATCTCCATCGCAACATGCACGGCCCGATGAAACAAAGTTCGGACACTGGACGGGAACAAAACCAAAGCAGCACCCTGCTTTTCGAAGATCAGCCGTAGATCAGGGCCCTTACTCTTCCACTCATCATCATGGATCCTGTAACCATCGTTACTGCTGCAGCTTCTTTGGCAGGTGCCGTCCTGAAAGCCTCCTGGAAAGTGAAGGAGACCATTGACGCATACGACGACGCACCGCAGAACGTCGCAGACATTGCTGAGGAGGTGCATGCGGTACAGATAGCGCTCCGACAGGTTGAAAGTGTCGTGCTCCAGGACCCTGAAGCCATTGACCGGCTGGGATTGGAGGATGTCTTTACCGTGGCCGTCAACGGGTGCCATGCAACGCTTCTTTCCATCAGTAAAGAGTATGAAGATCTCTTCCTCCGAACTGACTGGAAGACAAAGATCAAAGTTCTATGGAAAGATGGAGAAATGACTCGGCTGCTTGGGCGATTAGACCGCAAGAAGGCTACGTTGACGCTCTTGACACAGACTTTGAATCTGTGAGTCGCTATCCAGACATTACAGCATAGTCTATGCCTGCTAACGTTACCACAGTCGATCCACCCAGGACATCAAGACGTTGTTGATTCAAAATCAGTCAACTTTGAATGCCGCAAAACAGGACGTCCGAGAACCTGCGGCTTACTATCCAGAGGTCCCTCACTTCCGGCCAGCGAGTCCCGACTCCTTGGATGAAGGCAGTGTGGTCGGTGTTCCGAGGAACAGGGACTCTGTGATTAGCACCACGGAGTTTGACTTTGATTACGACCTGATCAACACCAAGACATATCGACGAGCTCTACAAAGATATGCCTCTGTTAGCGCACGCAGCAACTCTTCAGTGGAGCAAAGGACGGACGAATCGCCAAGTATGACACCAGACCTCGAACCAGTTATGGAGGAGGAAGCAGAAGTAGGGGATCTCATCAACTTTTCCTCTGATAACTTTAGTTTTCAAACGCCACTGAGCCGAGCAACTACACTGCGACCAGAGTTAGAAGGCATCGAATTTGATACTCCGCCTGCGACGCCGCCTAAGGACGTAACTCGAAATAATGCTCTGGCGTCTTCAGAGCACCTTGAAGCCGCTGGCTCGAAGAAAGAAGGAGGTTCTGAGCCAGCTGATCCTTCGGATGAATCTAAGGCAAAGAGATCATCCTCCCGAAGGAAGCTAGACCGGCATCCACCAAGACATCTCACAGCAGCTGAAGCAGCGGCAGAGAAGTTTCACAGAAGAAGGAGGCATGGAAAACCCGGCGCTTCGGCAGATCAGGAACCCGAGGTATCATCCACCCCAAGCACCGGGACGCTCGGCCGAAGTGTCAGCTTTGATGAATCGCTTGCGGATACCATGTCTCAATCTTCTGAAAAGATAGATAAGCTGAGAAGTCGGCGCAGGTGTGGACATCCTGTGCACCATAGAAGACGGCCTGGTAGGGAAGGTTCGTTCTCTTCCCGCGGATCAGATGAGTCAACTACAACATTGGGCTCTGTCAATACTTTGACAGACACTCTAGAACATTTTAGTCTTTCGGGGCCGAAGGTATTCGGAAAAGAGAAGGGGAGGCGAAGACAAGTCGCGTGAGACGTAGACTGGAGTTGGGGAAAACTTATTCTCGATAGCGGAAATAGGAACGATGTGAGACAATGCGTCTAGAACATAATGTTCCATATAAAGTTGTCAAACTTGGGCTCGGTTTCCACACAGGAAGCCATCATACCCTGGAGGGCTGAGCTAAATACTGGTAGTGTTCAAGCGGGGCGGAACTGCTAGTACCTTGAAGGAAGTGACGTGCTTGAAATCATCGCTACACTCATCAGATGCCGATTCAAGAATGTGAGTAGCGGCATTGTCTAATGGGAAATGAAGATGAGTGCTCCAGCTAGGAACTCATCCACGACGCTAGGTGTGATGGAATGGTTTAAGGCACAATTCCTCGAAACCAATGGCCGGAGATTTCTCAACGTTTGTCACATACGGAGGATATTTGATTTCTAGGCGGAAGCCTTGGAGCAATATCAAGAAGAAATGTGTTTTATCCCATAAAGTTGTTTCTGGAAACTCATCTGCCAAAAGAGATGGGACAATGGAGCCAGCTTGTTGTGATGGGGACTGTACTGGGGTTACGTCTTCGTCAGCTCCACGATTGGACAAAACTTCTGGAGCCGGATGGCTGCTGCCGACAACCGAAGCCTGCTGCCTAAAGCTATCACCTTCCCTTACACCAGCACGAATCTTAGCTGTGCGATAAGTAGATGGGACCAAAGGCGACCGAGAAGACTCAGATCAGCACGAAGCGGCTGACGAGTTCCTTGTTGGAGGACGATGGACCGACGATACTTCAGGTCAAGGAAGCCAGCTTCAAGCACCAAGGCTGCGTCTAGTGGGCGGAATCGATCACAGTCACCACCAAGATCGACCCGCCACTTCATGAACTTAAAGCCGCTTACGCATGAACCACTGAGAACGTCGCGCTCCATCAGAGTTGTCCAGATTCTCAAGTTCAACAGGGACAATCTCGAGATCTTTGCTACGCTGCACCAAGTAAGACTCTGCGACACTGATAAGGATACCACGAATTATGTCGCTCTGTCCTACACATGGGGCTATCCAGTCACTTCCACAGAGCAATGGGGACCCTATAGTGCTAAACCTGAGAAGATTGTCGCTAAAGCGAAACTCATCTTGGTCAATCCCGGAGATTATCGTCGCATGATCAGCGACGACAATGCTATCAGCGACTGCAGCTGGGTCGACCGATCGCAGCTTTTCGAGTACAAGATGACTGAGAACCTATCCGATTTTCTCATGAGCTTGACGAGTCGCTCTGAAGAACGCGACGCACATATACCTCTTATCTGGATTGACGCCATCTGTATAGACCAGACGAACCCTCAAGAAAAGGCTGTCCAGATCCCACTCATGGGTGAGATCTATGCAAAGTCCTCGGCGGTGTACATCTGGTTAGGGAAACACGACCGAGACCTTGAAGGTCTGTTCTGGATGTATAGAACCTTGTTGCCGGCAATTAAAGAGCGTCAGAAAAAGTCCTCCTCGTTACAGGCATTCTTTCAATGGCTTCAGACTTACGGCCCGGGCGATGAACGATTGCTGGAAGACCTTGGGCTCAAACCCGAGAAAGCCTCGCTGAAGGATTGTTGGATCACGTATATCATGTTCTTCACAACAAGGTCATGGTTCTTCCGAGCTTGGACCTTGCAGGAGGCCGTCGTTGCCAGCAACCCCGTCTTCGTTATTGGAAACGACTTCCATGTCTTGAGCTGGGCTGATACCTGGGATTTGAGAAGAATAGTCCAGGCTTGGAGCAATGGTCTATCAGAGCTGACGATGTACAACGAAAAGCTTGCTCCAGAATTGAGAGGAACCCGTCTCATTCGAGGTTGGACCGAGATATTTCCCCTTCGAAGTGTCTTCTCGAGCTGCCTACGAGCTGACAACCGGGATGAGTGGGTTCAAACATGGTCATTATTGCTCTTTTTTGCCACGGCAAAGGACTGCACTGTGACAGTAGACAGGCTGTACTCGACCTTTGGCATGGCCAAGATGATATGCCCGGCAGAAGTCAGCGGATTCCCAGTCGTTGACTTCTCACGGTCTGCCGCCGAGGTCTTTACACAAGTTGCCCGCTTCTTGATTTGCAATAGCGGTGGTTTGAGTCTGCTCTCGCTCGTCACAGATCGGACGTTTATCAAAACAGCTGGAATGCCTTCTTGGGTGCCAGACTTTGCCATCAAAGGAGATCAAGGCCACTTACTTTCTTCCGTAGTAAAGTTCAGAGCCTCTGCTGGTATTCCTACAGATCCTCCGCCGCGACACTGCGGTCATTGCATTACTTTCAGAGGGAAGAGGGCCGGCAAAATTGCATTCATCCCGCGCAATGATGGCAAGTTTAGCCCCTTTTCATTGTAAGTTGCTCTTTGCATTCCTCATCTGCCAGAAAAGTACCCGGCAGGTACCACGAATACTGCTGAAGCTCTGTGGCGGACTTTGATATATGACTTTGGCGAAACTCCCACGACACCTACAGGGGCGGCCGCCGAAGCAGAAGCCGACCCGAGACACGCACAAGGCTTCAAGCAGTGGTTAACGATTGACTTGACCACGTGTCTCAACAGGGACGGACATGGCTTGGAACGACACGAGAGCCGCGAGTTTGGTTCTATCCTTTCATCCAAGTTTCAAAAAGCCCATAGCGAGCTCATTCCATCCCTGGACGAGGTCCATCAGATCGTTCACTATGTATTGGCACATCCATACGTGGGACATCCATCGCAGCTCCAAGGGCCACTCGGCAGGGCATACCATACCTTGATGACGCCTATTATCATGAACAGACGACTGTTTATTACTGATGAAGGGTATATAGGGTTAGGAAAGCTATCGTCTCGCGTAGGTGATGAAGTTTGGGTCCTTGCTGGTGGTAAAGTCCCATACGTTATGAGGCCGAGAGAGGATGGCAAGAGGTTCTCGCTGGTCGGGGATGCTTATGTACACGGTTTGATGGATGGGAATTGGTCGATGTCGAGTGACGCAATTGTTGAAGACGTTCAAGTGGTGTGAAGTCAGGCCGTCAGCCGTGTTGAACTTGATTAGAAGCACTGCATGGTTTGCCCAAAAGGCCTTACCCATGAAGTCGATGATCAGTTGCAAAAGCTTCTAAAACTGTGCTTCAAGCCTTTGAGCATCGTCGGTACTAGGAACTACATAAAAAAAGATGGCCAAAACTGTGGATGCATTATGTCTCTCATCTATCGGATAGCCTAGGCTATGAGGTTAGACAACTGTCTGAAGCCACCTCGTTATCACTGGGTGGTGTGAGATCTTGTTGAGCTGATTGTTGCCACATCATTTTTGAACATGTTTGGCAGAAGTCTTCACAACCCCGCGAAAATGACGAACCAAGGAGCGGATTCTAAGTCGCTCAACGGCGATCGCGATGTCTTATCGCGCGACAATTGGTTAAGTGGAATTATGATAAGCTATTTGCTTTCTTGCTTGCTTGCAGTTATGACTGCAATTGGGTTGATAGCCAGGCCGAAGGTCGCCATGTGGCGCCGGGCGCCGGACCTACACACCTGTAAGGCCATCGAACGAGTCACACGCAAGGGAGTTATAGAACCTCATTGCTCCAAAGGGTTAAGGATTGCCGAGATCTGATGAGCAGGACAGAAGAGCTCGCCCAAACAGGCTTCGTGAAAAGGCCTCGGATCGGGCGCGTGTGCGCCGTTTTAGAGCCTTGGCACTCTGCAAAGATCCCCTGGCCCCAGCCGATTTCAAAGGTTCCAGGCGCGTTCGAGGGCGCGGTTGGATAGTGGACGGGTGGCGGGGGGAACCAGGGGTGGTTTGCGGAGGCCACGAGTTGGCTGCTCAAAGGGACGGCACGAAACCCTTTTGGGAGTCAATGTCCGGGGGCTGGATTTGGGGCGATTTCCTGGCTGACCTCTGTGACTCTGTCTCGAATTGGTCGGGCGGGTGTCAGAACTTTAGATACGGCAGTGCCAGTTCTCATTTTGTGGTCTGAGTAAGTCGGGCACCGCGAGAAAGGATTCGACGCGGGAGGCAACGCGCGGATCCCGCCCCGGCGGCTCAATCGCGCATCTTTGAGCGGCGATAGAGTGTAGAATGACAGGCTTAGGACTTTGCCAGGTGATTGTCGATCAGGTGAGACTAGACTCGAAATGGATTCGGCGAGCTGTCAAGTCAGATTGTAATTCTCGTGTGTAAACTGGCGTGCAAAAGGATCTTGGCTGCTCTCTGCAGCTTCTTATTTGGTGTTGGACTGAGAACATAAGTCCTTTTAACATCTCAGCCATGTGTCAAGGGCGCGGTCTACATGTCTTCGACCTGTCGGACACTACCGATCAGGGGGAAGAGGTCAGTCAAGCTTTGCGAAGACCACGCCAGCATGCCAAAGCTTTTGAGCCCGGCTTGGAAGCATTGGCAAAGTCACCGTGATGGCTTGGCCATCGCCTTGTGCGGCGGGTGTCAATAGCACACCGGCTTAGGACTTCACTGCATCACAGCGCCTGGCCACCATCAGCAGAGCGCAACGATGCTCAGAGCTGGGTTCCTGGTGGGTTGGGTGGCCAGCGGCGGGCGGCGGAATCCTGCAGCTGTTTGTGCGCCATGGCCCGCTAGCTTCTGGGCATTCACACCCTCATCCTAGCTCGTCAAGCCATCCCGGATGGCACTTTGAACGACGTTGGAGGTCAGTGGTGTGAGATACGCCGCACGCCGCGTGAGCTGTTGACAGACGGTGAAGTACTCGCCAATCCGTAGGCAAACCGGTCTACATTTCTTCTTTTAGTAACTAATTTTTTTTTTATTTACACAGACCGTATGTCACTGCACGTGCCTGGCTTGGCAGGACGGTAGACGCCTGGAACTTGGCTACCTTTCTCGAGGGCGGCGCGGCAACCTCTGTCTCGCAAGGCTTATCTCGAGCAGTCTCATCGTGGGTTGGTGTTTTGTCGGTATTTGTGGTGTAGATGACCGAGAGAATTGACACAAACATCTCATTGGTCTGTAAAACAGAGACTGTCCTATGGCCACAATGCCTCCGTTCGAAAGTGATCCGGTGAAGAGTTTTCGTTATCAAATTCATGAATTGCAGCCTTGGCGGCTCCGCAGTGCTAAATTGCTCCGTAGTTAATCGATGGGAAATGGCATCGGCTTCCCAAAGCGCTTAATTCCTAAGCGGTTGTTGAGCCCAGCCGAGTCAAGTGGGTAGCAACGATTGCCCGCTAACATATCCTCCTTCCCTTTTGACGTCGTCAATATGTCCGTTCCCATAATGCAAAAACGTTGCTTGGAGAAATAGACACACAAGAGCAATGGTAGCATGCATTATCAAAACGAAGCTTCGGACGATTTCCTGGATAATACTTGACAGATGTTCACTGAGTATGCTAAATGCGATAGTTTGAACCGTGATCATGGAGCTCATGGAAGATGTTGAATGGAAGATTATGTTGTCACCCTTGTCAGTGGTCCTTGGGAATGCTAAGTCGGGAGACGGCAGACCCCTGTGGAGAGCATTTTGCGGGGAGTAGAAGCAGCCTAGCAGCTCTAGCATGGTGCTGAACATGGGCTTATTTGACCTGGCACACAGAAACGCGGTTACTCATGTGTCATTGTGTTCTTTTGTCCGATGTCGGTTGCGACTTGATTCACAGCTCACCACTTTCTTCACTGTCAGGATTTACAGACTCTAGGCATTTTCCTACGATAGTGATGGGATATTTCAACGGCTTCATGCGGCTTTCCGCGGTTGTGATAGAGTTGTGGTCGCACACACCAAGGTTGAGGCTAGGCGAGGTTGAATTTGAATAGGGGGCTAAGGCAAAGCATCCGTATTACGGTTCCTCCAATTCAACTGGCACACATCCCGCTCAGGGCCTGCAGCCCCATTGGGAGTCTACCAATCGGGACCCCTGCGGTCCAATATCGGGGAGGTCCTTTTGTAGCGTGTCTCGTTGTCCTCCGACGAATGGCACGACAATCTGGACCGCCAACGATCAGTTTGGTAGAGAGACTTTAAATCACCTGTTGGGGAAGCTGCAGCAGGCTTCATGTCGCCAAGACCACGGGCATGGTGCCGTAGTTGTTGGTTTGGTGTCCACTGCGAAAATCGACGACTCGAAGACAGATTAGTTCGTGTCTACCTCGAGGCTGTCTTAATTGTTGTAACTGACGACGCAGTCATTGGGAGCCTCGAGATCATGTTTGCAACTCTTCCTTCAAAAGTTCAATCTGGGTTGCGATTCCAAGTTTTCATATCCGCAAAGGCTAAGGACCTAGGTAGGAGAGGAGATGGGGGCGGTATGTAACCCGCCCGCCTTGTAGCTGAGTTTACGAGGAACCCTTCAATCAAGCTTATTAACGACTTGGCACTTTTGAGGGTCCCTTCGTTTTCAGACGCCGTTAGTGGCGTCTAGTGGCCATCGTCGACGACTAGTCTGTGTCACTTTGTGTACTAGAGTTATCAACTTACCTCATATCCCACAGGAACATCTGGCCAAACATGAGGGGCCCACGGACCACTGGCCTTCTTTGGGGAAGCCTATCTATCTCCAGCCTCGGTGATCGACTGCCCAGTCAGATTGAAGCTGTTGACAACAATGCGATGACATTTTATTCTAGAACGCCACTAGAAAGTTGATAAACCTCGTTAGCCAATGGTGTCACGGTCCTCGCGTGGGCCGTCAGCCGAACTGTTGGTCCTCGGGATCGTTGACGGGTTGCCTAAAGTTTGGGGCATCATAAGTAACAATGTCAAGGACCTTCCTATTCCAGGATCGATGGACAGTTGCGGCTTACATCAAAAGTGCCAGGCGGGCGAAATGAGTCCCGCGGGCAGACTGGTAGTCCAGCAGCTCTAGCGCGGATCGACTGCAACTGGACTTGACCGTCGTCCCAGACTCCCGTTTCTGGTGTGGCCAAATACCATGCGCCGCGGGTCTGCATGTCGCCTGCCTGCTCCCTCGGACTAGACGAATTTCGACCTGGCCGGAGCGACATGCAGACCCCCGCTGAACAAACGTACCGCTTTCTTATCTGGCCTGCTCCTTGTGCATCGGGAGAGCAGGGATAGCCAAGCTGTCTCGTCCGGGGTGGTTCTTTTGCTGTACGGAGTAAGCTCGTGCCACTGTGTGCTCGACGCGAGAACCTCCCCAACGGTCCAACCAGTCGGAGAGGTTTTGCATATCGCTCCAGGTAGATTCATGTGGGCAGGGATAGTCAGACAGAGCGAATGCGACGGCAGGTTTGTCGAGGTGTCGAGACATATAATGATGGCAAACCCTCGCAAACTCTTTCCATCGTTTCCCCCCCTCCAGCCCGCGTTTTGTGTTTTGCATCTCTTCGCTTTGCCCTTCCTTGAGCAAAAGGCCCAGCTGTGGAAAGAGCATCAGACAAGCCCGCCATGACCGAAGAAAAAGTGGCACCGGCCTCGGCCGTGTCCCCGGCCGCCCGCGTCGACAGCGCCGAGCCCCGTCCCTCCTACACCGGCAGCGTCACCGTCCACCCCGATGAGAAGGGCGCCATGGGCGGCGAATGGACCGAACCCATCGTCGATACGAAGGTCCCCGAGACCGAGGAGCACAAGGAGGAGGATCTTTACCGCCCGTTAGCGATGGACCCCAATATTCCCCACGAGGAGAACATCTTGACCGTTCGAGCCATTGTTGTGGGCTGTATCTTGGGTTCCTTGGTGAACGCATCCAACTTGTATCTTGGCTTGGTAAGTTCGTCCCTTTCTCTGAACATGAACCGGTGCTTTTCGCGGCCCAGTGCGAGTTGAAACATCACCATCGTGACTTGTGGAAATTTGAGTATCTCTGCCAATGTAGATCATTCTGACGTCAAATTGCTTTGAAGAAAACCGGCTTTACTTTCGTTGCCTCAATGTTTGGTGGTAAGTTATGACCGAAAGCATTCGCCGATACGGTGAGGATGGAGCTGATGATGATATAGCAATTTTCGGTTACGGAATCTTGAAGATGCTTTCGCAAACAAATGTTCCAATCCTGGGTGGAACCTTTGGCCCTCAAGAGAACTCTATTGTTCAAGTTAGTATACTCTCAATCCACAGGGACTACGTGAACCGAAAAGACTAACATTCTTAGGCTGCTGCCACCGGTGCTGGAGGTATTGCTGGCATCTTCGTTGCAGGTATCCCTGCCATGTACAGACTCGATCTCATGCCTAGCACCCCAGCCGGCGACATTGGCAAGATCTTCACCCTGACGCTCTGCTGCTCCTTCTTCGGCCTCTTCTTCGTCACGCCGCTGCGCAAGTTCTTCATCATCCGCACTGCCCGCGAGCTCAAGCTCATGTTCCCGACATCGACCGCAACAGCGCTTACTATTCGTTCTATGCACGCTGGTGTCAATGGCGCCCGCGAGGCCGCTATTAAGCTTAAAGCCTTGGGAATTGCCTTTGGAGTTTGCATCGTGCATCGCGTAGCATCGTACTACGCCATTGGAATCCTCTACGACTGGCACAGTGAGTTTACGCTCTTCTCATCTCCGAGACCAACCTTGATCTAACAGAATGATAGTCATGTCATGGATTCACATTTGGTCAAACTATAGCAGCTCTGCTATGAATATCGAATCGTGGGGATGGTGAGTGAAAATTGAGGCTAGTGGTCATTATGGTGGTGATGTAAGGCTGACCATGGATATCAGGTACTTCGAGTGGACGACGGCTTTCATTGGCTCTGGAATGCTTATTGGGATGAACTCTGCCTGCTCAATGATGGGAGGAGCAGTTCTTGCCTGGGGAGTCATCGGCCCTGTCCTGGTTCATTGTGAGACCCCCGTTACCATGACGCCCTCAACCCACTCCAAATACTAACAATCATCGACAGACGGAGAATGCATCGGCATCCAAGCCTCCGAGGACCCCAACTGGTCCGGTCTTACCTCTTTCACCTCCCTGAGGAATATTGGTGAAGGCCCTCCATCCCCCCGATACTGGCTGCTGGTGAGTTAATACCCAAGATTCAACATCTGAAATCAATGCTGATCTTATCATACATAGTGGCCCGGTGTCATGGTCATGGTGTGCTCTTCCATGGGTGAGCTTCTTGTCCACTGGAAGATCATCTACTTCGGCTTTGCCGCCGGCTGGAAGTCCATCTGCCTCTCAATCCACGAGACCGCGATGAAGAAGGGCAAGCGCATCGAATTCTTCGCAAAATATGCCGAGGCAGAAGAGAAGCGCGAGGCCGATGCTGTCGAGGACCCCGCCACGCCCGAGCAGCAAGTCAAGACCTGGATCTGGGTTCTCGGTCTCTTCGCGTCCATCATCTTGGCCTGCATCGTCATGGGCCTGCAATGGCAGGTCAACGTTGGTGTTACCATCCTCGCCCTGGTCCTCGCCTTCCTCTTCTCTTTCCTCGCCATTCAGATCGGTGGTGTTACTGATCAGACGCCGCTTACTGCTGCTGCGAAGGCTGCTCAGCTGGTCATCGGTGGTACCACCACCGGCGCCGGATACACCGTTCAGCACGCTCAAAAGATCAACCTCATCTCTGCTGGTCTTGCTGCCGGCGCTGCTGATGTGGCTACCGCTCTGACTTCCGATTTCCGTACCGGTTTCTTGCTCGGCACTCCTCCCAACAAGCAGTTCATCGCCCAGGCTATTGGAACCTTCGTCTCCGTCTGGCTTGCGCCCGGTCTGTTTGTTCTGTTCACCACAGCCTACCCCTGCATCACGGATGCGGAGGCCGAGCACTGCCCCTTCCTGGTTCCTTCCGTCAGTGCTTGGGCTGCCGTTGCTGAGGTTGTCACCAGCCCCAACGTTCCCATCCCTCGCTCTTCCGGCATCTTCGCCATTTGCCTTGGTATCTTCTCCATTCTCCAGGTCATCTTCCGCCACTACTACCTGGTTGGACCCCGCGAGAAGTACCAGCAGTGGCTTCCTAACTGGGGTGCCATCGCTCTGTCTTTCGTTATTCCCGGCCCTGTCTTCGTCAACGCCGCCTTTGTCGGTGCCATCATTGCCTTTGTCTGGCGCCGGTGGAAGCCTGCTTCCTTCGAGATTGTAAGTGCTAACCCATGTTGAGTTGTTACTTGGAACCAGAAACTAACCATTGGCTAGGCCTGCTACGCTATTGCCGCCGGTATGATCGCTGGCGAGGGTATGGGAGGTGTCATTGGCGCTGCCCTTCAACTTGGCAACGTCTCCAGTGACCGATATGGCACTGGAGGTCTGGCCTGCCCCGACAATGCTTGCTAAAGTGGCAGGAGTTGTGGGAAGCACGTGTAGTCTATGTAGGATGTGAGACGAATTTGAAGCCTGGTAGCGCTCGTCTTTAGTCAGGTTCATCCCCATTACCTAGAACTGCACGTACATCCACGGCTATGATTGAAGATGTTGGCCATGAGTTAAAATTATCTAATACAAAATGAAGGATGAACCCCACGGGGTAACTATCAAAAACAGACAACAATGATGAAGGCGCAAGAAAAGTGATTCCCTCAATCAGACAGGCCATAGCCTTCCGTCCCGTCATTGCTCCATGTCACATTGACATTGTGCCACTCGATACCTCCAAGAACTCGAACATTCAACGGCTGAACCTCGAGTTGCTTTTGCACAAACTCCTGTCTTGCCGCAGGGAGTTTAGCCACCAGCTCTTTTGGCGGCCCATACAGGTTGCCAAAGCAGTGTACGCCACAGGTGCGACAAAAGGGCGACCCATTGAATTTGCGACCAAATTGGTAGTCTTGCGTGTGGTCTTTGCCGACAATACCCACGTGAGACTGATGAGGATACACGCCAATAAAGCCATTCTATTCCAAAATGCAGGTTGGTACAGCTCGAAACCTGAGGCGATAGGTCAAGGCATGGACTCAAGACTTACACGGACGCAGATGCTGCAGTTGTCTTCTTTGGTCTCAACTTCAGAAGGCGACTTGCTCATGAGCGCGACCTGAATGGCACCGCAGTCGCAGCCTCCGGTGTAGAGTGTGAGGTCATCTCCAGGAACGTCGGGCAGCGAACCGCGGAACTCAATCGGTGCTGTTGTAGATGCCTTTTCAATGAAGCTAGCTTGGGTTTTAAGCCTCGTTCAGCGCGACCTCTATGTTGGCGACACTCACCTCAGAGAGCCTGGATACGGCAAGTACTCATCTGGGGCTCCAATAGTCACGACGCTTCTTCCCTTGATGAATACATCCTGCAAATCAGAGACAATCACCCGAAAGTTTATGCCTTTCTTCCCAACTTGAACGCCAGAAGTGTGTGTTCCGAATAGGGCGGTGCCGCAGACATTGCAGAACTGGCGTCTCCTTATCAGCTAGCACCAAGAGAACCATAAGTGGCTATTTCTATTGAGATGAACGTACCTCATGCTTCAAGGCCTCGGAATCCGATCCGGTGTAAGTTGTTAACGTTTCGCGAGAACATCCCTTTGTGACTTTTAAGCTGTCCTCGGCATCGTAAATCCAGACGTGTCCCTTTTTTGTGCACAGCGAACAGTCGCATATCACTAAGGACGGATAGTCTGCTAGTTGGATCTGATATCGATTCGCGCCACAGTGGCAGTTACCCCGGAAGGTTTTCAACGTGGTTTCCATGGCAATCCCAGCAAGGCACCATGAGTCGCTGAGCAGCGTGATGTTAGGCTTTTTTTGAATGCGCTGAGGCCGCCCCGTACAATGAAGGGGTTAAGTTAGGCCTTCATAAAACAAAATCTAAAGGTCTAATTTCACCGTCAGCAGGCAGCAAGAGAAGGCTTCTTGCTCACGTGGGCGGCTATCGGCACAGCTGTCCATGTGCTACTAAGCCCGATTCATCGCCAGCTCCGCACTTGCAGGATGACATGTATGCATCACCGAGGCACACGACAATAGTGACTCAGTGTGAATACTCGAATTCTAGACGCAATCGAGATAAGGGGCGCTGGAGGAGCAGCAGCATTTATCAATATTTCATTCATTCGACGAACTTGATCTTTCATGGGACATACCTCGAGGATGTACACGTACCCTAGTTTAGAGATTTGACGGCGGCTATGGCGCATACGCGAGTGCTCTTATATTATGCTAAAAGCCACAGACTAGATCCTAGAACAGTGTCGATCAACCACCCCCGCAGCACCCTTCGTAGAGCTAAGGCTGGCATGATGACTGGAGCAGGAACTGTTACATCAATTACAACATGAAGGCCTGATGCAGCCGAGTGTGATGTCCATCCATAGCCAACAGGACGATTTGACCGCGGTGGCTAAGATGATGGGAAGAATGATAGTATATGTAGCATTAGTAAGTCAATGCATCATCCGAAACTCATTCGCTTTGATATGCGATGCGACAATTTGAGGCAGCACTAGAAGCGCGCAGAACCCTTATCTTGATCGAGGTACGCCAAGTTGCCTTCAAATGCACCTCACTTACCTCCAACATCTGTACTACTGAGAAGAGTTGAGAAAATCAATGGGATGTATTACATATCAGGCAATAATCACGGTGCTGCAGGCAAGGACCCAGCTCCGGCGACCTCTGGCGACCTCCGGGTTCCCCGGCGCTTTCCCGGAGAAGTGGGCCAAAATCCGGTATACTTCCTACTGGTGTCAATAGTAACCGATCGAAGGTACCGTAGGCATCATGATCTAGAATAACTTCAGAGTGTGCAACCAGAATATTGTGAGCGAGTAAGGTTCAATCCACGTTGCTTGTGGACCCTTGCGAGTTACTCATCGATTCGGGGAACCAGCGGGATTTGCGTGGCTACGGGGTCTGATTGATCGATGACGTATCAATCCCCGAATAATCATAGTATCATCATCGTATTAATCCCTGAGAGCGTGAAGCATTTCAATCCAGGGGTTTTTATTGGAAAATAGGACTTCCTGTCTCTCAGCGTGCCAGATACATGTATCAGACATGTTTTCTTCCAAACTCTTCTGCATCGTACGGCCTCTCTGCAGCAGTTCACCAATCCGACCTTTGACATCAAGAAAATCTCAGGTGAAGAACGCCTTCTCGACAACCAAAATGGCTGATTTCCCCACCCCATCGAGCGATCCTCCCAAGAAGGAAATGCAGTATTTCCCCGACATGACCACGGCCTTGCCATCCGCCTCTGGCGAATTCCGTCGCGTCCTCTGGACGGGTCTATACTCCCAGCTGGTTCTCATGACTGTTCCTGTCGGCGGCGACATTGGTGAAGAGGTACGCCACCCCCGTTTTAATCTTGTTATGTTTTTGAAACTTACTAAGCACCAGGTTCACACCGTGGATCAAATCCTTACCTTTACGTCTGGCAAGGGCCTTGCGCAGGTTGCCGGAAAGGAGCAAGAAGTCAAGGCTGGCGATATGGTAATTGTTCCAGCAGGAACTAAGCACCAGTTTTTGAACAAGGGACCGACACCGTTGATTCTGTACACCGTTTACTCACCAGCTGAGCACAAGCCAACAACGGTTCACAAGACCAAGGAACAGGGCAATAAGGAGGAAGAAGATGGCATCGATGTAGCTCCAGAATGGAGTCGACGTAGCAAGGAGCAGAATGAGAAGGAGGGTTGGGTTAAGGGAGAGTAGATTGTTGGTAGACACAATTTCGAGATGGAGTGAATGGTATGAGCGATCCAATTTTTCACAGCAATGTCCCACAGTCATGAGAGTCTTATGTCTTTCAGGTCTTGTGCTTGAGACTTGAGATGATGGCTGCTAAGCGTGGTGGCAATGAGTTCAGTCATCATGAGCCTTCAACAACTACACGTCCAACGGCATTTGGAAATGTTCCCCTACGATTCAGACATGTATTGAAAGTTGCCCTTTACATCTGCCTGCATGATGGAGGGTCGATATCCAACTGCATTCAGCTCATCTGCTGAAGCTCACCGAATGATCAATTCGACTAGTTCATCTCACATGAGTACCGTACCGGGTAGACGAAATGGGGACCACTACAAATCTATGCTTGAGGTACTTAACTTAGGTGAGTCAGATCTACATGGGAGTATAAGTCGTTATATCACAGCAGGAGTGTCAAATTCATGCAAATTGAAAAGTTGCGAGCCAATACCACTGACGTGGCAAGCACTTGCCGGAAGGTTTTCAGCCGAGAACGGTCGAGCACCTGTCCTCACAGCTAGCGATCAAGAACATAAGTGGGAAAAGAAATGGACTAGCTTGCAATACCGGCCACTGCTGTGTCTTCCATAGTCCCGATGTTGGCGGTGATTGACCTCAATGACATGCACAAACATGAATGCAAAGAATAATTGAGAGGGAGTAAAGATCTCAAGTTTAGAACGGGATCATCCATATTTCGAAGAAAGAAACCGAAGGAAGAGCGATCGGGGAAATAATCTGCCCGACGGCTGGTGAGAAGTATTCAAACTTGTGACATGACCTAGCGACAAAGCTCCAGTCAACTCGACTAGGGCGTAGTGATGAGTAATTGCAATTCGACCGCAACGTTCAGCCGATCACCGAGTGTCATTTGTTCTGATTTCAAATCTGTGTTTAGACAACTGCGATCTTTGTATCCCATGTCAACGGTCACCACAAGTAGACAGAATTCTTCTGTTTGGCCGGAGAGATTGTGTGTCCGAGTCGGAGACTGGAAGGCATTGAAAATATCCCCGTAAAGTCAACTATTTAAACCATCAGTGACGAGGAGCATGCGGCTCTACAATCTTCTGAGCATTCAATAACGCCAGCACCATCCAAGCACATGTCTCGACAGTAATCATCCAACATGAGTCCTACCACAGTCTTGGTCACCGGCGCCGGTCGTGGCATTGGGTCTGGGTTCATCGCCACTCTCTTGCTTAGACCATCGTCAACTGTGATAGCCGCAGTCCGAGACCCTTCAAATTCATCGGCTAGAGCTCTTCAAGACCTACCCAAGGGCGAAGGCTCCAAGCTCATCATCGTCAAAATCGACTCTTCCATCGAAACCGACCCCGCGGAAGCTGTCTCTGCTCTGAGGCGGGATCACGATATCAACGCTTTGGACGTTGTTATCGCGAATGCCGGGATTGCTCACTCGAGTGGCCCCGTCATAAAGACCTCCACTGCTGCAATCAAGGATCACTTTGCTGTCAACACAATTGGACCTCTCCTGTTGTTCCAGGCAACCGCACCCCTACTCAAAGCTAGCAATAGTGGTCGTCCGGTCTTTGTTGCCGTTACCTCGATGATTGGGACCATCTCCGGCATGGAGTCCCTTGAAGATCTGCCACCGGCTTTGAGCCCTTACGGGTCTAGTAAAGCTGCGTTAAACTGGTTCATTCGGAGATTGCATTTTGAAGAGACGTGGCTCACGAGCTTCGTCGTTCATCCCGGCACTGTGGCTACCGACATGGTCCACTCCGTGATTGAGGGGACAGATTTGAAGCTTGAGGACCTTGGAGCGATCACAGTGGAAGAGAGCGTTTCCAGGATTGTCGGCAGGATTGATACTGCGTCAAGAGATATCAGCGGGACATTCCAGAATTATGATGGAACTCATTTGCCCTGGTAAATTAACGGTCTATTCTTTTCTCATGGACAACAGTTAGAGCAAGCAGGTATATCGATCCGGACTATGCGGAGATGATTAAACCGAAAGTTGAAACTTTAGAGGTTGTCCTCTAGACTAGTGCCGTTCATAAAATACTCAGGGAAGCCAAACGGCATTCGCACAGCAGCCTCCGTCATTGAGGTCCAAGTGAGCCACAACATCAGCAGAAGCGCCATCATCGCCCATTTCCCAAATCTCCACGAAACCGGCAGAGCTATCAGTAATAGCAACGAATTGGTCGCCAAAGTCGCTCGGCGTGACAGCATTTGCGCTACCTCCACTAGAGGTCGTGGGTGTCAGGAAGTTCTGCTTGTTTACGGATCCGTCGTCATTGAGAGCCAGGATCGAGATGTACCCGGTGATGTTGGTATTACGTGCCCGCGAGGTAGCCCAAAGATACTTTGCGCTGTATGAAAGAGCAACCTCGTCCGACCAGTAATTGGTGTCATTGGCGCCTGAGTATGGAGGGTCAGTAAAGCTCTGAAAGATATGGGAATGTAAAGGCGAGACTCGCCATCAGGTTTCAAAGGATACGAGATATCAGCATAGGTTGGAATGCCCGTGCTGGCATCAATCTTGTAAACGCCCACTTCGTTCGTTCCCTCGTGTACGACGTATAGATAGTTGCCCGTGGGGTGAACAGTGCCGTGTCTAGGGTCTGCACCTTCTACCGGCGCGGTGACATTGGCGACATACGTCAGTTCTCCTGTCGAGTTGTTGACAGAGTGTACCCAGATGACGTTGCCCGTATCATCGAGCGAGTACATGAAAGCTCCTGTTGGGTCAAAAGCAGTGCCATGAACTCCAGATGAAGAAGAGTAGTTGTATTCCTGGATCGCCTCGACAAGAAGGCCATCTGAGTCTACTGACATGACGGTTCCACAAGCACCAAAAGGTTGTCCATAAACTGCGTATGGAGAGACGGGCGATGGTCTGACGAAGATCGAAAGTTGCTTGCACGCTCCTTGGGACGTCACCGTATTGCCCGGAGAAATTTGAAGATCATCGGTGAGGGGGTAGCTAACATATACGCTACTGCCCGTATCCTCGAATGCGTTGCCATAGATGACTTTCTTGTCATGCTAATTCTATGCGTGAGACATTGGCTGGTCAAAAGAGGTTGGGGTACTTACGCTTAAAGAGATCCATGAGCTGCTCACGTTGACGGACGTGTTTGCAGCCAAAGTGAGAGTGCGGGCAGCATCTTCAAACTCCAAGGTGTACAGGTATGGTGTACCGAACGTTCCCACAATCAGCTGATGGTTCAGGGCATGCGTAGCCGACACAAACCCCGATGCTAAGAGCACTGACTGAAGGAAGCTGGGAAACATGGCAAACGTAGAGAATGTTGAAGATGAAAGAATGATAGCTCGTGCTGCTGTCGACACCTACTTACGCTGGGCTACATCGCAGTCTTATACAAAAGCTTGGCAAAATGATCCCTTCACCGAAAAGGTCAAATAGAGTGACAGTATCATGACTCTAGTCTGTTTCCAATGTGCGTACGCGTTTATTTCATGGCTGGTGGGGAGTCCCTGACGATCTTCTGGGGTCCCGAATCCTAGCTCCTGGTGACGATGCTTGATTTCACAGCGACCCGATTGGCCAGGTCACCGGTAGAGACCCCAACGGATGCAGACGACAGCGGGAATTTTGTGATGTTCGCGACGGCCCGGAATGTGGGGGGACGGGGCAAGGATGGCCGTTATGCACAACTGACTGAGTGACTTGCAATAACAAAATTGCGCAGGTCCGCATGTTGTAGTTATTTTCGTTGAAATTGAAGGGTCGAATGTAACCTCCAGAGCAGTTTATATAGCTCATACCCCCTAAATCAAAATGCGAAGGTCCACGATCGACATCGTCAACAGGGGTAGACGACGTTGCGGTCCTAACACACGAAAACATACGACGACTTCACTTTCACCTTACGCACCGTTCTTTTTTAGCGATGTTTCAAGAGGAATAAACAGCATCCTCTTTATTATATATGTATTTGATCCGTAGTTTCCTGGATGGTCAGAGATCGGCTGCAGTGCGGGATTACATCTTAAATACAGAAATTGGCTCAAGGGGTCTCGTGTCGACATCAAATGCCCGAAAGGCCACAGCATAGGAGTCGTAGGGCAAGGCAAATGCTTCCATGTAAAGGACAGATAAGACTCTGTAATAAGAAGACAACAGAACAGTACCTACCCATACATCGTCAATTGAGTCACATCTCTCCCAGGTGCTGGCGCAGCTAAGTTGACTTAACATTTACTCAATCTTTCCAAGCTTGTGTCACGGCTCACCCTATGCGGAGGTATCATCCGGATCGTCATTCATGCCACCTTGTCACTGCTTAGGCCGTGAGTTGCGTTTCTCTTTTTGGAGCTGCCCATGGGAAGACGAATTTGGCTGGACTTTATAAGACATGATGAATACACCTAAGGTATTTTAGAGGGACTTAGAAGGGAGAAAATATTGGCATCTGCCTGCAAAGCTTGGTTCATACGGTTAAGTCTGTCAAGTATTAGATACACTTGAGTTTCAGGTAAGATTGTAATTCCGAGTTCTGGATGCGCTTGGCTACCTGCATCTTGCAAAAGGAAAAGTGCAACCATAATTGCTAAAGCGCGAACCAATCGATGTAGATATCTCCAGTAGAGATAGAAGGGCGGTATTGACACAGGTATGCTATCCGAACCTCGAAATCCAAGGTAGCAGTGAATAAACATGTATCCTGCCACTCGCTTAGCTCCTTCCTGCAAGCGGTGTTAAAGACAGTAGAAAAGGATTAACAAGCGTGGCACGAAGCGATAGCCCAAGAGTTGCACTTCTTTGTCAGATATTGGTCTGAAGTCTGGAACGACAAATTTATTTCAGACCAGACGGCCGGGAAGGGATCAGTGATTTAAGCTTCGCATTTCGAAATACACAATATGCAATGCAACCTTGGCAAAACTTTGCGTATAAGTCAATTTGTAGATATCGTTGCTATCGAGTAGGTATTATCTTCTGGTCAAAGCTTCCCGTCCATATAATCCGCATATAGATCCGGCAAGAAAGAAGCCAAATTGGTGAACTCAGTTTGATCATGGATGAAATGCTCATAGGCAATGTTGTCTCCAGCCATGCGATGCTTAAAACCCAGCGCGCCAGCAAGATAGTCGATCCCAACCTTCATGCCCAAAACCTTGTAGTGAATGCCCCCACCCAGCCAGTACCGACTTCTCAGTTCGAGGCCATCTTCAGTCTTGCGCCAGAGGTGCAGAAAATCCCCGATTTTGAGGTTCGAAACCAAACCATCGCGCAATTCCGCGCAAGCAGCGGCCTCGTATCCCGCCGCTTTGAGCTCTTCCCACGGCAGGCCGTACTGAGCCGGGTCGACAAAGTGGATATTCACGGTCATCTTGGTTGCACCGATGAACTCCGTTACACGGTGCGTGGAGCCGAGCCACTTTTGCGTGTGAGAGAGGTCAGTGCGATGCAAACGGTCCGCGTAAGTCGACCGCGCACCTAGGTGGTCGTACGGAAACCACAGGGCATAGCGCTCGGGCTCGACGCTGTGCCACCAGAACCACCAGCGGATCATATCTCCTGTCGATCCAGGGAAACGAGTCCGTGACGTGACGTACGCAGTTCCGTCAGGAAGGGAACGCCATCCATTTTCGTGGGCGTGGTAGCCGGGTTCCAGCAGGCGGCGCGACTCTGTGATTGGGAGAATGCCCTCTAATGGCATTGGCTCGCGGATGTACTGCGGGATGTCGGCGTAGAGGTAGAGATCTTTATTGCAATATTTGGCGTACAGCTTGCTCTTCATCCGGTTCTCGTTGTAGGCGAAAGCCTTCTGTGTTTCGAGTGGATAGTATGTAATTGGCACCTTTGCTGGGTAACCATCTTTGTCTGGATTCTGACTTTGGTTCGATGTCGTTGGGTTGGATGTTTGGGTGCCATTCCGACTCGGTAGCGTTCCCGTCACGAGTTGACCTCTGAGTGCGGCGATCCGCGCCGCAGACCTCTGACGCAGCGACCCAGATCCAGACTCCATAATGCTACACTTGCATTCTCGTCGGGGCTTTGGTGTCGAAGAAAGAAACGAAAGAGACGCGGGTGTGCGATGTTTATAGCTTTGTGCTCATCATTGACAGCTAGGACCGTCGAGGTTTGTGCGGAGACCCCCCAGGTTTGACTTCCATCTTAAGTGCCCTTTGACCTCGGCTCGGTTCACGTGTCGCTGAAACCCTGTAACTGTACGATCAACCTATCGGATAGTCTCTTTCGGACTGTTGCAGCTTTACAAAGGAACACCTTCCCAATCATTAATTGCTTTCGGGAATCAATGCTAGTAGGAGGAGGGGCTAGTAACATTGCTCATTTATCAAGGGCTATAATTTTTCAAGGTGGAGATTATTGAGGTAGATTCAGACCCAACTTACTGAAAGCTCTACTGAGAGGGCTAGAGGGCCGGTGTTTTTATACGAAATCCAGCAGTGAAATCCGATGAAAATCTTAGCATTATAGTGCATTTCCACTTTCCTCAATGTTTGTTTAATATCAGTTAGGTACTTGTTATGTACACGGATTTGCTATAGGATGATCGAGCAACTTTACTCCCTTGGACTTCAGGACCTACAAGTTACATGTACTTCCTGATCTTATGGATTTGGAATAAACCTTTGACTTTCGAAAATTAACTTATCGGTGTAATTATGACTTCTAGGACCCGAGGATGATCATACTGCATAATGAGTGTCATAACTGAGGTACAGGGTTGTCAATAGTTGCCGCTATTTGTTGCTATTGATACCTAGAACCTCTGTCATCAGCGGCTGGTCGAGATTACGACACCTTCCGAGGCTACTGTCTCGTCAATCAAGCGCGCAAATACCTAGCTTTCCAGTGATTACTTCGGTAGCGACTCGGCAGCACCAGAGCACTTCCGGTCTGGGTTAGACAGCCGCAGGCGGACCATTGTTAGAGGCACATGAGCCCAAGCAATCTGACGGCATCATGCTTCTCTCTTTATACCTCAGATGTATCAGAAAGCTCTTTTGACATTTCACTGACTGAAACTGTATCATTATTAGCTTAATCTGAAGCGAACGCGATGGCTGTTGTTGAACTCCTGAAGAATCCCAGTGTCCTCGCCACATTCATCCGGGGCGACACCAGCGAGGCTCTCTCCTTCCACGCAAAAGGCCTTCCACATGTAGGGACAACCAGAGACAAGCTTCTCATACGTGTCATGTGATCTACCGATCCAGGCCAAATAGACGGCATGGGTGGCGGGCGCATCGTGACATCCGGAGTCGCCATCGTTCAGCCTTCGCAAAGACCGGATGCAGACGCTGATTACACATTTGCCCAGGTCAGTCTAGATGAAGCAAAAGTATCTTACGACGCCATCTGTGGGAACATTCGGATGGGTGTTGGTCCTTTCGCAATCAATAAAGGTCTGTTGGAAACGGACAATTGGTGAGATCGCAGGAGAGTGATAAGGATCTACAACACCGGAACAAACGCGGTTCTGGTTGTACATGTTCCAATCGACTACTCAACTGGGCGAGCACTGGAGAAGGGCGATTATTCCATATCTGGATGCCCTGACACGGGCGCTTTCATTTTGATGGACTCCTCACAGGTAATTCTGAGTCCTGACAGCAGTTCTACTTTTGGCTGTGATACTGACATGAAGATGTAGACCAACGCCCAAGAGAATATTGCCTACTAGCAATCCTTTAGATTCTCTCAAGTGCAAATTTGGCGCAGTAGATATCACGTACCGTGAAGCTGGTAATGCCATCGCCTTCGTCGCCGCGCATGATCTCGGCATCCAAGGCAACGAGGCAGTGAGCGCCATCGACAGTAATTCTCAGCTCAACACTCGCATTCGAGAAGTCAGAGGACGGACCTATGAGAAGCTTGGGAGGTGCAACGACTGGAAACAGGTTGGTGACCAGTCCCCGATGCTACCAATGGTTGCCTTGGTGTCGAAAGCAACCTCAGAAGAGGGGGATGTCCAAGCGCGCTTATTCCTTGATAATCATTGCCACCCAAGTATGGCTGGGACAGGAGGTGTCTGTACGACTGCTGTCAGCCGAATTGAAGGCCCAGTCCTTAATTGTCTGTTGAAACCTTCTGCATTGGCTCGTAGCACTCTCCAAACCCAACATCCTGTGGGCCATCTCCCAATGTCGATCGAGACCAGAGCTGGGGGACAAGGGGGAAAGCTGCCGACTTTCAGGGTCTTAGGCTTTATACGTACGCACTGCAAAGTATATTTTCCAGGGGCAGCTATTTGTTCCCAGCGATATCTAGGAAACACAATCTTCTTGGCTCTTGTCTATGAAAAAAGCATGATACGCTAAAGATGGGTCAACTGATACTGAGGGGCGATGAGTTGGGCTGTTTGAGAAGACTTGCTACGTATGTAGGTCCCGGTCCTGTGCAATGCTTCTACGCCAAATCTGGATCCAGCGTAATATGTAAATGCTGAGCAGGCACATAGAAGTAGGATTATACCATTTGGGCCCCTGCTACAAGAAATTCGGGTTTCTTTGCAGAGCAGTCTCCATGACGGCGGTAATTGCTTCGCAATCTACTCCTACTGTCAAGACAATAAACTATCTGTGGTACGTGACAATCAGACAGACTTTGCATTGCTTCTGAATCAAACTTGAAGATTCTTGATCTTTCATCTTCCTGCAAGCGACCTGGACTGCTGCCATGTAGGAGTACCATCAGTTCAAGTCCCTACTCCTCGCCCGACGCGGAAGACGCGAGGTCCAGTGCTTCCAGAAAATCCTTGATCGTCGCCATGGAGGCTTAAAGTGAGATCAAATGACCCGGAACATGTTTGCTTTGACACCCCTTTTTAATCCCTCGGCCTTTCCGCCTTCGTATTCAACGCCAGAGGCGCCTCCGTCACCCGAAATGCCCTCCAGCTTCAATCGTAGCTCCTCATCCAGCTCCGCTATTGTCTTCTTCATCTTTTTCGGTTGCGACTCGACATCAGCTGGTGATGTCGCTTGTACTGTATCTTGGCTGGTAGTTGTAGTGGGCTCGGAAGTTGTAGCGAGCCGTGTGGCGATGCTCAGCCGCGCTGAGAACTTCAACGCGCTCAGACTATTTGACGCGGTTGAGACGCGTTTTGCTGTCTGAGGAAGGCATCGCGACGGCGACCTTATGAGTATTGGTAACATCGGGTATTTCTTCTTGGCTGGACCATGTGATGAAGTACAGTCGATGTGTTCAGGGTTTATGAGGTGATGAACGGATGGATTGGATAGGTGAGTGTGTGTCGCCTTTCGTCACAGTTACCTCATACCTAGGTGGTCTATGCTTCTTCCTTAGAGGCTCGACTCTCTCGCCGACTGTGATAACTGGGCTAAAAAGAAAGAGCATCTCTCATATTTCATTTGGTACAGTACAGTCAATTTCTTTTCCGCACCCTGTCTTTTTCCTTTTCTTCTGATGAGAAGTGCTTCGAGCGACGTATATTTGGAGGTCCTGCTATGTCCCCAGGTTGGTTCCACCATCCAACCAGCAGCCACCCAAAAGTGTCAATATGGAGGAAGTCAGAGGCTAAACTCACCCTCCAGACCTTTCTACTTTGTTCATCCTCAGCACCATGAACTGAACACTTCTACATAGCTACGAGCGCCCGGATAAACGAGATCCTCACTAGAAAAGAAGAGATAAGCCATTTACTCAGGATATTCCCACAGTATTGGCGAAACCCATGAGCTGTAGTTGTGTGGAAGCCCCCTGGCTGTCTAAGAAGTTCTCCGTACTTGCGCTAATGAAGATCACAAACCCTTGTCAACGACTTTGTAGATGGAAAGTGCATAGGCCCGCAGCGCAAAACTCCAGGTCTCTCAATAGGGAGGACTGTTGCCATCTGACCAGAAGAGATTAAACTACAACACTGCGAAGGACGTGTGACGTAACATAACTCCGCTTGGAGCCGAAGATGGCTTATCCCAAGCTTTTGATCGGAGCACACGGCACCGCTTCAGAGGTGGCTGTGCTGCTCTGCCTTACTAACCAAGACTCAGTCGAAAGTTCTCCGAGACAAGGTTGCACATCCTTCGCAAAGACACAGCCAATGGCCTATAAGGCCTGTAAATCTGGTCCTAGTTGGAAGCCCATAATTCAGGTGCCTAGTCAGCTTCCAGAACAAAGATCCCTTATTACAGGGCGCACCATTTTCCTTGGCTGCAGTAAGCGAGAACACCTGAGCAGGGCGTGGCCTCATTCTGTGCTCGGCTCAGCCACCTGTTGGTCAACGGCGATTGTAAGAATCGAGGCGTGAAAAGGAGCCTTATTTGAGGATGATGTTCCCGCGCCGGTGCGTGCCCAACACGAAGCCTTCGACTGCACAGCATTCACAACTTCCCTCTCGCCTAATTTTTCTTGGCATCTGCTGTTAGTGAATGAGTGAGCCTACCACCAAATTACTAACAGCCGAAAACTCTTCACCTCCCCTTGCCGGAGCCCGCATCCGCGATGGCCTCACAGCCGCCGTCGGGCACCGGACTGATGTCGGCCGACCAAGCCGACCCCGAACCAGGCTCCGGGACACCTCCGGAGCCGAACCCCACCTCAAGAGCTAAGCGACGCCGCGACGTCGAGGCACAGCCGACCCGGCCCAGCCTAACGGGAAGCCAGCTTGATGCCACCACCGACGCCCCTACCTCGGCCGAGGGGCCCGCAGCCTCTACCGCATCTGCTCCGAGCGGATCTGCCACAGGGTCCGTCTTGACAGCCCTTGCAGAAGAAGCTAGACAGTACGAGGCACGGAAAGACGTCTTTCTGACCATTGCACGGTCCGTCGACAGCGTTGTCGCCAGCTTTGACGGTTCTAGAAAGCAGATCGCGAAAGAAGCCACTGCCTATGTCATTCAAACCCTCAAGAGACTGATCAATCACGAGACAAGCCCAATAGCGGCCCGGAGTTGGGCGGCTGTCGTCGCACCGATGGCGGGCAACACCACTGCGGCGACCCGGAGCGGCCAGAGCTGCCAGAGCTCTGCCCGCCCGAAGGCCACACTCCCCGCCGAGGATCAGCCGCAGGCGCAGCCGAAGGAGGACCTCCGCATCTTTGCCCGCGTCCCGGAAGAAAGCTTAGCGGCCGCTCGGAAGATCGCACCGTTCGCCGTACGACAGATCGTCTGTAAGGCCGTTGGCCTGGGGCTAGCGGACCTTCCCCACGTCTACCATATCAGCACAGGTTACTCTCTGAAGCCGCGAAACAAGCAAATACAGGAAAGACTACTTGCAAGTAAGGCAAAGCTGGCGGAATGCCTCGGCGCCCACCAGGTCGAGACGCCTATCAAGTGGTACACTTACGTTGTGCCGCGATGCCCAACAAAACTACACAGCATTGGCGGGGACGTCCTGGACCCAGCCACACTCGTTGAAGATGAGGTCTTCGCACAGACAGGACAGAAGCCTGTCCTTGCTCGACCGTCCCGCCTTGGGCCCAACCCAGTCACGAACGAAATATCTTGGCTCATATCATTCACATCAGAGGTCACGCCCTTCAGGCTCTTCAACCAAAGCGGCAGATCTCTGCCCGTCAAGAAACGAAGGACGCTCATCCGACACGACCCCGGCTGCCAGGGCTACCACTCCAACCGGTTCTGCGGACGACGACCGATCTGCAGCAACTGCGGAAGACCTTCCGATTCACACGAAACGGGACCCTGCATGGCCAGGCCCCAATGTGCCAACTGCTGCGGCCCCTTCCAAGCCAGCCACACAGACTGCCCAGCGAGGCCCTCGGCCGTAAACGGCGTCGTCTCCCTTCCCGGTCGAAAGGAGCGGGCTCGGATCCGGAAGGCCGGCCAGAAAGCATCGGACACTCTGTACAAGGCTACTCGATCCGACAGTAGCCAGGAGGCGGCAGGCGTCCCTACCTCCACCAGCCAGAACCAGCAACCCGGCGCCAAGCGCGCGCGCACGAGAACGCCCTCCGCAAGCTCGATCGTTTGCCTCGGTGACGGAAGCACTGACAGCAGCAGCATGGATGAAGACGAGGCGGACGAAGGCGAAGGCGAAGACTCCCCCGACAACACCTCCATCGACCGTCCCGTGCTACCCATGCCAAGCAGGAGCCAACGGGCAGCACAGAAGCCAAACTACAACGTCGCGAATGCCTACACCCACCTCGAACTCGACTCGGAGACGTAAGCCGAGAGCGGCGACCCCACGGATGCTACGCGTTGCGCAGGGCAACGTCGGAAAGATCTCCCCGGCGCACACGGCTTTCCTGCAGCTCTGCTGGGAGGCTCAGATAGATGTGGTCCTCGTCCAGGAACCCTGGACGGGCTGGAAGGACGGAAACGTGCAACTGAACACGCACCCGGGTTTCGACTCTTTCGTCCCGGTCGACTTCTGGGACAGCGAAGGAACCAGACCAAGAGTATTGACCTACACACGCAAAGGGATAGGGATGACGGTGGAGCAGCAGAGGCCTGTCCACACGAGAGACGTACTGTGGCTGGTGGTCGACAAAACGACGACTATCGTCAACGTGTACAGACAACCCCGCGACCCCCACAGCCGCACAACAGGGATACTGCTAGAACTCAAACCCCCGGAGCGAGCTTTGATCGCGGGTGACTTCAACGCGCATCACTACTCTTGGGAGCCCGGGACGAGGAACGGGAACCGGGGAGATGACATCGCAGGCTGGGCAGACGGCCACAATCTCTCTCTTATCAGCGAAGTTGGGGTGGCAACCCAGGATTGCGGACATGTCCTGGACCTGGCTTTCTCTAATATCCCTTTTGCGCACGCGCAGGTCAGCCCACAGCTACACCCGGGAGCTGACCACGAGGCCATCGTGGCCGTCATACCACTACTCAAACGCCCAGTGTCACAGGGAGAGGGCCACCCGCAGCCACGGCCACTGTCAGTGCCCGACTCGGCGCTGCCTCGGCTGAGAGACCTGATCGAAGGGGGGCTAGCTGCGATGCCCAATCTGGGGGATCAACCTACTCCGGAAGACCTGGACGGGCAGGCAAGTCACATCGTCGAGCTCTTCTCCCGAGCCATTGAGGCGGTCGGCAAGAAGAGAGGAAAACATGGTAAAGGCGCGGCTTGGTGGACGGAGGAATGCGCAGAGGCCCACAGAGCATACCGTGCTGCCCGCAACCAACAAGCCTGGGAGACGGAGCAAGATGCGCACCTTTATCTAATGGAGAAACGAAAGGCGTTCCTGAGCACGGTGAGGAAGGCTAAGCGAGCATACTGGGCCGGAAAGATCGATGGAGTCGCTTCAGACCGGGACCTGTACCAGATCATGGGTTGGCGGAAGGCGAGCCTACTGACCAGAGCACCCCCATTGGTTGTGGACAACCAGACGATCGAGGATACTAACGAAAAGGCTCAAGCGCTTCGGGGAGCCCTTCTCGACAGGTTTAGTGCGGAAGATGACGCACCGGGTGACCCGTTTGACGTACCCGTCGTCCCGAGGCGAGCGATTACTTGGCAGGACAATGTTAGCGGAGAAGAAGTGAAGACGGCCACCTTAACAAAGACAACGACCCCTGGTGTGGACGGCATCACAACACGCCTCCTCCAGGCATGCTGGGATGTCATCTCGGAACCGGTCAGGCAGCTATTCCAGTCCTGTATGCGGGCCGGCCACTTTCCTCTGCCCTTCCGCAGAGCTGAGGTGGTCATGATCCAGAAGGCCGGCAGGGATGCCTCCAAGCCCGGGTCCTGGCGGCCGATCGCGCTCCTCTCGTGCCTGGGCAAGGGACTAGAGCGACTGATAGCCAGAAGGATGGCGTCCCTGGCGATTGTCGAGCGCATCATCAGTCCGCAACAGATCGGGGCTCTACAAGGCAGGTCAGCCGTCGATCTGACGACCTGCCTCACCCACGACATCGAGATGGCCCTCCTAAAAGGACTCACGGCGACACTTCTGACTATGGACGTAAAAGGGGCGTTCGACTCCGTCCTTCGGAACCGGCTCGTCATTAGACTGCGTCAGCAGGGATGGCCACATGGCCTGACCAGACTGATCTTTAGCTTCTGCTGCAACCGCACCGCTAGAGTCCGACTGGAAGAAAGCACAACGGAGTACTTCCCGCTGTCATGCGGGCTGCCTCAGGGGTCACCACTATCTCCCATTGCCTTTCTGCTCTACATCGCAGAGATACTTGAAGACGACCCGAACGCGCGATTCGGGTACGCGGACGACATCGCCACTCTGGCCATCAGCCCCTCCCTGGAGAGCAACGTCGCAATACTCAACCGAAGCGCAGCCGGCATTCTCAGATGGGGCTTGGAGAACAAGGTCTCCTTTGACCCGAGCAAGTGCGAGGTCATCCACTTTACTAGGAAGCACGGCCAGCCAGCGGAGCTGCCAGAGGTCCGGGCGGGGGATTTGGTGGTCAAGGCCTCGACGAAACCTGTACGCTGGCTGGGTGTCTGGTTCGACAAGAGACTGTCCTTCCGGCACCATGTCGACGCAAAAGTAGCTGCAGCAAAGAGGGCAGCTCAACATCTGAGACAGCTTACGAACACAAAGAGGGGACTCCCAGCGGCCGCCGTGCGAAAAGCCGTCGTCTCCTGCGTACTGCCGATCGCGCTCTTCGGCGCCGAAACATGGTACGCAGGTATCACGAAGCCGGCTTCGAGACGCCAAGCGGAGACAGACACGAATCCGCCTCTCCAAGGAAGACCCGTCAACACAGGCCAAAAGGGGCTCGTGCAGAAGATCGACAGCGTCATTACAGCGGCAGCAAGGGCCGTTCTGCCTGTCTGGAGGACAACGCCAACCAGTAGCCTCCTCCGAGACGCCGGCTTACCGTCAGCCAAAGTCGCCTTAGAGGGCGTCCGCTTACGGGCCGCAGTCCGACTACAGAGGATTGATCGCCGACACCCGCTAGTCGCGCGGCTCTCCCAGCAGGGACAGCAACAGACGAGACTACAACGGACGGCTGAACTTCTGCCAAGATGCGGAAGACCAGCGTTCCTTCAATCACAGTACCTGCCAAGCTCACAGGATCAGATAGTAGTTCAATGCAAAGAAGAGGCTGCGAAAGCTTTCGAGCGCTGGCTAAAGACAGTACCGGAAAGCCATATGATCGTCTTCTCGGACGGCTCCAGGGCGACGAACGGAGCCGTGGGGTACGGCTTCGTCATCTACCGAGACTCCAAACGCATAGCACAAGGGTGCGGCCGACTCGGACTAGCAGAAGTGTTCGACGCCGAGGTCGAAGGGGCGCGAACCGGCCTCAGAAGGGCTCTGCTCACCAATCGCGGTCATCCAATCCACATATGTATCGACAACACCAGCGTTATACAAGGCATCCGCGGCAAGGCGCCGGACTCGTCACAAGACGCGTTCCTCGAAATCCAAGAAGCGGCCAGGATATTTGATATACGGACGCACTGGTCCCCGGGACACCAGGGCATCGAAGGAAACGAGGCCGCGGACCGGCTGGCCAAAGAAGGAACGACACTGCCGGCGCGGATGGGTCAAATGGCAACACTAGCGGGCATCAAGCGGCTTGCAAGGGAAAAATTACAAAGCCAGCACAGGAGATGGTGGTATAAAGAGCGAAGGCCGCGGTACGCGGACTTGGGGCTTGAGGCAGCTCTGTCCAGCCCTCCTGAACTGGCCTTGCCGCGGGCTACGTTACATCACCTGCTGGCGGCACGATCGGGTCACGGGGACTTCGAGCAATATCACCGACGTTTCAACCACGACGACGCTCTAATGATGTGCTCTTGTGGAGAGGCGAAAGACGTGGACCACCTGGTCTACTGTCGACTAACGCTGGCGAGGAGGCAACGGTGGCCGACCCTCCACTCTCGCAGTATGCCCGAGCCCATAGGCCCTATGGGATCTCTCGAGGCCTACTTCAAGAGATTAATCACCGACCCACGAGGCTTCGAGGCCTTTCTCCGCGTGACGGACTTCTTCCAGAAGATCTGTCTGCGGTAGCAGCATCCACACCTACGTAGATGTGAGTGCGGACTACAAAGAACCTCCCGATTCCAAGGGACGATTTGGGAAAGAATGAAACTGGGGCACCAGCGGGAACCGGGGACAGACAGAACGCGTAGTGGCCACAAGGCATGATTTGGAGGACGATGTAAAGAGACGACGTACTGTAGAGTAGGTAGCCTTGGCTCACGGCCCTCCACGCCATATACCCTTCGGGAGGTCTGCGGTAAGGGCTCTAGCCCGGCCGCCACGGCGTTAAATACAACAACAACAACAACAACAACAACACAGCATTCACCTCCCACTTCGTCTCTCAGTCTCTCACAGTACCGTACCTAGCGAGAAACGAGCAACCCAACCAGCAATCGCAAGTCATATTTGTCACCCAAAATGACGGCAAAAGCTTCCATGCTCGATGTTGACGTAGACCCGCCGACGTATGATAATGCCGTCAATGATACACGGACGCAGCTCAGCTGTGGAGAGACACCGACGTTGTTCCTGGATAAAACAACAATTTTCGCCCACACCTCACCACCTCGTGCGCTCTATGAATTAAGCAATGCCGTGACCGACGCAAAATCGTCGGTGTACGGAGTTCAGAGGGTGGTCTATCGAATCTCGTCAGAATCCGGCAGCGACAAAGTGAGAACAAGATTAGATCATATCTACGACTTCACGCAGGACCCGCTCAAGGGACTCGAAAGCTGCAAAATGCAGTTGCACGATGTCATAGTCATTACGGGTCAGATGAGCTCCAAGAGAACGTACAAGGAAGTGTACCTGATGCCTGGCGTTTCTGGGTGGAAGGTCAAGGATCACTTCAGAGCCGGCGATAGCGCGGTGCACCGGATGAAGCACCAAGATGAGATCCATTGGAAGAACATGAAGGGAGAGGTCGTCGCTATTGAGTCAGTCGCCAAGCGGGACAAGGAGAAGAACCTGATGGGTATGCCCCAGTTGGATGTTGTACTACCAATGGATCACAAGGAGCTGGACCTGTTGGTGACAAGCTGGATGGCGAGGCTCTGGAGGCAGTCCGCTGATGAAACGAAAGATCCCATGACCTGGAAGGACTGTAAGTGTTCTGACACCAAGCACTGTCTGTTGCTTGGATTTTTATCACGAAAAAAAGGCTAATTATTTGCAGTCAAGGAGATTTCCAAGCTTGCTCTAAACAGAAATAAGTTTGGAAACACTTGGGCGCTAAGTGCTAGGTAGCTGAGCTGGAGGTTAGTCCCATAGGGCAGACTGCGCACCTGAGCTTACTGTACCTACGCAGCGGGGCGGGCTAAGGGATGGTGTAGGCCAAGAGCAGGCGTCAATATACCCATGATTTGAAGCACAGCGGCGAAGTCACAACGAGCAAAGTAGACCTAAGACCTCTATGGACTTCAATGAAAGGACAGCATGCTTCATAATTTACATTTAGACAAGACTTCACCGTGACACATGGGCCTGATCGTGACTTTGGATCTTCGTCAGTAGCTGATGTGGCTCGAACGGGATTCTCCCGGGAACCCACTGCAGCGTCGACTTCAGACTCAGCAATCCCCAGTATGAGATACACAATGTATATTTTCAGTTCCTTCACGGAGCTTTTAGAGATGAAGTGGAGTGTTGAGATGAGTTAGTGTCCCATTCAGTGACTGGGTTCAATGCCACCCAAGGTGCTGCACCTTCAAGGGTTGTTTTAAGGTCGGCACGATTGGCAAGGATCTTGCTCCACATTGAATGGTTAGATAGAGTCAACTACGGAACATTGTGCCAGCCATGATGCATCGAAGCATATCCATACTTATCAGTCGGATATCGTATTCCTCACGGCGCGCCTAGTCTCCCAACAAGACTTCAAACAAGAAAGAATCCCTGATGGTAGCCGCTAAGCACGTGGCCTGACGGTGCGGGGCAGTAGAAAGCGCTCAATGCAGTTGTTGATCATACGATGACCCGACTGACATTATTTCCGCAGTGAGACCGACACACTTTCGGGACCGGGAACTTTGGGACGACAAAGTAACGCCACGAGAGGAGAAAGTACAGTACGTCGTCATTTACCGGGCTTCCGTTCGTCCAGCCTTCAACTACATAAGTACGACTCCCCATCTTCAGGCTTGAAAACCCGCCCACCCCTTTTATTACCAGGAAGCGCAATCGTTTTCCAACGCTCGACAACGATATCTACTTAGTATACGCACAATCATGAGGGCTGCAAGATATTACGGCAAGGAAGATATCAGGATCGAACAGGTCCCAGAGCCACCATGTGGCCCTAATCAGATCAAGGTGAGATTTCCCCAGTGTTTCCTCCTCAGCACATGGCCCGCCCGGCATCTACCCCGCGCGGGGAAGATGTAGGGTCGGTAACATTGCTTTTGGAGCTCAGACTTGACACTGACACGCATTTCGCCTTTCCCCAGATTGCCCCGGCATTCGTCGGTATCTGCGGGACTGATCTTCACGAATACCTCGGCGGCCCTAACTTCTGCCCCTCCTCTAGACATCCCGTCACGGGCGACCAGATTCCCGTCACGCTCGGCCACGAATTTTCCGGCATCATCAAAGAAATCGGCGCAGATGTCAAACAGGAGCACCTCAAAATCGGCGCCCCCTGCGCAGTCCAGCCCACGATTTACTGCGGCAAGTGTGCTGCCTGTAAAGCCGGTGCCGAGAATGCGTGCCACACCGGCGGCTTCATCGGACTCAGCGGCGGGGGTGGCGGCCTGAGCGAGGCAGTGTCTGTACCTGCGGATCAGGTCTTCCCTTTGCCCGAGGGCATTCCTCTGGAGCTGGGCGCCTTGGTGGAGCCGCTTTCGGTTGCTTGGCATGCCGTCTCTGCCGCTCCCGTGACGTCCGAGTCTAATGTCTTGGTGATGGGAGGCGGTCCGATCGGGCTGGCTGCTGTGCTTTGCTTGAAGGCGAAGGGGGTTACGAATATCATGGTCGCCGAAATTGCCACGGCCCGGCAGAGATTTGCAAAGGAGTTTGGAGCAGCGCATATCATTGACCCCAAAAGTCAGGATGTCATGGAGGAGGTGATGAGGATTACTGGCGGTATTGGCGCTGATATCACACTTGACTGCGCAGGTGTACCGGCTAGGTATGTCATCCGTCAAATTTCCTCCAAGCGTACCACTTGCTCATATCTACAACAGTGTGAAAGCAGCGTGCATGGCTGTGAAGACACGGGGCACAGTCATCAATGTTGCGATTTGGGAGAAGGAAATCCCCTTCAACCCGAACTGGGTAACGTGGAGAGAGAGCTCGTATAAATCTGTTCTTGGCTATCAAAAGGCAGATTACCAAGCCGTGATCGAGAACTTGAGAACAGGTAAGAAGTCTCATCGCTCACTTTACGCTGACTGCTACTGACCCGTGTGACGTGCAGGAGCTCTGAAGCCTGCTTCCATGATTACAAGGAAGATCCCATTGGACGATCTTGTAGAGCATGGCATCAAAGCCTTGATTACGGATAAGGATAACCAAGTCAAGGTCTTGGTCGATGTTGGTGCTTCACTATGAAGCATGACGGCACGGCGTTGTGGTTTGAAGCTCTTAGGGGAAGCACGAGATGATTTGCTATGACGCGGTTGAAGCTTTGATGAAGGAGGAAATTCAATGGTGCACTTGTGCTATGCCTGTACTGCATGTCTATATCATGCTAATTGACGAGAACAATATTCATGTTATGTCGTAATCAAGCATGCTTCTCTACTTTTTGCAAAAGCAGCCGCACTTGCCCTCGGCCTCGTTTACACTTTGAAGCGCGAAACCAGCTCCGCACTAGCCGCTTTTGTCAGCACTTATTCAATAACGATTTTGCTCGGGATTCCACTCAGGTAACCTACTTCACGCGGGCAAGCCGTCGTACAAACTCCTTCGATGCCTCTGCACGCACCATTAGACAGCTGTTGGAAACGTTAGACATGAAGGCAAGTGTCCGGGGAGACCTTGAACTTACATTGGTGTTGTCAAAGGCTCTACAGTAGGACTTTTGGGCAGCCGCCTTGCCAACTAGAGCCATAGGGAGAATGACCGAGATGAGGGTAGAGAATTGCATCTTGAGCTAAGTTTTCGGGAGGGAATAATAATGTCAAGTATTACTTATTGAGGAAATTTGGGATGTGAATTAGTAGGAATGAATACCTTGGTACGTACATGGAACCTATTGATCACTAAGTCGAGAAATCGACGCGCATTTATAGGTGTCCCGGCCGAACCGGCAGAGTCGGCACAAACTCTAAGTTCTTAGGGGTGGAAGCTGCTTTGGCATGATGAAGTTCGATATAAATTGCATTCTTGAACTCTGAACGTTGTTTGACTCAAGTATTCGGGGCTGAACCGAGGATCTGCTGGCTTTTAGAGTTTGTCCAGGCTTGCGCCGAGTCTGCGAGTGGAACCACTCAGGCCCTGAATTCCTATCGAGTTGACGACTTGACCACACCATACCCCTGGCTCGACTTTAGTAGGGCGTAGCTTTAGGTCTTATTCGCCAAAACTTGTCCCAAGTTAGTAGGCTCAGGCAGGCCTTCCAAAGATTCGCCTCGTAACCGAAACTTTCTCACATAGTTATAACTTGTAAATGCATTGAGCAGGTTGTGCTTGTTGTCTCTAGATGAACCTTTATTTCTACCATTTAATGATCATTGCCCCACCTGCTCTACCAGTCCTTATGCAAAGCATATCTAGCTAAGTCTAGTGTTTGGTTAAGTCAACGCCTCTCATAAGGGGTGACTGAAGGCTTCGGAGGCTAGGGCATCTCTGAGGACAAACTCGCAAGTAGACTGGGGCTATCAGACCGAAATCATCCGCTCCTTGACGTTTAAGACCTGGTGTGAAGGACCTAGGTAATAGAAATGGTAACTGCATTTGTTTGAACTACCTATATATTACACTGGCTTACGCCGCTTAGCATCCTTCTACTATGCTCACGAAGAAAAGGGGCAAGGTACAGCATCTCGACCAAATGATACTCTTCCATCGGTATTTGTTGAATCCAAAGAGATTGGCATCTATGTAGCCTATCGGCCATGTTGAGAAGATCAATAGAGGACTGCGAAGAAACGATCTCTAGCCAGAGCGCCAAAGACGGACTTAAACCTTGAAGAGAAGTCCAATAACGAGATGATTCAGAACACTCTTATTCGTGTGGAGCCAATCATCATTTGGAGACAGGAAACGCTCGCCACACCCATACGGTACTTACCGTAGATAACACAGATCATCAGCCGTAGGTCACAGGCAACTTCACACCATTGTGTGTAAGTCGTAACGGTAAGACGCTGATCCCAAACGAAAAAGAACTGATTGCCCAAATAAAGGCACCGCCAGGACCGCTAGCCCCAAAGCCCAATCACCTTCTTCACTGTTTCTCAATACATTTTCGGTCTAAGCAAGGTAACCTAGCAATGGATGCCGAATCATATGAGCGACTTTGAAGCTCTACACTGTATTGGCCACAAAAGCCGTTCAGAGTCTACAGTGAAGCATCTAACCTCATCCCATTTGCCTTGCTATATAAATGCATCACCTTGACCATTCTAGCACATACGACCATACCCATTGGAAAATTCGGGATCCCGTCCGCTCTCCCATAGACAAGCCAATGAGGGCCGGCTCATCTAGAAGAGCGGGATCCCGGATGACTCAGCCCACAAAAACGGTGCCCGGCTGCGCCTCGCCCCTGGCGTCCCCGTACCGTCCTCCGTCCGTAAACTACTTCAATCCGCCCACCCGCCCCGACGAAATCGGCTGTCTCTCACGCCCCCGCCATCTTCCTCCCCCGGCCCTCTGGGCGTCGCCTCGCTGCCAATTCTTGCGTTGTCGCCCCTTCGTCATGTTCCATATCCTACGAGGTATGGGCCAAGCTCGGGAGAGGGGGGAAGGCGGCTGCGCGTTGGGCCGCTGGTCCTCTGCTTGCCTTCTCTGTCCCCTTCCCGACCATGCTCGTCCGCCCTCCGTGGTTTCTGTTTCTCTCTCTCTCTCTCTCTCCCTTTCTTTTCTTCGAATAGGCCCGGCCGTCTTTCACTTTCGCTTTCCAGAAGCCACTCGTTCACAATCGCATATACAGCCTTCTCCATATTCTATCGTTCGCGCGCCATGGCGGATCTTTCGTCAGATTTCGGCGAGACCCTCATCGCCGGCCCGGAACCCGGCAGCGACCAAGATGAATTGTACGAAATGTTCTGCGAGGAGTTCTCTGCGCCGCACGAGGAAGTCGAACTTTTCCCAGAGGATCTGGAATCCAGGCGAAATGCCTTTCGGGAGATGCAAGCGGCCTACCTGCAGAGCCCGCTTCCGGATCGCAGAAAGCTGAGCAAGAAAGCCCAGTCTGCGCAGGACAAGGCATGGCGGGCCTGGGTTGAGTGAGTGACCTTCAAACAGGCGGGCTCAAGCCGAGTTCCGCGAGAATGCAAGAAATCACTGACGGTCCACGTGTGACAGGTTCGTGACGGAGGATGCTGGGCAAGACCCGGAACAAGTCATGATCGATTTCTGTCTCGACTCGAAGCTCGCCGATAGCGTCTGCCAGGCATTCATCGAAAGCTACGTCAGGAGATCTGCACGGCCTTGCTTGACCCTAGGCAAACAAGAAGTCGTCAACGTCCGGCTGGTGAAGTCAGCGAATAGTGTTCTTGACCTCTGGGACAACCTCGTCGGTGCAGCTGAGCGAGGAGTACTGCAGGAGAAACGATGGAAAGACCCCGCTAATCCTGCATGGAAGCTCATGTATCACAAGAAGGACGAGTTTGCAAGTAAGCCAGCGAGTAAGATCCGAAAGGCGAGTAACCCCCTCCTCGTTGTCTCCCTTTTGTGTACTGTGCTAATGGATGAAGTGACAGTGGATCGAGGGCGGCCTTGCGGACAAGTATAATCTTGAACGGCGCCAGACGTTTGTCAAAAAAGAAGCGACGATCGACGACATCTTGACGTTCATCGATACACTATGGACTCGTGCGAGTGATATCCCTTGTAGCGCTGCTACTCGTCTAGCCGTCCACACGACTGTCCTTTTGGATAGCCTCGGAGGCTGGAGGCTGGGAACTCTGATGAACTTCAAGTATCGCGACATCGAGATGGCCGTTGTCAGGGATCCCGAAGACCATGAGCGAACAGCTCTCACGGCCACAATCAACGTGGAACAGAACAAGCGGCAGGCCAACAAAGCACAGACTTCCCAGGACGACATGTGAGTGCCTCATCATGTTTCCCAGGGCAATGACTGACACTCAAATACAGTATCTCTTTCACCGTCCTCTCTGTACCTTGTGAGAAGGTCTGCATCTTGCGCGCTCTCGTCGCTCGTGCGCTTTTCGACGATGCCTTCGATCCTGCATTCGACTCGTTCGAGAGCTTGCTTGCACGACCTAATCTGGAAGACGCAGATTACGCCAGGTTGCACTGGAGGGAAGAGATTCTTGATGAACCAATCATTCCGATACAGTACGGATGTTTCTGGAAAATCTGGCAGCGTGTGCTCTTCGTTATGGGCTGCCGAGAAGGCCTCCGGCCGTATGCAATGCGCGTCGGTGCTGGCGGTCGACTTGACGGTGAGACCTTTTACATTCCACTCACACGATGTCCATGATCAAGTCGCTGACGGATGATAGGACCTCTTACCCCAGCCTTGAGAAACTACATTTTGTCAAACACGTCACGAGTCTACGAGAAAAGCTACCAGCCTAGACACATCCGAGAGAATCTTGCCCGCGTAGCGTACGGCGACTTGGCAGGCCAGAGCGACGCTCTTCACACGATACTGCGCAACGCTACGTTCACACGAGACGAAAAGGCGCCCTTGTACCCAACAGAACGAGACCTTGATGTATTTGAAAAGCGGAACGATGTGCAAAAACGCCGAAAAGAGTACCGAGCCGCGGTCACGTTGCATGGCGCCGGCAGTGTTCAGGCAAAGAGGATGGGCGCCAGGGTCTGGGACCTCATCGAAGCGCTATCTGCCCTCACTGTGAAGGTTCGGCGGGCCAAGTACTTCAAGGAAGCGGATCGACGAAGAGTACAGGGCCTGTCGACTACCGACTTACGGGTGACGCCCGCAGAAGATCCCCATAGGAAGAGCGAACAGTCGAGATTCACCAGCGGCATCGCTGCGAAGATAGGCTCATACCTACGAGACGAAGACGCGGATATCAAGTTCAACTCTACTACATTTGTCAATCACCTGCTGGCATTCCTGGCTGATCGAGATCTCCCCGGTTCCTCGCAAGTTGCCCAAGTTCTCAAGACGACGAGCCAGCCAAAAAAGGGTAGACCTGGCCACACCGAGATAGAAAAGACAGGCAAATGCTTGCTCTGCAGTCGACACTACTCGCGACGGTCAAACCTTACGAGACACTACAAGGTTGTACATTCTCGCCAATTCAGCAAACCGTTTTCATGCCCATCTTGTCACCAGATTGGGCAAAAGTATCAGGTACGAGACGAGGCAGACTGGAGCAGTCACGTCACAAGGTGTCATGGCGAGGAGAACGCGCCGCACCTGATATCTCGAAGTCCAAATGAACAGAAAATGGTCCGATGCCTCATCTGTCGCTCGTGGCTATCTGGCACACACAACCTCACGAAACACACACGGGAAGTTCACCAGAAGGCCGGCGGCTTGTTCGATAAGCCGTTCCGCTGCCCGGAGTGTCATCGTTCCGGCCAGCAGGTCCTGATAATAGACCGTGCAGACTGGAGCCAGCACATGAAGTGGACCCACGGGACGCGGGAACAAGAAGAGCCTCCGTCAAGCAATCAGCGAAGAGTTTGTCTCATATGCGGCGAGAGCTTCACCAGCAGTCGTTTCTTGGACCACTTCATGCAAGTCCATGTTCGGAAGCAGAAAATTTTTGCTTCGTCATTCCATTGTCCTAGCTGCAAGTGCCAAGGACGTGACGTAGAAATCGTGGGCTATGGTGGTTGGGTTCAGCATGCTGCGGAGCCTCATGAAGGACTCGGTGAAATCATCTCACCTTTCCGGGTACAGACGAATAAACGGCAGGCATCGGATGTGGACCGGGCCGATGCACTGATGGAGCGCCCAGTGGAGAGTAAAAGACCGCGCATGGAAAATGTCGCTGATGCTTCATGGTCAGTAGCCCGGGAGCAGCTGTCTTCGCTCGAACCCACAGAATCAGCCGTTCCAGAAATGCCTGCCAGGTACTCGGCATCGCCGCCTGAGTTACCGATTGACCCTCTGCTGTATCAACAGGATGATGCGATCCCGGCAAGCATGGAGAGATATGTACCATAATGTCAAGTTCACAGTTTCTGCCGACCCGCTGGCGGGGCATCGGTGGCGCGGGGGTGGCTCACGGTTCGGATCATTGACGGTCCGGGCAATGAGGGGCAGATGGAAGTGATCTCAGACCCCACCTCATCAGCTTGCTTAACCATTTCACTTCCACTTGGAATGACAAATGACACATTTGTAACATAACTTAAAGGCCTTGAGATAATGAAACAGATTTCGATTCACAAGGACCTGGTTTGAGGACTTTGAGTCCACCATATATGGTAGTCCCTCCGCAACTCTCTCTCCTGCTCAAGAACTCCCTCTAGCTGTAATCGTAGAAGACGGCGTTTCTCTTCGCGCCTAAGTTGCCATATATCCTCACTGGTGGTCTGCAATTCCCCGTCTGCCGTGACAATCTTACGTGCAGCTGTATAAGTTGGATTCACACGGCGTTGCTTGCCTGAAACCGATGCCTGGCAGTATGGGCATTTGTTGACGAATTGAGGTCCTGCATCACGAAGACATTCGCTGTGGAAGATATGACCTGAGAACTATTAGGTGTCATTCTTTGAACTAGACCAGTGGAGGTTACCACAATGAATTGCAATGAGGTGCCTCTCACAATTGTCGTGACAGATCAAGCATTCCAGGCTGTAGAGCACGCGAGTCTCCTGAGAGCCTTTGACGTTATGGCTGTATTTGGAACAAACCACGCTGCCAGACGAGCCATACTCCTGATAATTCCTGCAGCATGTCGAACAGATTACCTTGATTGCCATTAGTAGTTATGCAGCGGTGTACGCGATTGGCGGATAAAGGGACGCTCACGCAAGCACACTCAGAGAGAAGAACAAGGTCTGTCAGAGGCTTATAGCACCATGCGCAAAAGTAAGAAAGGTCCGGCTCAATGATTGTGTCAGAAGCGTTCATGTTATCAAGTCGGAGTCGCCGAGAGAGGAAAAGACAATGGGTATAGCGGGACGAGCGGAAGTTGGAGTTTTATATTCGCGACAAACTCCTGCAGCCTACGCTATCTTACAGCCAAACCCTTGCGGGGCAAGCCTGCTTTAACCCGCTTGCGAGAGAACTCAGCTAAGTGAAGTAAGACCAACTCGTTACATACTTGCGCTGCGTCACCTCGGCCGCCGTTGCATCTAGATTTGGTCTGGCACAAAGCGATCCCGGCTCGCTAGACGGAGTTTCCTTGCTTGGCCCAGAAGACCATTCTTTATCAGGCAACTCAGCTACTGCTGCTTCAACCGCTGTTGTGAAGGGTGTTGTAGCTGTGAGGCCAATATCACTCATACGATAGATATGGGCCTGGGGAGGGTCGTCTACACAAGGTTAGAATCGCCGTGAGAAGAATGAAGTGATTCCTACATGATTGCGAACCCGCATTTTCTCGAGACTGGTCCTCAGAGCCGTCTTCGTCATTAGCCTTCTGATCCCTCGAACTCAGCCAAAGAAAGCATGCGAAAGCCAGTAAAGGAACGGCTACTCCAATGGCCAAAACGATTATGAAGAGTGGTACACCCTCTATAACGGGTCTATGGGCGTCCGAGGTCGTCAGCGTCGCGCCAGGTAGCGTGGAAGTCACTGCAGAAGTGGTTGAACTGCTCGGGGTAGTAGAGGTTGGCTGCATCATCGAAGAGGAGGCCCTAATAGTCGACGTGACTGATGAGGCCGAAAGAGACGACGTAAGGGCGTAGGAGTCCGGACAGCTGGACAGATCACATGGATCAACTGTACAGCAACCACGAAACCCATTCTTGCTACAAACGTAGTAAGAAGTCTGCTGAGCGCAGTTCTGACGATAGCGGAGGTTGGTCTGCATCCTTGCTTTGATCTGGCAACATGATTCTTTTGCCAGATTGCAGTTGTTGATTAAGATATAACAAGAACTTGGTCTTTGCTAAACGTTCCCCCTTAGCGGCCAGCGCTTAGAGTCATCTAATAAAAGCAACAATGTTCTATTTTGAGAACAACGGCCGGCTACGGTAGATGACCATCCATTTTCTGAATTTCTGCTCCGTCACTATTGGCGTCATGCAAACCTGGACGATAAATATAGAGGGCGCGGTGCCTTTAGACATGAGAAAGTATTACAACAAAGCACATAGGCAGGATTAAGAGACTTAAGTTGAGAAGCAAGTCTGAGTTAATATGGACACCGAACAGCTCTGTCGCGAACCTACGCCCGAGCAAGAGATCTTGCCTACCCAAGACTCTGCCCACATCCTAGCCCCAACTGTTTCTGATTGCGATGATGAAAGCAGTGGCGCAAAGCCGTGCAAAGTAATCCTGCGAACGACTCGGGCGTCGGCTCGTGCAACAAGAGCACGACAAATGGAGAGGCTGCGCCGTCGAAAACTCAACCTGGCCAAGAAGGC